ATTTAATGTCCAGATGGTTTTGTTAGCAAAATACAAGCTATACCCTATGACTCCACATATCTGGTACATACATGTACATGTAACAGTAAATACTCTATACAAACATATTATGCAAACAGCATGGAATGCACAGCGGGATGTCTATTAATTTTTATCAACCGGAACTGAGATAAATCAGTAATATATTTAGAAACAAAAACTGGACATGATAACGTTACTTTTGCGAGTAGTAAAAATCTTTCAACAACTGATGCAAACCAATAGATGAATACTAGCAGGTACCCCCCTCCCCACCTTCACCTACAAGGTAACCTCCCATTCCTTATTCCACACTTGAGTCAAACGGCCTGAGAAGATGGTACATGGTGGTATTTGTGTGTGTTTAACCTTAGGAACTAACTCCTACTGAACAATTTTTAGAAGAGTCACTTCTACTTGCTGTATCTTTAGATTCTTGAATAGATACAATTATAGATAGATATATTTGATATATAATTTAGATTCATTGGCCAAGAGCTCACTATTTCTATCAATGACTCTGGTCAGTTATGCTGTCACATCTCATTCTCATTGGGTATTATTCTATGTACAACTATAAGCTTTCTTCTCCCACCAAGCTGCTGATTGGCTAAGGTCCCATAAATCCACCATGCTGATTGGCAAGCAGGGCTTACCAGATACCTGTTCCAGTCCTTCTGATTGGCTAGCTTCCTCTTAGACTCCTGCCGATTGGCTAGTTTCCTGTTTAACTAACAGCAGGTTGCTGATTGGCCAGCATGTCACATACAGGAATTGCTGATTGGCTAGCTTCTCACCAGTTTAACCATCATACGGGTTCACAAGGAACTGGTAGACGAAGGTTGCCCTCCTGCGAGTTGTCTGTTGGTTGTTGTGTCTCCTGTTCTCATCCCTCTTCGGTCTCAGAAGGAGGACCCCAAATATCATGGCTGGAAGCAGAGAAAACATTACAAATTTGGAAATGTTCATGTTTTGCTTTTGCAGTGATAAAGACCTCAAAATCTTGACATTTATTTGTTTCAACTGCAAACTTTTAAACTTAAAATACTGCAATAACCTTGTATGAGTTATGTTTTACCTAATGTCTTTGGATCCAGCTTGTTGTCATCTGTATAACTCAGAAGTTCTCTGAGGAAAGCTGTCAGGTATTTGAAGACATTCTTGTGGTGTTCAGGGACCTGAGACATCAGCTGGGCAGGTAAGAAACAAGTGACAGGTAGCAAGCATTGTATTCAACAAATTGGGTGTTCAATTCTAATTAAATAGTCATTCAAATAGTTATCATGCTGCCACACAGTTACAGTAAAGTTTCCCAGTTAAGTTGCTGTATACGTAAGAGACAACCTAGGGCTGACAATAGTCTGCTAGAATGCTAGTACGTACTGCACCTTTTTACAGAGCTTAAAGTTGCTGAAAGAGTCCAGGCAAGATACACTGGTGATGCTGGCTAAGGCAGTTCACCCCCCTGTTCCCTGACCCCCTCCCCTCCCTGCCAATCTTCCCCCTCCCCCATACCTGTTTACAGAGCTCAAAGTTGCTGCATGAGTCCAGGCATGACTGGTAGTACTGATGAGGGATAACAGGCTCAGGTAGACTCTCCAGAAACATCAGCAGACATTCTGCCACAGAATGTGGTCGGCCAGCTGGGTCAGAAGTTAAGGGTTTACTTTAAACCACAATCTTTGAACATCCAGTCATAAACCCTAACAATGTCTGCACGTTTGTCATCTGTCCTGTGAGTTAACATCACCATTTGGTTATTTCAGCTTAAACCCTATAGCTAGAAAGTTGCAATATCTTACCTGCTTGGTCCAGTCTTTAATGCTAAGTACAACTGAGAAAAATGCTACAGACATCCTGGAGCTTGTTATGTTATGTGAGATAGGTGTACATGTAAAGTTAGAACAAGGTATATGTATACAGTATGGTTACATGTAGGTATGGTACAAGGCAACTGTAAGGATACGTATGGTATCAGGTATTCCTGTATCCAAACAGTCTCGGATCTCCTCAATCTCAGAGTGGAGTCCTGGCTGCTGGAACAAGTCCTCCTGCAACAAACAATTATACTATATTATAAAGCAAGAACAGATCAAGCTTGGAACAAGTTCTTCTATGCAAGGAAAAGTATCAAATGTGTATCTGTAGAGCAGGTCATTACTCCAAAACAAATTAACACACCAACACATAGTGGTACATGCAGTATTCAGTCAAACAAACCAGATTGACTTGGAGAACTTTAGGTTCAGGTTTTGCTGTTTGCACGTTTATGGCAGGTTTGTTTGTTTGCTTGTTTGTTTGTTTACCTGTCGCAGTGCATGTTTGTACAGATGATCGACCAGAAGCCAGATCTCCTTAGGAATGGGCAGGGGGTCAAATGAGTCCTCAGGAGATGTCTTACTGGGGGAACCAGCCTCCTGTGTGGGGAGAACATCACATCAGCACAAGGAAACACCATTGACATTGTAGTTTGTACTGTTGTTGAAACGTTTGTTTTGCATAACTGGTAAGCTCTCCTAAGCTTGAGGCTTAACTAGGCTAGTTTTGTATAGAATTTATAAGCTGCATTAGACTGGACTGTAAGGTTTGATCCACACACCCCAGCATAGACACCAACACCTTTCAGTTAAGTGTGGCAGGATCTTTCAGGACCTTTACATCCAATTCAAGAGGACATCCTTAACAGAAGCTTCTAGCTTTTGTAAAAGATACTCATTTTCACCTGAGATATCCTGTCCTAAGGGCACAACTGTTACAGTGGGGTCTCAAACCCAGAATCTTTGTAAGTCTGCAACTCTAACCACTAGACCACTTTGAAACCTACAACATCGAAGTACCACTAATCATCTGACCCTCCCCTTGGTCCAGGTACTGAAGTGTGACTATGTGAACATACCAGGTCGACCAGGCGAGCCACAGGCACCTCTCTGATTGGTCCCCTCATGTTGCACAGGGCCTCGACGGACGAACCAAAGCAGCTGGGGATGTAGTCGCCTTGGACGGTCACGAAGTAGTCCTTCCCTCCGTCAAGGTGCAGCACCAGTATGTCTTCAAGACGGTCCTCACCTGAGTTCAGCCTGCCCGCCGTGTTCTTATCCACATACACCTCAAACTCTATAGGGTAGCTGTCACCTAGAGCAGAGGAAAAGGTACATATACATGTACAATGTATAACCCACACCAAAGCAGATGTCCTGTCCACATACACCTCAAGAAGTACCTATAATAACTTGTATAGGCTTTTTTACTCCATAGGACAGGTGTTATCTAATAGTCATGTACAACAAGTTAAATAATTAATAATATAATATGTGTAAGGAAGCAGTCACACACATGTTCATTTCACACAAAATAAAGAAGTTTAAAAGTCTGATTTCCTTATATTTAATACATCTTATTATGAATTGAAAATAAATCTTGTTTTTCTTAAAAAAATGGCTAAAAAAAGCAGATCAGAAGAAAACAATAAAAAGGACAGCATACTATACAATCATTCTTTCCAAAGTAAGACAAGTACTGCAAGTACAACCTTGTCCAGAGGAAGACCAACCCTACCTGGCATGATAAAGCCTAGATATGGCTCAACACTCAGCCATGGTTTACAGTACTCCTTCTCATCAAGCTTACAGATAAACTCAAACTGACAGGGAACCTGTAAATAATAACAAACAACAATAGTCAGCCAGATGATCATCACACAGTCATGGTGCCTTTAAACAGCTAGGCAAGGATCTACCAAAACTTATCAGAAAGGGTTTGTAAACTGCAATGGACACATCAGTAATTGTATTGGGTCAGGACTTACATGTATATATTAATTGTAGTTACTTGACAATGTATATACATGTATGTAATGCTATCTGTATACCATCCTTTTACTGTGACCTGTACTTAACCCAGTGGGTATGTGTGTACAATAAAGGTCTTCATTCATATCAAGAGAATTATTCTGTCAACTGAAATTTGCTCTTCAACACATCCTATGGAGAAAGCATAATGAAACAGCCCACCTGCCCAGTGTTGGTGATGATGATTGTTCTCTTTTGAGGCTCCAAGAATTTGATGTGCTCGAACTTCAACTGAGAGGAAAAACATTAAAGCTATGAGTTTACATTCACATCACTTTGCAACAAGACAGACAATTAAGATATATAATAATCAAAAGTAATAAGTAATTAGTCTTCAAAATTTCACAACTTATCAATTAGATTATTCAAATAACTGATCCAAACACATATAGAGATATACAAAGCAGCATCCACTATTATACAAAACTGCAATATCCACTGCAATACTTTCCCTCAAAGCTAGGTGGCACCACTCACCTCCACACAGCTCAGAGAAACAGATGGGAGGAACTCATTCTCCAGCCTGTCCAGTTTCCTGATAACCTCCTCAAACACCCTCTTGTAGTTGTCTTCATCAATAACTTTGACCTGTATGGGATAAGTACAATATCTTAAATAAGAAAAGGGTAGATGTAATACAATCCTGACTGGTAACTCTACTGGGTCAGTACATACAGCTCTCCCTTCTATGGCCTTGGGGTTAGTATAAAGCACTGCATACTTTGCTAAAAGTTACTTCAGCAGTTGCAAAACTCACCCCAATGTCAAAGAGACAGGAGACAGGTTTGTGGTCGCTGAGCTTGAGGGATCTGTGAGATCGGTACTCCACCGCAGACACACTGTCACCCTTCCAGAGTACACGGTCACACCAGGCTGGCACACGGCACTTCTCACTGTAGTAAACAAATAACAGTCAGTATAATACTCCTTAAAGGCAGTTGCACCATGCTAACACATGCACAGCACTTCTGTTAATGCAGTGTTAGAAATACATGTACTCAGGCACCTGCAGTCTGCATTTTACAGACTGAGACATTTTCAACATTGCAAAACAAAAATCAAGTAGCAAAAGATTGTGTAACACAGTTAATCTACATGTATACCATACCTTGTATCCCAGTCATCTGTGCCTGGGTCATACTTGTAGGTTGGAATGAAGTTGACATTTGCTTCACTGAAGTCATGGAATACATTCCCCTCAGCCATTTGCCTTGTGAGCTGGATAAACAATAGGAACAAAAGGAATCATTTCTGTACTGGATGTAATATGCACTGAGGGTTGATGATAAAACAGTGGTTACATAGGAGGATGGAAGAGCAGAGTATGACCGCCTGTTGAGCCGTCTTCAAGGAGACTGCATTATTTTTGTACCATAGTCTTGAATGTACACATCAAGTAGACAAACCTGGTCATGGGTCAGAAGGTCACTGAACATCTTCTTGTCTATCAACATCTTGACTTCATTGTTCTCGATGTCACTCAGTCTGTAGTTCAGATCCCCTACCCACAATACCACACTGCAAAAAACAAAACAAACAAACAACACACACTATAAGTATAAGTGTCACAATACACACTATACATATGGCAATATACACTATACGTATGGCAACACACAATATGGCAATACACACTATAAGTATGGTAATACACACTATACTGTAAGTGTGATGAAACACACTATAAGTGTGGCAATACACACTATAAGTGTGGCAAACAATCAGGTCCACAATACACACCATAAAAGTGGCAGAGTCATCAACAGGTTGATGTTGGCCACTTGTATATACTGCAAAGAAGAAGAAGTAAAGCAAATCTAAACATTATGATCCTATCTTCAAAAATGATGATGCTGTACATACTTGTGCTTGTGTATAGTCAGCGGTGGTTGTGTTAGGTTGAACTGCATGCGGGCGCAGATGTCGCTGTAGTCCTGGTTGCGTCTCTCGTACAGTTCGGTGTGAGCAGCGAGGTGAGAGTTGACGATACAGAAGCTAGTGTTGTGGAAGTCAAACCTGACAGCCACACCTCCCTTGTTTCCCTGCCATCACATTATTTGCACCATAAATAAATCATTTTGCAAAGGTCTGATATATTAGTCTGACTTGTAGTATTGTTCTTTGACAATTGTTGCCACACAACATACCCTGTAGAACTGTTAAACAATAAAGTTCATTCATTCATTCTCATAATTTTATGCCTCACGAATAGTTTTAATATTTGTAGGACACATCTATTGGCCTTTGATCATGAATATTGTGACAGTAAATTGCAATTAGCTAGCCACTAGCATTTTGAAGTAAATAAGTTAAGTCACTGCATGCTATATTGCTACTGTCACAAATAACATTTAATCTTTGTTTAGTAGGGGCAACAGCAAAGACAACTACAGTTAATGTAAATTCAATGTGGATGTATTTGCCAGTATATAGGACTGGAGGTCATGACAAACCATTTTTCCCATGATGCCTGTTCCCACAGTCTGAGCCTCAATTTGAGACAGGAACTTGTTGTGCTCACTTCTGACGAACACCAGCAGCATCATTCCCACCAATCGGATCAGCCGTACCTAAACACAACAACACACATCATTCCCTGTGACCAATCGGATCAGCCATACTTTACACAACATTGTTCACAATTAACAGTCGGCACATTGGCAGAACGTACTGCACCTGTGCAAAACCCCATTTTTCACGGTTTTGGTCGGATTTTTGGTCAACATTGCATCAGTATTTTGCCTGTTGAAACTACTGACGGAGTGTTGACCTTATATGTGCGAATACGACCTTATATGAGACGTTCTGCCAAAGTGCTATATATGCACAATACCTTACGGATTTTGCACAGGTGCAGTACGTTTTGCCGACGTGCTAACAGTAGTATGTATGTAGCACAGATGTAGTTGTACCATACTGGAAAGTCTCTACCCATCAACAACTAACCTCAAATAGTTTAGTATCACATTTAGTACACAGTATCATGGTACATGTAGTAAGTTTAGCAGTACAGTTTGTGGAAGTAGCTTACCCGTCTATAGCTGGCCCCAGGGTGGAGCCCATGTGTGACAGCCTTCACCCACTCCTCTTCCCTCGCAGAGTCGTTAAACAGGAACGCCTCTTTACTCAGGTCCAGCTCCTGAAAACTAAACATGACAGGAAAGTTATAGTGGCTGCAACATTCACAAGGAAGTGGTATAAGATTGTACGATTACATACTGAAAGCATTCTTAGGATATTCGTGCAAGCGTCGTACAAAATGAAGCTGTCTTGTTATGGAAAAGGCTGTTTTTCTGTCGCAGCCCTCATGAAAATACTATAACATCAACATCATAACGACATTCTACAGCGAACGTGGTCGCATGTCCCTACAGTAGGACCTACCCTACAGCGTAGAGATCAGGTGGTGTGGAGTCAGAAGCCAGCCAGGCCTTCAGACTTTCTGTGGCAGGCTGGCCGTTTACATTCCATGTCCCTGCAAATATTCTGGGTGCAAACAAAACGCAATGAATATAGGAGTTCATTCATTATCAATCCAAATTGTTTTGCTCATGAAAGGTTTTATAGTGACTTAGTTTTATTCATCATAATAGGTGCACACTTTGAGGTGCTTGTTCTTACATGAATGTCTTGAGAAGCAAGTCATGAGATCCATACAAGTATGACTGTGTTTTCAACTGAATGTCTTGAATGTGTGTACAAACCTGAAAGCCATGAAATCTGTGTGAAACTTCTTACCCGAATGTTTCTTAAGATGCAATACTTACCTGAATGTCTTGAGATGTGTGTACTTGGCCTCCTCCTTGAGCATGTACATCCTGACAATAGGTTCCCTGACAGACGGCCTGTTGGCTAACATGGGTCCCATGGTGCTGACTGAACCCCCCCTCACCACAGGCTCAGAACTGCCTCCATCTGCCTCCGAGTCCACTCTGGGAGGAACATGGAGACATCCGTGAATAGTTTCATCAGGTTGGTAAGACACTGAGTAAAGAGACTCTTTTTATACAATCAAGTCTTTTATTCAGCCGACGTTTTGATGACTGTCTGTCACCCTCCTCAGGGCAATTCTAACTGGTTCACATTGCACAGCAGCACAGGTGTCTCTGCTACAGGTGCATGATTCAGATTACTCAGAACATGGAGACAGTTTGAAAATACTTGTAGAGTTTGAAATATGCTGTAATTACACAAATTACATAAACATGTGCAAGAAATATGGGAAGAAAGAAATCAGAGATGGCAGACTTCACCGCATTCATATGAAATGTGTCATCATGTAATTACCTATACTGCATTGATTTGCCCATACTTGCAGTTGGAAACATTGACAGACAAACACACCAACAAGCCAAAAACAATTCTTCACTCCCCTGGGATGAAGTACTGTAAAAGGAAGAGTATCATGTTGTGTTTGTCTGTACGTATGTGTTTGTATAAATTTGTTTATGATTATGTTTCAACAACAAACTTGGCACATAGATTCCTAAAGTACATGTACTTACTCTGTCCAAGGGTCCTGCTGTGATGATGTGTCTTCCCAAGAGGTCGATGAACTCTGAACGGAGAGTTTATCAGCAAAGTTGTCCTCAAACCCCTCCATGCCCATGTTCTCTGCAACTGTCACAAACAGCCATGTCAGTTTCCATGTTATAAACAAGTGGTACATCTTCAACATATGTCTACATCATATGTAGACATACTGCACCTGTGCTAAACCCAGATTTTTCTTTGTTTTTGTTGGATGTCTGGTCAATGTTGCATCAGAGTTTTGCCTGTGCAAAACTTTTCCGAAACCAAAAGTCTTAAACAAGATTCTGCCAAAATTCCATGCATTACAGGTTTTGTGCAGGTGCAGTATGTGCTGCCAACATGCTATACGGAGGTACATCGAGAGAAAGGTACAGGCACCCCGTCCTTTACTTCCTTTGACAAATCAAACAGGCACTTACAGGCGACCGGTGTGGTGGGTCCTGATGGGGGCTTCACCAGTGCACTCCACGGCCAGTCTATGTCGTAATTCGTCAAATATCCAACACAGGGGAGAGAAGTTAAGAGAGAAATGGGTGGATCAAACCCTCACTGTGCCATGGGCTGATTACAAAGTTTGTTAAGAACAAATTCTCATCAGCCTTGGCACAGGAGGGTTAAGGTGAACACAGTTAGTTATGGAACTTGCCAGTTTGAAAAAAGTGTCTAATAGTATGTGAAAAAAGTTTCAGATGATTAATAAGCAACACCATCTCGGTCTGACACGACTCAACCACGAGTGTCTGTTGCCTTTACTTCAAACAAAAGTAAGGAACACAAGTAGAACATTTTCACAAGCTGACAAGGAAAACAGACAGGAGCAACATGAGGAGATATGTTAGAGCAGAACTGATGATGGTTATACTAATAGTAACAAAAGAACAAGAGACTTCATCTAGAACATCAAGTTGAAGGACAAAGAGAAGAATCCGCACAACAAGAGTCCAGGCCTTACCCTGAGAAGTTTGCTGAGAAGGGCTGCTGAGAGGGTCAAACTCAGTCAGGTCAGTTGTGGCCAGCTTCTGGGTGTATTTCTGCAGCCAAGCGAAGGGCTGTAACACCCCTGCTGGGGGTTTACTGGTATAGACTGGGAACAACAGGAACAGTAAAATCAGTAACAAACGAAATAATCTGCAATCTGGAGACCCAGACTATTTCAGCTTAGGAGACCTAAGGCTAAACCGATGACCGAGGACCCAGGTTACTTTCCAAGTAACCAAAACTTGTGCTACTTGTTGAGACCTAAAATTAAATGTCATCATCATAGCTTGTCCAAAGATCAAGACTACTTTATCCTGCCGACCAAGACAAGTTCTAAAGAAACCAAAAATGCCTAAAGGCTACTTACGACTTATGGCCCTCCTTAGGGCTGTGAGGAAGTTCCCTGACTTGGAGCCAAAAGGAAGCTCCAGAGTCAACACCTGTCCACTTCCACACACCTTTACAGGTACATCTGAACCTGCAGGGACAAACAATAGATTACAACAATACACAAACTACAGGTAAACAAGTGTACACCTGTCCACTCCCACACACCTTTTTAGGTACAGCTGAACCTGCAGGAAATTCACAAAAAGCACAATTGCAACATAGAAAAAGAGCTTACCAATCAGGTGGGCTTTAGCTGGGTCGTTAACTGTAATGGGAAAGACAGAAAGAAGCACAGATGAAATGTTTGGACAAAATTGTGGATTTACAATACTGGTATGACAGGTACCATAATTAAGGAAATAATGATGTCCTTCTGGCCTGATAAGCAAGTATTAGAAGTATGTCTTTAGACGTGTACTTATTGATAATTAAGGAGATCATGTTCTCCTTTGTACTTACTGACTTCCACGGTAAAGTCCTCCTTGACAGGAATGACCTTCTCTAAGGTCAGGTCAGACCCCTGGACAGGCATACGCTTGGTGCTGTACATAAAGAACCTGGGGGGGAAAGCAAGCAAGTCAACAACATGGCTCAAAATACCCCCCTCAAATCTCCTCCTAGCTTCTTACCACTCTACAAGCAAAACACACAAGCACAGCGAAAACAATACGTCTGTCCCATTCCACTTATGTGCAGAACATAAGGGTGGTGCCCATCTCCATTTCTGTAACCCTTGGGCCACACAGCTGTGCAAGCACTACAGCAGGGGGGTAGCCTGCTGGTACTGTTGTGTGTTTGACCTTCCCATTCTCTTTCTCATAGATGATTAGTGCTAAGCAGAGAAAGCAGTATGTACCATTTTTAAAAGTCTTTGGTATGACGTAATAAACAAGACTTACCCAAATCCTGTCTTGGCCTCGACCAGAGCGACCACTCTGCTACCTTGCACCAACTCCTGCACCAGGACCGCATCCACCGCGTGGGGCAACGTTAAGGGTGACTTTTTGCTGCAGTAACTTATTTACATTCGAATTCGGATAATCATAGGTATATACAAGTTACACCTGTCTTCAGACTCATTCTCAGTCACTGATCGGAAACGGCTTATCCAGTTAACTTACTTAATATGATTTATTTTGTACCATGTAATGTTCAACCTGGATGGACTTCATTGACATGTTATGGTGACCTCTATAATATAATTCAGCAGTGGTGTTTGTTTGAACACTTATTACTATTACTACATTGCTGTTGTAATCATAAATCAAGAAGCATTTCGTTAATTACTACTTACAGAACTTACTTAACATGACGAGGGCACAATCTAAACACCTACTCAAAGTATACTGAAGTAGCACACGGCTACCGAGGTTCCCAGTAAAGGATATTGAGACGCATTTTTCCTCGACCGCGAGAGTTTCCTGTACCGTCCCGGACGGATCCATGTGTGTTTACATCAATAATTAAAAACAGTCAGCTGGGAAATTGTACGACAGTTGAGAAGGTTCACAAGTTCATCACCGTCTGGTATAACATCTCAGGCGTAACCGCGATGACATCGCTTCCACAGGCAGAGAATGTTTCTTGTGAGGAGTCTGGTACAAGTCTCAAGTTGTCTCAAGGAGCTAGAGCAGACGACAAGACACCTGGCCGGTGGGTGGGGCGATCACGATCGGTTAGGAAATGCCGTCTCTACGAACCTACAGGGACCGCGGGTGTTACAGATAGTTAGTGGACCTTTCAACTAAATAACACGACTATTTCTGCTTATGGAAAACTTCCTGTTCCGGGTAAATGTAGGTTAAAATCGACGAAATGTGGCCGTTTTCCGGATAACGTCCGCCATGTTGGTTCTGGTCGTGCAAACTCTCGCGAGATCGAGCAGTCACGCGTGAGTTACTCTTTTAAGTAGAGTTCAAGGGTCACAAGGCCTCCGGAATCCCGCTTGCTTTGAAAAGTTTGATATGTTATGTCCTTGGTTATAGTAATAACCGCTTGCAATTATATTTTCGAAATGTTCCGAAACGGGCATTTCGTGCATAGATGTCGTAAAGTTTAGGAAATGTAACTTATTTTGTATTCGCCTCTAATCCTTTCGGGCGAGAGGAATGATGGACTGGAACGGAGCCAGTTTGGCAACCACAACTAGCAACTTCTACAGGGCCATTTGCCAAGTGCATAGTGTGCCGAAATATAACCCTCTAAACGCAGAATCAATCTTTCTTTTGGGACAAGCCGTGCAGCAGCGCTACCTACCGGTGTAGTGATGAGGTGCAGCGCCAAATATACCTGCAGGTCAGGGGTGAAGTCAGTGCGCATGTGTCGGCACGGTCTGTCAGCAGAAGATCCCAAGCACAGAAATATATACTTGACCCTTGAAGACGGCAGTCTCAGCCGAAATCGGACTCAAGTTTCCTTGGGTCGACCGGAAACACCTTGATCGAGGGACAAGGGCACAGCCGCCCTCTTCTTGTTTTCCCCGGAGGTCTGTTTTCTCTATAACCACCGAGGAACCACCATAATAATTTCTGGCCGCTGCACAAGTTCACGTCACTAGAAGTAAAAGCTGATGAAGCATCACGATCTGATCGGCCGGGAGGAATATAATGTCTGGTGGGAGTCCGGCTGCAGATAGAAGCCTGCCCGTCAGCACTAATGGCAGACACAAATATCACACGGCTAGCGGGACAGAGGGAGACCGGGGTAGGTGTTTAAATAACACTGTGATAACAACATACCATAGCTGATCGTAAATAACAAGTCTAGGTGTAACGTCTGTTATATGCGTACAATAACAAATAAAGAGTGATGTTATGGGAAGTACTGATGTACAGAATGTGTACGACAATAACAACTAGTATTAGTACACAGGGACACAACGTAGGTGCAACAGCGCAGCTGAATGGTGTACGTAAATTATATATTAGATATTATCATCATATTGTTGGGTATATAATTTGAGATAAATTCATGTAATAACGATGTTGTTGAGATAATGTTTTATATGATGTGATAGCTGTTATATACTGTATGTATTTATTCATTCTTAGAATGCTGTATGAAACATTCTGATAACTATATTCTAGTAATACAATGTAGTTTTATGATCAATCGAAAACTGATATTATAAGGTCAGCTAATTTGAGTGCTGCAATGTTCCAGTTTAAGGTTAACTTTAAATTATCAAATGAATCTCCAGTATTGTAACGGTAGGGTTCAAGTGCCGCTTACAAACCCATTCCAATGGGTCCAGAGCTTTTGGATATCCGGAGTAGTTGTGCACTGGCTGCCTGGGTTCAGTGCAGGTTTGCTTCCCGGCGTCCCGTGAGTCAGGGGTTTTCCTGATTTTACTCACTCTGTTTGTTTTAGTATGGTTCTAACTGTTTCTAACCCCGTCCTGCCTGTAGGATCGAGCACGGCTCCACTTTGAGCGCTCGCTGCAGGTCTGCCCACCATGGGTGCAGCGGATGGGTCTGGAGGCCGAGCTCTCGGTAAGACCATCATGGAACGTGATTGAAATCATGATTGAAATACAGGGGTTGAAATACCCCTCCGTTTGCAAGTTGGTGCAGGTAAAATTGGTGCAGTGTGACTAATTTTTTACCGGTGTGCACTGGTGCAATAGCGCATAAAAATACCCAATAAAGAACTGAAAAGAACCAGAACCCATGGAGTTTTTCTTCATTTTTCATATTTAATAGAAGGTACTAAGTCACTGCCATGGTAGTTTATTCTCTCGACAGTGTTATCAAATATTGGATACTATTATAGTTACCACACATACTTTTGGTTGTGTACTACCTATTATTTTTGAGGGGTGCAACCAATTTTTTTTTGGTGCAAGTAATTTTTTTTCAACTGCACCAGTGCAAGTTGACCCCAAAAACTATTTCGACCCTTGAAATTGTAGAAAGTGTTTCTCTGGACTATTGTACATTGTACATGGCATAACTTCTGGCATTCTGTTCTGTTCCACCAGGGCCACAGTGGCTGTGTCAACTGTCTGGAGTGGAACGAACAGGGCAAGTAAGTAATAACCTGATAAACTATTAGGATATAACAAGTCAAGTCAAGTCAAAGTTTATTGCACAACGATTGTCACAGGTACAATGTATGGCAAATAATAAGATTACTAGTACACAGGATAAATATGATAATAAAGACAGGCACTTATAACCTGATAGACACGGTAGGTAGCATAAACAGTTATGTTACACAAGAAAACAGTTACTCAAGCAACTTGATAGATTTTGAGAATAATCAAGTTATATACATTGTAGTTGATGGGAATATTATGGTAACTTAGAGCTAGCCTAGATGCAAGACAATTTCCAGGGTCTACACAGACCACTGCTCCTCCTTAGCTCATGCCCTCAGAGAAATTTTACCACAGATTAGAGGCTGTGGTAAGGCTACTAATAATGGTAACCTGATGATTTGGGTGATCGCCAGTGGTTCAGATGACCTGTATGTTGTTGTGTGTTACAGTTTACTAGCTAGTGGTTCAGATGACCTGAATGCCATCATCTGGCAGCCTCTGGTCCACAAGCAGCTCTGCCTCCTGCGCACAGGACACCAGGGAAACATCTTCTCTGTAAAGGTCAGACATTAGCTAGTTGTTACATCTACAATGTTTGTAAATGCACTTTAAAATTTATTATTATTAAATGATGCAATATTGACTAGGAACATTTTTACCAAAACGGATTGGTAACAGTTGGGTGGCATCATGTCAAGGCTCAAAATGCCCACCTGCATTTTGCAAAAAAACTTTTTCAGGTTGCAAATTTTCAATGTTACCTGTACCAGTGCAGGCATGCAGAAAAAAGGATTTCGAGCATGCTCATGGATAATGCTCCTTGTAGTCTTACTGATTTGACTAAAGATTAGTTCCTGTTTGATCCTAGTTCCTGCCGAGTTCGGGGGACAGGATTGTTGCCACAGCGGCGGCGGACTGTAAGGTTCACGTCCACGACATCAACACCAAGGAAGTGACGCAGATGTTCACGTGCCACACGGGGAGGGTGAAGCGACTGGCCACCGCGCCCAACGTGCCTTACATGTTCTGGAGCGCCTCCGAGGACGGGACTATCAGGTAGGGCATTTTTTTCAATATTAATGTTAACAATTCTATAATCAATCAGTATAAATAGTACAATTCAGCCTAGTGCTGCCAGGTCTATTGAGAAATGAACTATTTTGATGATGTTGCTGAAAAGTTAATAAAAACAATAGGTTATAAAAGGATAAAAATCAACATTGTAACAAAACAAGTTTGATGAAATGTGAGACAAACCAGAGGTCTTGTGCCTTACATGTTTTGGATATACTTAGAGGAAGGAACTATAACAGGAGAAAACCTTAAAGATAACGCTGGCCTCTGCCTTTAACTTTTTCAACAGTTGTTAATGTGTTCAACAGTTGTTTGTTTTTACTGTATGTTGTTGTTGATGTTTGTTGCAGGCAGTTTGACCTGCGGATGTCGTCGCGGGACGCCATGATCCTGGTGGACCTGACCCAGTACTGCGGCACCAGCGTCGAGGTCAAGTGCATCGCTATCAACCCGCGCCGCCCGGAGATCATGGCCGCCGGCGCCAACGACCCCTACATCCGCATGTACGACACGCGAGCCGTCACCGCTCACCGCACCAAGCACGCCGAGCGGAGAAGGGGAGGGTTCCACGGCTCGTCCGAGGCAGAACTCAATCTTCCAGCAGGCTGTGCACAGTACTATGTAGCAGGTACGGCACCCTGGCTGCATTCCTGTAGACAGCTTACTACACCTAGTACCCATGCACACCTAGTGAGGATAGCAGCCCAGTTTTTCTCTGCAGCCTAAGCAAAAAGTTACATCATGAAAGTTCCTAATATACTGTTCTTACCTGTATTGTCATTGCCAGGCCGTGAAGGTATTGTACTACTTTTTTATACAGTACTATTGTTACTGTACAGGTCTCTTGGACTAGGATTTTTATAGTGAGACTGTTTCCTCCCCAGACTATGTTTGTTTAACTGCACTGTTCTTACAAACATGTTAAAAAACAAGTTAAAAATTTTGATCCAACACGACCAGTCACTCTGGCCTTCCCCATCAGTAGACCGACCCATTGAGACTTGTCACGTGGGTTCTTTGAAGTGTGACGTCAACACTGGGTCAAAGGTATCTGATAGACGATGTCAGCCCCCATTGTGGTTATAACTGATCTTACAAACACCTGTGCTCCCCCCCCCCCTCAGGACATCTCCCCATGAAGCAGAGTGACTACCAGAGGAGGTTCCGCACGCTGGTCTCCACGTACGTCACCTTCAGCCCCGATGGGAATGAACTCCTGGTGAACCTGGGCGGCGAGCAGGTCTACCTTTTCGACGTCGTGCGGCCCAGAAAGCCCCACAGGTTCCAGCTAGGAGACTACATGCCTGCCACACTACAGCCACATGATAATGGGGTGGTTAGTAAAGGTGGGTAGGACGTAGGACAACTGCCGTTTAGGCCAAAATCTGCTAGTCAACCAACTGGATATGATTTTGGCAACGGTCAGACGTTTCAGGTAGCATCTACTACCTTTCCTCAGTGACACTGGTGAGATGTAAATCTGACTGTTTCTAAAATTGCATCCAGTTGCTTGAGTTACTGTATTTTGGCATATCTTATTACCTTCGTTGACATAACTGCAGTGTAGAACTGTTGTAGGAATATGCTGTGATTTCAGATGACCAGACATAGTAACAAGATGTTTAGTGAAGGTAAAATACTTGATTTGTGTATTTGAGCTACTTTGAATTCAATTAAATTTGCTGGAACTTATTTTTGCAGTAGAAAAGGAAATTTCCAGCTTAAAGATTGTGGTTGACACAATTCTGTTTTACAGTAATGATACATTTGAAATGCACAAGATTTACAGTATTTGTGCTGTGTTCACAGCCCACCACAGTGCAGCCCACGCAGCTGCCAGCACCAGTAACGGAGTCACCAACGGCATCGCTGCCAAACTGCACCACACCAACGGCTTCAGTCTGCTGGAGGGCAAGCAACAACCCAGGTTAGCCCTAGTCTGTGACCCACGGTTATACTGACTCTAACACATACTATGGTAATACAAAATGTACATGTACTGACAAAAAACAATCAGTTTCTAACCTGCAGTAATACCAGACTCTAACCCATGGTAATTCTAATGTTAACCCACAGTGTTACTGTAACACTGTGGGTTAACATTAGTAACACTTCTTCAAGTCAACTTTTTCCATGACTTTTTGGATTGTGAGTGCCTAAAACAGTTGAGACTGTTCTGTAGACATGTCCCCTTCTCTGATGAGATGTCCTTTGTTCTTTTCCAGGGCATCCCTCAAGCCGGCAGGAAACCTCCCTCCCCGAGCGGAGGCTCTGAAACTCCGAGCCAACGAGGTGTTCTGTCGGCAGCAGTTCTCCCTGGCCATCGCGCTGTACAACCAGGCCATCCAGCTGGCACCCAACTCTGGCATCCTGTACGGCAACAGGGCAGCTGCCTACATGAAGAGGGGATGGTGAGTTATCCTGACCACACACTGGTGTATAACTCACTCACTCACTCTTTGGTTTAACATCTGTTGTCCCCCACCTCCCAAGGGATAGACGTACTTGCATGCTGATACTGAGCCCACCATATGCCTCTATCCTGTGAGTTCATGCCATGTAAGTTGAGGTGGTGGTGTTTACTGTAGGTTTTGTTTAGTGGCATGGACAACTATTCCCCACTGCAAGACTGCTACACTGTGCTGTTGTTGTTTGTGATTACCATTTGTATTTACTGTTTATGTTTACAGTTAGGGATGGAGATATCTATTCAGCACTGGCAGACTGTCCCATGGCACTATTATCAACAGTTTGTGTTTACTGTTACATTTAGGGATGGAGACATCTATTCAGCACTGCGAGACTGCCACACGGCCCTGTCCATTGATCCCAACCATATCAAGGCGCACTTCCGGCTGGCGAGGTGTCTGCACGAGCTGCAGTGGACAAAGGAGTCCCTGGACTGTCTGAACCAGTTCCGGGGGAGATTCCCCGAGCACGCTCACAGCCAGGCCTGCGACATGCTCGACAAGGACATCAAGGCATCGCTCTTCTCCAAGTCTGACCATGGTGAGATTTTCCCTATGAAAAAAAATGTGTCTCCAGTTTCAGTCCTTTTTTCAGACTTTCCTTTTTAGACTTACATGTAGGCTGTAAGGATTTAAAAGAACACTGAAGCCACAGGTATGATAATACTAAAAAACTGATCATATTTTATATGATATGGCTTTTAAGGAAAGAAAACCCTTAGAGACATAAACAATAAGGTTCCTCTCTCTTCAGATGGTATGTGGCATTTGCTTCAAGTCTAATGTTGTTAAAAGGATATATATGGCTGTTAAAAGGATAGGAGTTTTGATTCAAGACATTGAGATTCAAGACATTGAGATCCAAGACAAGGAGTTAAGGGTGTTAAAGATGACAAATAAGGAGTTATACAATAAATTAAAGGTTGATAAAGTTACAGTAGACAAGGCATTGTAGGTAAGGCTTCCAGGCTTTATAATTCACTTTGGTTTGATTTTTCTGCAGATGAAGATAAAAGTACCAAGTCCGACACATCGCCCAACCGGAGGAGACAAGGAGACGCCATGTCCGAAGCAGAAAAGACGCTACGAGAAACCGCCTTAGATTACGAGATGAGATTCTGTGGGCACTGTAACACAACCACAGACATCAAGGAAGCCAACTTCTTCGGAAAGTAAGATGTCTAAAAACTTTTCCTTATTGAGTTGCTCTTTGTGTATCTAACTTATTTATTTATCCATCATTTATTTCTGTTTTATTTAAACAGGGTCGCTCATATCTTTGGCTTTGCACTCCTTTACAGTGGGGCCCTGGAAAACACACATTACATGTGACATGTGTTTATTTTAATGAGACATATCATTATCCACACTTTACATGCAATGGTAATCAAAAATTTGACAGACGGGGCCATTACTCCTATGCTGACCATCACATTGTGCAGCAAGTTTCCTTGCCATTTCTGTGACTGTCACAGAATTTTGGGACATGCAGGGAGGCGTTGCTATAAAAAATTGTAAGAAATATGCACATTTGTAATGGACTAATGGTCAGTATTTTCTCCTCGTTATGCAGCAATGGTCAGTACATCGTTGCCGGGTCTGACGATGGGTCATTTTTCATGTGGGAGAAGAAGACGACGAACATCGTCCGTGTCCTGCGGGGCGATGACTCCATCGTCAACTGTCTGCAGCCCCACCCCAGCCACTGTCTCCTAGCAACCAGCGGCATCGACCCAGTTGTCCGACTGTGGAGCCCCAGGCCAGAGGTAATAAAAAAATAAAAAAAACACACACTGAGAGCATTTTTGTGTTCTTCTTCATTTTGTCCCGCAGGATATCTATAAGGAGTATGTTGATGAAGGTTAGACATCCAGGTAAAACAATATTCAAAGACAATTCAAACTCTACTACTGGATGAATAACTTCCGGACATTTTAGTGACATCTGTCACTCTTCTTCATTGTCACTAAATGAACTGAGAGCACAAGTTGACACTAATCACGTGTGATTTCTAAGGAATGTGAATTTCTGAGGTTGTGTGGCAAAAAAAATTATCATGCAATAATTTACCATCACGTTGCATATTCTGACCAGTTTGTTTGTTTGTTTGTCCTTAAGGACGGGTCTAACGAGGAGCGTCTGGTAGAGGAGATGGAGTCCGCAGCACTGGCCAATCAGAAGAGGATGAACGCCGACCCCCTGGAGGTCATGCTGCTGAACATGGGGTATCGAATTACGGGCATCTCAGAGGGGTCCGATGACGAGACTGGGGACGGGCCTGCCCAGTGTCGGCCTAGCTGATCCTGGCGACATGCACGGACACACACACATACACACTCACACACATACACACGAACAAACACTCATACACACACACACACACACACACACAAACACACACACACACACACAGTCACTCACACACACATATTACACACACGTGTGTATATGTCTATGTCACACACACACACACACACACATACACAAACACACAATCACATACACACACACACACACACACACACACACACACACAATCACACACACACACACACACACAGTTCAGACCTACCAAGTGTTGGCCAAGTTGACTCTGGCAAGGCTGCAGCTGTGGTGACTTCTGTGTTGCTAGTGTTATTTTCTGGTCCCTTCTATGCCATTTGTACATCTATACAAACCTGTTGGCATTATTTTTGTAGGACGATGATCATTTTCAGACAAAACGTAAGAAGTCCTAAAGATCCTGGCTCAGAGGAAGCTGGGAAATCTAACTAGTTTACTTTGGTGTAAGGTACAGTACCTAGTACAATTACTGGTAATTTATGATGTTAGAATGGAAAAAAACAGTAAAAGAATTTTTTTAAAGGAAAGGGAACAAACTTCCGTTTTTTACTTGCAGGTTCCTGAATCCTATTTACGATGACCATTGGCCGATGGCACTTCCTTCCAGCCAATCAGGTTGCATGATGTGATCTTAAAGTTTGTCACAGTCCCATTAACCAATCAGGGCCTATGATGTCACAGTCCCACCAACCAATCAGACCCCCAGTTGTCACTTTCCCACCAAAAAATCAGAAACTAAGACGTCATAACTCCCACCAACCAATCAGACCCCATGATGTCACTTCCAACAACCAATCAGAATCTAAGACATCATCGCCAACACCCCCAACCCACACTAAGCAATCAGGCACTGTGACTTCTCAGCCACATCAGAATCATGCACTTTGAACAGTAAAATGAACAATAGGATGTCAGGTCCTGAAGTCCAGAAATGAATTTCGTTCCCTTTACACTAAATGAAATTAAGATAGCCCCTATAAGATATAGGGTCTCTCAGGATCCCGAGTTATTTACCTTGTATATGTGGTAGAAAGCCAATAAAGCAACTTGTCTGAAAACTACTCAGTGTCTTTCTCAGGATAGCTGTGTTGAGACTAGCCTCCTTTGCAGGCATTCCGGGAGCGGTCGGAATTTTTGGGGGGGAGGGACAAGTTTTCTGATCGCACGTTTGATTGCACTTCGATCGCACACGCTTAGAACTATGGCCGCCTCCCCTGGTATGCAACACTAGTACTATTACTAGTCTTAAGATTTTTTATGCATCAGTTATGAGCTATGATGTTCAACACGTGCAGAGAAAATACCCGCAGATATTAACCTTCATGTATCAATTTTACACATTGTCAACATTTCGTGTTTTTTATTCACATGCACGTGTGCCAAAAGCACGCACGGTTACACAAATCAGGACGCCCCAGGCTTCTGCAAAGGCCCTCGAAAACCGGTCCAACAAGGTTTGCACTGTTTGATAACTCAGTCTGGAGCTTTGTAGTACATAAATCATGCATATGCGCGCTGTTTAGAAATCGGGAGGTCAGAAAGGTCAACCCAACAAAATATCCTAAGTGGCATCAAGGAGCGTTTAGCTAGATTTAAGAATCTAGCAGCTCCTTGGTGGCAGCTAGTATTTTTTGTGTGATGACCAGGCAATGTTGCAAATTAAAAAAAAATATATGATAAAAAAATATTATTCAATCTAAAACGCCGACAAAGCATTTCAACTGAACATATGTTTGCCCCACGATTTCCGGTGTTACCTGTCTTCCTCTCAGGTTGACAATTAAGGTTGGAGGGGGGAGGCAACCTTAAACGATGTTCGCGCATGCGTTTGGCCTAATTGCAGGTAAGCTTGCGTTTGGAGACAAGGTTAAGGCGGGACTAGACGCGATGTTGGCACAGGCGCCGCCAAAAACTGCCGGGCTGCCGGAGGTTGGAGGGGAGAAGTTCTCCAACTACGATTTTCCCTTCGAGAACCTTGTGTTGGAAGGGGGAGGGGCCAAGACGATCGCACACATCGGAGCACTCAAGGTGGGTACGTCTGCAGCACAGCGTAGTGGTGCAAGCAAGAGTCAATCTAGTCTGAGTGCCAGTATACGGGCCAGCTATATACATGGCCAGTATACAGGCTAGCTCCTCGGTTCCAGGGCCAACATTTCCGCAAGGACATTTTCCCATAGACACCCCCACAGACGCTGAGTAAAAGTTGCCCAGGGTCTACCTAAGGAACTGGGCAGTGTACTGGCCCTGACAACAGTCTGGCATCCAGGCTAGCTATAACGAGTCGGGCCCAAAGAATAATTCTTGAATAATGTTTTAGTATCCCACAAAAAAGACACTCTGCAGCACCTTGTTGTGATTGCATAACCTTGTGTTCATGAACTAACAAACTCCTATACATGTATTTGAACAGCGTAGATTCTGTGATTGTCAAATAACCGATTTTTTTGTTAATAATCATGGCCAAGGATAATACAAAGGAGTTAAGTAAATACATAAAAAAAGGTTTAAGTCTACATTTAAGACAAAATGAAGTGCGGTGATCCAGTCGCGAGATTCACCAAGATGTCCCTGTTCCCCAAGGTTTGTGTATTTCCGGGTCACTGCACTAAACGTCCCTGTCCTACAGGTACAACACAAGCCATACGACTGGTAGTTATTACACCCGTGTGCCTTCATTGCTCATAATATGTTGTAAATACTGCTCGGATGAAGAAAATTGAGGGTCGATGACCATTTTTTTTTTAGTTTGAGGTATCAACCTGATAGACAGGTACTTGGTATAGCTCGGTAGCGACTTTCAGAACCAACAATCGAAAAGTATCTGTGAAGTAAGAATGGGCTACACATAAAGAAACGGGGAAACTCCTGTGACCCATTAATTAAAAGAACTAATTTACTTAATGGGTGAATACAATTGTAGAGTAAAACCCCAAGGCTTGTTGCTTGGGCCGTGTGGACCCGTACTTCAAAAAGAAAAGGCCTGACACGGACAGAGCAAGGTTATTGTTGTAATTATATACATTTATCTGGTACAACAGTATTGCTTGGGGTGTCTGGCTTGCAAGCAAGGATATGTATTTCATGTCCAAGTAGCGACGGTTTCATAGCCTAGTTACCAAACCTATTATAGCTCCCGAGTCCTACATCCTCTCCTCTATTTGCGAAGAGGATGTTCTACTCGGGAGCTATGATAAATTTGGTAACCAGCAACCAGAGCCAAAATAGTCGAGAACCATGGAATTTTCAAATCAAATCTTTATTCAGTAAGGATCTCACGGACAACACACCCGAATTTCGTCCTTATTACAAAGAATTTCCAGTATGGATCACATTTAAAAATTAATTCTTTGTTGCCAACATGATGTATACGTAACCAACACTAATATTTATTGTAGGTACTTGAGGATGCAGGGCTTATGGACCAGGTCCGCCGCCTGGCGGGAACCGGCGCAAGCGCAATCCTGGCCGGCCTGGTGTCACTCGGCATGACGTCAGAAGAAGTACTGGACCAACTGAGACATGTGGACATGGACGACACAGTCCTGGGTAAGAGAATATCTTAATTTGTCGTTTTAACAGTTGAAGCTTGTTCACAAACACATTTTATACTTGTTTTGCATACCATCACCATGTCCATGGAATGTTCTCACAACTTTTCTGATTTTTAGAATGTCCTTCTATCACAGAATGTCACTTTCAAAACATCTGATGACTTTCTAACTGCTCTCGTTCCCATGTAGACGGACGTTGGTGGTTGCCATGGAAAACCAAGTACGCGGGCATGATGTTCGACATCCTCTTCAACTTCGGCGCATGTCCGGGCACCAAGTTTCTCGACTGGTACGGACAGGTGATCGAGAAACACCTGAAGAAGCTTGGAATGCAGCACCTGGGGCTGGACAAGGACATCACCTTTGCTCAGGTTAGCTCCTTATTAGGAAGTTTGCAGCCACGTGACTATGACGTCATGTAGCGTCCACCATGTTGGTGGGTTAAAGATGTACTCAACATCATTTGAGAAATGATCTGAATTTTTTTTTCATTTCATTTTCCCCCAGCTAAAGCTTAATTACTTTCACGGCAATAGGTAATAACTTTGATGGTACTGTACCCGTTCTGCAGGTGTATGAGGTGTTCCGGAAGGAGCTGTGTGTTGTGGTGTATAACGTGTTGTTGTACCCGTTCTGCAGGTGTATGAGGTGTTCCGGAAGGAGCTGTGTGTTGTGGTGTCTAACGTGTTGTTGTACCCGTTCTGCAGGTGTATAACGTGTTGTTGTACCCGTTCTGCAGGTGTATGAAGTGTTCCGGAAGGAGCTGTGTGTTGTGGTGTATAACGTGTTGTTGTACCCGTTCTGCAGGTGTATGAAGTGTTCCGGAAGGAGCTGTGTGTTGTGGTGTATAACGTCCAGTTTGGGAGGGAGACCTACTGCCACGTCAAGACCACGCCTCTGCTCAAGATCCGGGAGGCTGTGCGCATGTCCATATCCACGCCAGGTGATCATGACTCTAGATTTCTATGGTTTTATTTTTCGCGATTGTTGTTCTACTTTCATTTTTCATTTTTGTCAAGGAAATGTTACCCAACCATGCAATTGTGGATAGGGGAAGTGTGTAATTCAGAAATTGTTCAACAGATCAAGTATGCAGTCGTATCCACTATATATTTAAGGCAACAAATGAAAAGTGGCCGTGAATGACTAACACTACGTGCTATAATTAGTCTCATGACCCATGGCCACAGCAGATTTGAGATTGAAAACTATTGCGGCTTTTCTTCCTGCTCTTGCACATTTATTTCTTTCGTGTTATTTTGTATAATTTTTCATTATGTATGTATGTGCTAAATGAAAATAAATAAATAAGAATATGTAAAATCTTCTCCTTTGTGCCCAGTTGTGTTCGAGCCTTACACGCTGCCGGGCGGCCATCTCCAGTACATGGACGGAGGCCTGTACTCAAACTTCCCCATCTACTGCTACGACGGTGAGCATGGCGTTATTATAAACATACCATTTACATAGACCATTTACTCTTGATGTCTCCGGGATATAGACATCAAAATATGCATAAACGTATAATGTGTCTCGTCACAAAGTTTTCATGCACATCTTCTTGAAAGAGAATCTCAAAGCTACAATTGTACTGACCATTCACACATTCTTGAGAATCTATAGCCAAACGTCACATTATATTATTTATTTACACAAATTTCTAAAGTACATGGTGTAATCATGAAATATGTAGCTACAGCCATATACTTTGTGATTCTTGATTCTACACATGGCCGCTATTTCACTACAGGCTGGTGGCTGTCCATGGACAAAGAGAACACCTTCTTCCAGCGGATGCGGAAGGAGGTGGACAAGGATAAAGTCAGGCGGTTTTTCTACCCAGAATACAAGCAGGATCGCTTTAAGGGCGACCAGGAGACTAGAAAGAAGACTCTTGGTCTACTTCTGGTAAGACTCGTGTAACCTACATATCAACATGTATTTCATCTCACCTGGACATCTTTAATCATGACCTCATTGAAAAGTGGACAGCAGGCCGATTTGATGAAATCCAACTTAACATAAATGATATCTGCTCACAAGCAACATAAAACATCAGAAATTGCACAAGGAACTGTAATGCAATGTTGTTGTTGTTAAAGTAGCGCGAGTCGTCGTCTTTCTTCTGCTTCTGTGCTACCCTGACGTATGACATTGCCTTGATCTGTGACAGTTCTCGGAGAACGACCGTGAGCCGTACCAGGATGACTTCCAGGCACGACTGGACAAGCTGGGCAGCGTGGACCCCTACTTCAAGAAGGAGAGACCTGACACGGAGAGAGCAAGGTTATTATTATGTAGAGATAGAAAGTTAGATTTGTAGAACGTAGAACTTCATTGTAGTATATGGTTTAATACCATTACTCAATCACATCCTCTACTCAAGGTTCTTGTCAATGTCTGTTTGAAGTTGCAACAAAGCTTTTCATTATTCATTATTTTAACTATATGTCTGGTACAACAGTGTTGCTTTGGGTGTCTGACTTGCAAATTTGTATATTTCATGTCCAAGTAACGACGGTTTCACTGACGGTGGGTGGAAGGTGGTTTTGTCAGTTGATTGATAGGGAGGACATACATGTACAGGCCTCGAGGTTACCCAGCACGCGCCGGGTAGTATGTGAAGGAAAGTGGTGTAATAAAAAATAAACAGTCATCAATCCACAGTTCCAATACGTTCACATACCCCAAACGCTGATTTCGTCTTCTGTGTTGTTTGTAGAAATTACACGAAACAACAATGGGAGAGTAAGAAGACCCACGACGCTTCCATCGCCAGGTTCAAGACCATGCTGAAGCTGAAGGAAGAGAAGATCGACGAAGTGTTGAAGCTTCCTCCAGAAGAAAGACTGGACCGTTTCCTGGAGGTATGGTCCAGAGTATGAAACAGTAGACAAATGTACGTCTTGCTAAATATGTACATGAATATCTAATTGATTGGCACCCTTCAGTTTTGTCAACGATATGCTTTGCTGTATGAAATATCATATTTGAGAATGATCTTAGATCTTTGTGTTCGTCCAAGCTCTTTACTGACGAGGATATAGCCGACATCGCCACGACTCGGGAGGGCGCCTTCCATGTTCTGTTCATGGATAGCAACGGCGAGGTGAGAGCAGACCAGAACTAGCATACCCTCTCCTCATTAAAAAAACTCATATTACCCTTATGGTTCCGTAGTGGTTTTTACTAGAAGTGCCACTGCATGTCCTTGTCAGTACATGTGATATCATCCAATTGCTTGCGTTTCTAGCTGTGCTAGAGTACCACTAAACAACTCCGCCAGGTCCAATATGCTGTGTGTTAGGAAATACATGTTAAGGGGTTGACAAGAGATTGACGCCTGTTGATAGCTTTTTTGCAAATCTCCAAGCACATTTTTCGGGGGGCAAAGTCTTGACCAACTGGCCCGTCCGTATTCAATAGACAAGGCACTATCTGGTCGTCTTGCCTACCGGATGCTGTATTGCTGGCTGGATACGGTTTTGCCACCCTGTATAAGATTTGTACCATTTTGCGACCATCCTCAGATAACGGACCAGAACGTCACCAACATCTTTGAGAACTGGGCGGCGTTCCAGCTGACTCGTCAGGAGGTCCTGCGGGAGAAGCCGGTCAGCTCGCCGAGACAGCTGTACGGGCAGCTCATGGACTTCATCGGGAAGGGAAACGCTCTCATGGTGTGTGTCTGTGTGTCTGTGTGTGTTATATTGAGCGTGTACGCCTCTATGCTATTGGAAGCATTAAGTGTACAGCGTGTGCAGGTATTGAAAACAAAAACGTCGTCTTTGAACATTTATACGTAAAGTTGTAATTTAGTAAATAAGTTGTAACGCCCTCCTCTTCCCGCAGGAGGATGACGTGAAAAGATGTGTGGGTATTGACGTGGACTATGTGGACATGCTGGACTTGGACCTGACCCTGGACGACCAAGCCTTTCTCATGAAGGTCAGCTAATAACCGACTGATATAACTCACCAACTCACTCATTCCAGTCAAGCTCGGTCCTTTATAGTTATGCCTTTCCATATTTCTGTCTTCCATACCTACAGGCAGTATAACCTTTAAATCCAAATCATATTTGAAAGTATGGTTGGTTCCTTGCAGCTTTAATCAGTAGGGTGTTGCTTATTTCGCGTTACGATTAACACATTGTTAATCTGTTATGTTGTAATTTTCATGTTCCAGAGAAAACTGCATTCCTTTTTATAGTGAAGATGTTTTGCAATACCAATGAAAAACCTAAAGTATATTCATTTTACAGCAAGGAGCGGCGGGAACGATTGCTTTCCTGAGGCAATACGTGGTGGACAACGACCTGTAACACGGCTTAAACATCAATTCACATGGAACAACCGTGTCAACGTTAACATGCGAATATCTCTTTTTGTGATGTTAGTTTCGTTTATTCATTTAATTCCGGCACCTGACCCATACATATATCAGAGAGAGGAATTGGTGTGAATATAAGATACTTTCAGTGTCCTGTGTCCTAGTAGGTTGTACAAGTAAAAATTAAAAATGCAGTGGTTCACCCCACTGCGTCGAAGGTCTTCTTTAAAGACGCCATATTTGTGAGTGAGCTTTTCTTTGTTTATTCTCATCGGCATGGTCCTACATGGAGTCGGCGTTTGGACTAACGTAGGGGGACGGGGTAATCACATGACCCCTATACAATGATGTCATCAGATGTCATCTCTGATTAGCATAAAAGCATACCCGTGGCGCCTTTCCTTGGGGACGCTCCACACAAAAGGAAATCAACACACGTTAATTTGATGAAACCCCTGGAACTTTATAAAGTTGGATATAGGGAACAAGCACACATGTGTTATTCACTTTTTTTTTTAAATTGAGAAATTGGGACAACCGACTTTTGGTATGCCCACTATACTAAGGTCTACTCACGGGACTTAGAACGGTTTTCAGCACCAAGGACAGTTCTGCCTAGTTTGAAATCCAGCAATGTATAGCCACTCCAAGCTTCCCTACCATTTCTATTTACTAAAGCTAATATGGCACTCCTGTCTGCAAATGCTGGTGATACGGCAGGCCACCACGATGTGTTTTTCTCAAGGCTGGATCACAAGAAATTGTGTGTGATGAATAAGCAAATCGCTTCTACGAAGTTAATTGCCCATGAATATGAATAATTTATGAAGTGAAAACTGCGTCTCTCTCTTGATCTCACGCCCTTACAAACATCTGGCAATATCAAGATATTTTGCTGTAACTTCATAAAGTTGGAAACAAACACATTAATGTTCTTAACATCAATAACTGAGATATATAACATTATGTCACATTACGCTGTAATAGAACCTATTATATATAGTCCATATTAATCCTTGTGTCGTTTCTCTGAGCTCTGTTTTTTTCAATCCGGTTGCTAGGCGTATAGCGTATAGGCCCTCCACGGTCAATTGACTGATAGTTTGCGCACAGAATAGTGTTCCCGCTGCGCTGCTCACATCACAAAGGGACGTACTACACTTCTGGCGGGACGCAAACATGGTAGACAAAATGTACGTTCGCTGTGTTTCCAGTATTGTCCTGGCGTGCACGTTGCTTCGGATAACGACACAAATTTCAGGTAAGGCAATTTTACTTCTTCTTCCGGTGCTCATCGTTGTACGTCATCTCATTAATGATATGATATGAATCTTTATTGCATGTTCTTGCCCAGATGGGCTAAATGCACAAGAGGGTATGCAGTATGCAAAAACATGAGTATTTCATACTGGTACGCTATATTCTAATGCAAAGTGCTAAGAATCTATACAATACAACAATACTATATACTACCTATCATCTACTGTTAGTTGCCTTTTCTTCTCTCTTTTTGAAACATTTGGAAACATAATTACATAGTTTGTCTACTGTACTTTCGTTCTTGCATGATATCAAGTGTTTAAACATGTCCTGTTTTGACATTTTCTTACATATCTTGTCTAATTGTAAAGTATCGAATAGCTCTTGGCGTTCATCTTTATATAATGTACAGTCAAGTAGAAAGTGTATCTCGTTTTCATTAATAAAAATGGCCTGTGCTGTTTATTCTGTTCTATGATACACATGTAATAGCAATCGGAAAGACTATGTATAGCTAGCTTGGCTAGCTAGCTAGCTGGTTCCTCTGGAAACTTATTTCGTTCCTTTTGTTAATTTCAAATTCCAGCTTCCCTTGGCGCCTAGAAGAGGGGTGTTTAAACTGTATCGTATCTATTGCTGATTTTACCAGTAAAAACATGTCACCTACACTAGCTCCTGGCGATTTTCGGAGTGCCCGTGGAGAGAATGACAGCTAAAACCTAAACTTAAAACGGCACCAGACATAGCACGAACGCAACAAGTTTATAGTTTAGTTACAGCTTCGAATTAAACACATTTACAAATCCCTTGAAAATTTCCTGCGTACCCCTAGCTATTCGAAGTGAATTCTTCAAAATTCGAAGTGTACTGAAAAGAGCATCCACAGATAGCGTTTTGTGATCTGAATATTTTGAATGATGTAGAAATATTATATTGCAGTCATATACTGCAGTTAGAATACACTTTCCTCGATTCCCCCAATTAGAATTGACATTTAATGTTTAGAACAATACACAATCAGACGCGAAACTCATAACAGTCTTTTTACTGGAAAACATGCCCTCACTGTGCCAGTCTGTAGAACCTACTCCACCGGCAGAACCTTCATACCTACTGCAGTAAGCATCTGGAACAGTCTCTCGACACAACGTGGTCGGTCTGATAACTGAAACTCCAGTCGTTTAAAACTAGAGTACACAGGTTTCTTTCCACCACCAGGGCCCCTACATGTAGCTAGAACCTTGCTGCTGCTGTAAACCAATGATTACCCAGGCAAAGAAAAAGTCGAGCCGTCCACATTCATGACAACAAATAGCTGAAAGTAGTGAGGATTTATAGAATGTACTTCAAGTATCCGGGGGTATACAAAGAACTTTCATTCAGATGGCATTCTGGTTCTTTCCGTCTCTCGTGTGTGTAAGGCTTAGGATTATACTGGGTGTTTTTTCCTAAGTTCTCATATGTGGATAATGCATTCTGACAGGTGTGCCTGACCCAAAGTGGGCAACAATAGGTAGGGCACGACAATACGCCAGCAATGTTAGCAACAAACAGCCTTGGTACCTAATTGGCTTTCAATCGAGCATGCACAAACAGCTTTTCAACCCGGGTTCATGTAAGGCCATAAGTGTTACCGTAGTAAGTTACTAAGAGACAAATAGCCTTGGGAAAATAATTGCTTTGAAGAAAGTCTGCAAAATACCCATCACATGAATAATTTAGTGCAAACAGATGATGTACATGTAAAGACATCTGTACGGCATTTATTTCACATCAGCGTTGTCATGGTGTGGAGCATCTGTTATCCCAACGTTTCATCTTAAGAATTGGATTGGAAAAAATACGCAATTGTCTGGCACACGATGCTTGAATCTCATAAATAATGCGGTGATGTAGGTGTGGTGGCATATTGGCAACTGTGTTTACAACCTAAGCATGTCGTTTTAGCTTGTGTTTATCAGAGGATCGGTTTGTCAACGCGTCGATCTTGTGTTGAAACGTCATCAACTCTCATAAACCTATCAGGAAAAATACCTAACAGTCACATATGATAAAGGTTTTAAGGCACAATATAAAGCCAAAATTTTTGATGGAATGAAATATTCTGTATCATCTCTGGAGTAAATGTCTGCCTTCCTAGTTTTATTCTTTATCGCCAAAAATGCCTTATGTATTTCAGCACCAAGGACAGATACTGTCGTAGATGACGATTAGCACTGAGTGTTCTTCCTCTGGAATCTTGTAGATTGTGATTCTAAGGTGCAAATATATTTGGTGACTACTAAGATACATTATCACACATGTCTTAAGCATTTGTTTGTTTACAAAAAGTCCAATGTTGTCTTTTCTTCAGCTGCCGTACCAGGGGACTCACAGAAGATCATCTTCCCCAGTCCAAGAAGCATTGAAAACTATGCCAGAATGCAGACCACATTGTCTAGTGACTTAAGAAGCTTTACCCTCTGTGTGCACATGCGCTCCACCATGTCCACCAGCGATACGATGGTCTTGGTCAGCTACGCAAGAGCGTCATCACAAGACAACGAGCTTCTCCTCTTTTTTAGTAGGGGATTTATGGTACGTTTATACAGTCGCTTTGAAGACTAAACCTCTGCTGCCTAATCCATGTCGTTTCATTGCTTGTTTATGCTGGATATGTATTTAAACTGACCAATGTAAAGAGGTTTGCAGGTTGTCCTGATAATTATGGTAAATTCTGAATTTCCTGTTTCCATCTCTTTCTGTCGTGAATGTTAAAAGTTAAAAAAAATTAAAATTGTGTAAATGTCATAATGTAATCTTGTGGCTAATTAATCAGCTCATGTCATTTTTTTAGTTACACATAAACCAACATGATAATAACTACATGGCGGACCCACCCGTTTGGGACGGTGAGTGGCACACCATATGTACTACCTGGCGCAGCAGTGATGGGGCCTGGCAGCTGTACGCTGACGGTGTGCTGACGGCTTCAGGCTCCGGCCTTAGAGTGGGAGGGGCAGTACGCACAGGCGGCGTATTCATCCTCGGACAGGAGCAAGACACTCTTGGGGGAGGATTCGACGTCAACCAGACGTTTAGTGGAGAACTGTCGGGAGTGAACCTCTGGGACCGCGTGCTGTCTCCAGCAGAAATAGGAGCGGGTTGGGCAGTGTTCTGTAACCATCATGGCAATGTGATTGACTGGGATACCACTGACATCGCAGTCTTCGGAGAGACCAGCATGACTGAGTATCAATGCAGTAAGTAGTACATGCTCATTTACATATGTCTTTACATATGCCCCGGAATATGTCTTAGACAGGCTTTTCAGCACCAAGGAAAGGTGCTTTCATGGTCGAGAATCTGCACAATATTTTCATATTTCACGTATGTGTGTGTGTGTGTGTGTGTGTGTGTGTGTGTGTGTGTGTGTGTGTGTGTGTGTGTGTGTGTGTGTGTGTGTGTGTGTGTGTGTGTGTGTGCGTGTGTGCGTGCTTGCACTCTTGGGTGTGTGTTTGTACAGGTATTCGTTGATATGAAAACAATGGTTTCTGCTCATGAAATTCGAAAGTCATTTCTAGTAAAGTGTTGCTGTTTCTTGTAGACACGTGCATCGTGCAGCAGTCGGGCATGGAAAATGCTGCCGCCACGATTACCGCATCTACCATTCACGATGACTGTTCTACCGAGAAGGCAGTTTTAAACTCCCAGTCAGGGGTTATGTATGTCGGTCGTTTTGCATCGGCATGGTGTGCCGCATCTGGACATCATTATGGACAATGGCTTCAGGTACAATTACATGCTAACTTATATAACTTGTTATGTCTTCGAATTCCTGCATCCGTTTAATTCACATCATGTGTGCCAAAAACATGGACTTGGTGACGATTTGATGGTTTCTTGGTCAGATCCTGTCAATGCTCATTTTATTAGTTACAACTACCTAATTTACGTATTTTCGTTTGTTTTTCTCTCCTATTGGTACACAATAGGTTGATCTGCATTCAGTGATCAGTGTAGCAGGTGTACGGACGCAGGGAAGAGGTGACATCTCTCAGTGGGTGACCAGATATAAACTCAGCTTCACCACTGATGGCGTCGTGTGGGACACATACTCCGAACAAGGACAAGAGAAGGTTGAAAACAGATAATATAGATTGCATGAAATAACGTTATTTAAGCATATACCTTAAAGCAGACGTTAAAGTACCATTTCTCAGTTGACTGACAAAGGGAAGCCTTTACGCATACTTAAGATATGCTCGAAAGTAAGATTCACTGATTGTGTCCAAGTTTTAGTGTATTTTCAAATTCAAAGCTGCCTGTTTCAATAATTCATATGTGATACAAAACAAGTAAGGCTTTTATAATAGTTCGAGTACTTGTCAGTGAACATATCTGTTCAAGTGCTTTTGATGTTTTTCTTAAACTTTTAGGAGTTTACAGGCAATAGAGACAGAAACACTATAGTCACACGCCTTCTTCTTCAACCGGTTTTAACACGGTTTGTTCGGTTCCACCCACTGTCGTGGTCTCACTGGCCAAGCATGAGAATAGACGTTCTCCTTTGTGCTCCAGGTAGGACAGCTATCTTTACATTTTCACCTCTGTGAATGATGCCCCTCTTAAACAGCTGCTTCATGTTACTGACTATAACTCACGATACCTTTGATGGCTTTATTTGAATTTTTGTACGTTGTTAGTTATCTATACCCTTGTCCAGTCAAACGATCTTGAACATCTAGTCACCTAGAGTTAGAAAGATGGTGAGTGTCATGTGAAAGATACTCTTACTGGCCGAATCTTCTAGTAGTAAGAGTTTACTCTTTCATATGAACTAACATTTTAATTCCTATTTCTACGACAGTCGTGTTGCCTATCAATATCGCCCTGAGGAAGCCGGCGTTCCAAAGTTCCGACTACCATGGTCATGTTGCCGGCCGCGCCGTGGACGGGGACACGAATACTGATTTCTTCGCTGGATCCTGTCAACACACCGGCAACGTGCCGCCCAACTCCACGTGGTGGGTGGATCTCGGAAAATCTGCTACGATTTCCAGGTACGTGTGAACATAATCCTTCGTGTTTTCGAAAAAAAATAAACATAACCCTTATCACATTCAGAAACGTTCTTAAGTATCCAGAACCGTGCATAAGCACGCGTATTCACACCACAGCCACTCTACCATGGCCAACCCAAAACATACACTTCTGATGAAGGCAATAACTGCATTTATATTTTAACACTGCCTGTAGCGTGGTCATCTTCAACCGCCAGGACTGTTGTGCTGAACGACTCAACCCCTTCAACATCCACATCGGGGATTCCGACCAGATCAGCACGAACCCCAAGTGTGGTGGTGATCATCAAATCGCCCTGACCCAGCCGTCCATCTCCGTGCCGTGCCAGGGGATGCAGGGACGGTACGTCGGCGTTCGCCTGCCCGGAGACAGCCGAATCCTGACAGTGTGTGAGGTGCAGGTCTTGTCGACGTCAGGTATGCATTTGTTACATTTATGTATACTACCATAGTGATGTTTGCTCGTAAAGATAACTTGGCAGCCTCAAGTATTGTAGGCAACTTGCATCTCAGTGAGTTTTCAAGGGTAGTGACTTGAAGATGCAAATTGATTTACATATTGTCAGAGATTAGTTTGTCACATCGTCTTAGGAGAACAACACCAACAACAACCAACTCCCGGAGAAAACCACTAAAAGATCTAAGCGTATGTTACAGAGATGCATACTCCTTTCCACAGGATGTGAAAGCTGTGGGTACGTCAGCCTGGGCTGCTGGAGCGACACTCCTGACCGCGCCATTCCAACACTCGAGGGGACAGATCCACTCCTAGACGGCAGCGACTATCATTCACGTACCAACGCCCTTGAGAAGTGTTTCCAGGTAGCACTGTCTCGTGGTCTTACCGTGTTTGCTGTACAGGATGGCGGTTGGTGTGCCGGGTCTGCTGATGCGCACCGAACCTACAACAAGTACGGACGTTCCACGGCGTGTGCGGCGGACGGCGAAGGCGGGACGTTGGCAAATGAGGTCTACCAGATTACAGGTCAGTCATGTGGGACACGAGCGCTGCATGTGACAGGCAGGGCAGTTGGAAGCCGGGAAGAGCATGTAGAAACGTCTTTGGGTTTTACAGTGAGTTCTTGAAGAATATTGAAATAATTACATTAGTCCTGACGGCCATGTCACTTCTGAATAACTTCTTTACTTTTGCTCGTGCAACCTATGAGGTAGTATCACTTATTCGGGTGTTTATTTGGCAGTCCCAACTCCTGTTGCCGGATACACAGTGCGTGCCGGGGTCTGTTCTGGGAACGACATCTTGTCCCTCTTCGCGACGGGTATCTCTCGGTCCCAGTGTGCCGACCGGTGTAGCAGCAGTTTACTATGTGTGGCCTTCAACTTTTCAAACGGCGACTGCTACCCGAAACATGCAACCTGTGAGGAACCTGACAACAGCACCGCCGTCTTTTACGACAAAGGTGACTCCTATTTTACGATGTTCCTCTATACATTGGATCTATACCCTTATGTATACCCTTCTATGTAAATATAAGTATTGAATCTCTCTTGCTATCCCTGTTTCTGTCTGTTTCTCACTTTCTTTCTTTCGTCTGCTTTGTCTATTTATCTGCCTAATTATATATATATATATATGTGTGTGTGTGTGTGTGTGTTTATTCACATTTACGTAATTCAATTGCATGTTATCATTGATTCTTTATATCTATGACGTATTGATGATAACAAATTAATGACTTGCCTCCTTTATCACAGATCCCTGTGACAGGTGGACGGCGTGGCTAAGTGGTGACACTCCAACCGGATTAGCAGACGGGGAAGTGCTATGTTCCTTCCTCCAGAGGACCCCGAGCCAGGTCTGCCCGGGACCTACACGTATCCAGGCCCGCGTTAGAGGCACGCAGCAGGAGGCAGGCATGACGGGCGAAGTGTTTGCTGCTTACGATGCGAGCGCGGGCTTCTGGTGCATTAACGCAGACCAAACTGATAACCGGTGCCTGGACTATGAAGTCCGCTTTTGCTGCCCGGCTTCTGGTAAGTACCATGTTGATAACCCCTGATGAAGACATGTATTACTAACTCCCCACACAACAGCAACTGAGGCATACCATCAAAGGATGCTAGAATAGGAAAAGGATTACACATTCAATTTGTCAAGTTTATATGAATCAAATAATTCAATTCACACACATTATGCAACAAGAGCGGAACTGGCTGAGCAAGGTTTAACAGCAACTATGTACCCAGCATTCGTTCGAGGAACATACGACAAACCATGAGGTGTTAGACGGATGTGGGCAGGTCTGGGTCATACTACTGGAGTATCATGACTACCAGTATGTTTTTCTACGTATAGGAAATGTGTGACTAATTTCAACTGTCCTTAAGTAACTGTCCGCAAATTCAGACATGCATTTTTCATCTCCCTTTTGTCTAAAGGTCAACGCTGCCCCGTACTGTGCCATCATCCAAACGGTGCCGTGAGCGGATCTAACTCCTACGGAGATGTGGTCACCTTCACGTGTAAACCAGGGTACGGTTTGGTCGGCGCCTCTTCGCTCTTCTGCCGGTCAAGTGGCACCTGGAGCGGACCTTTACCAATATGTGGTAAACATTCTGAATTAACGTCTGTAGAGAATTTCATGACCTTTGACTTCTCAGACACCTAGCACATTACATTTTTGGCTAGCTTGTATAATGTCATTTTGTTAATATTAATTGATGTTATTGATTGATTGTTACTGAATTTTACTCTCCAAAACCTGGCAAGTGATCATTCATCCTTTTTATGTAATATTGTTTAATGAGGTTATTAATTGACTTTAAATTTGCAAAGTTACATTAATGACGTTTACTGTATTATTATCATTATTATTATCATTAGATGCCAAATGTTAGTAAGATAACTTTTTTTAAAAATAATTCTAGAAGTGAATGTAAAGAGTTGTTTAATGTTTGTATTTTACAATGTATGAAAGAGGACACCGGGAAGATTAGCGGTTTTATTGTCACTAATCGGAGGTTTCTTAAATAAACAAATAGACATATATGCGCTACGACAGAGTTCATACATCTTAAATGCCAAGTGATACTGTTAGTGCGGTTTTATCGAACGTAATTAAAGACACTGAACAGGACAAGTTTGTGTGAATCAAGGAGGAAGGGAAATATGGTTTGGACTGACAACAATGTTCGGAAACAAAATGTATTAATCCATGTTCTAGTTCCACCGTGTCCACTGCTACAAGCTCCTGAAAACGGTGGAATGATTGGCAACTATCACTACCACGTGACCTTCACGTGTGACCTTGGATATGTCCTCGTCGGTAGCTCCCATTTGACCTGCCAAGCTGACTCCACATGGAGTGGGATCGTCCCAACCTGTACACGTAGGCTAAATCTTCTTCTAAAACAGATTAGCTTTTAATGGCCAAGAACGATGATATATTCAGAACCCATACGACAGACAATACCTAGCCAAAAACACATGTAAGTATGACAGGTGTCGTTTTAAAAGTACCCAAGGCATAGTCGAGGCAGAAGAAGTAACATCGGTAATGATCATGATGGTGACTCATCACAACAAGCATCTTCCCATCAAACGGTTTATTGTTAAAACGAAGCATAGGCTAAATTATGGCTTGTTGTACAAGAATTTATGCATTAAACCAGTTCTTAATGTGAGAATAAAAATGACATTAAAGGTTACCTAAGGTTAACAAATAGTTATTACATAATGGAAATATATATATATATATAGATAGATAGATAGATAGATATATAGATAGATATATAGATAGATATATAGATAGATATAGATAGATAGATAGATAGATAGATAGATAGAGAGAGAGAGAGAGAGAGATAGATAGATAGATAGATAGATAGATAGATAGATAGATAGATAGATAGATAGATAGATAGATAGATAGATAGATAGATAGATAGATGTTACCCAAGGTCGTCTTTTCCCCCAAACCGCTATCTGCACAGCTCTTTTTCCCTTTCCCGTACCAGGTGTCCAATGCCCAACGCTGCAGTCTCCTACAAACGGCGGTTCGAGTGGCGACAACTACTACCAGGACGTGATGAACTTCACCTGTGACTCTGGGTACCAACTTGACGGTTTGGCGTCCCTGACGTGTCAGGCAGACGGCACTTGGAGCGGCAGCGTTCCCAGTTGTACAGGTAAGGGTTCAATTCATTCATTCCTGTTCAAAAACATTTCAGGTGTCGTTTTAAAAGTACCCAAGGCATAGTCGAGGCAGAAGAAGTAACATCGGTAAAGATCATGATGGTGACTCATCACAACAAGCATCTTCCCATCAAACGGTTTATTGTTGAAACGAAGCATAGGCTAAATTATGGCTTGTTGTACAAGAATTTATGCATTAAACCAGTTCTTAATGTGAGAATAAAAATGACATTAAAGGTTACCTAAGGTTAACAAATAGAGGATATATAGACATCTTACTTACTAGTCTTTATTTTTATTTTAGTCGTTCAGTGTCCACTGCTCGAAGCTCCAGAAAACGGTGGAAAGACTGGCGACAATAATTTCTACCAGGCTGTGGTGACGTTCACCTGCGGCCCTGGATACGAGCTTGAGGGACTTCCCAGTTTGACCTGCCGAGCTGATGCCACATGGGATGGAAACGTCCCAACCTGCACAAGTAGGGAGGAAGTTCTCTTCCGACGAATATAACTACATCAATCAATGCTGATAGTTTCATTTTGAACTCATTTGTCTTGTGCTAGTTTATATATATTCTACCCGTCAGCACTGGTTGTGAAAGTTCCCTTTTGAAATCATCAGAAGTCTTAACGGTTTGTACTAATCAACATTTCTAAAAAATAAAGCCCGGCATATACATATATATGCACATTTTAAAATCTGATTTCAAACAAACTTCAGGAGTACAGTGTCCTGTGTTAGCTGCTCCTATGAATGGTGACTCGAGCGGCCCCAACTCTTACCAGGACGTGGTAGAGTTTACGTGTGACCCGGGGTATGTACTCGTAGGAGAGTCCAGGTCTACCTGCCAACCAGACGGAACATGGAGCAGTAACGTCCCGTCATGCAACGGTAAGATTTTGACCAATAAATAAAGAGTAATCCAGTTTTAGGAATTTCCAATGGTCAATGAAATTACCCTAGAACAAACTATATTTAGTTAAAAATAGGCGTTCAAAATCACCGATTCTGTGTTGTTTAATCTTTTCTTTGGAATGTAAAAATAAGATTGCAGAACGTTCAGGATTAATCGCAATTACGTAACACAAGTAACAATTGAACTAAACAACAATAACTAACGTCACTATCCTCATACTCAGCAATATGCTGAATGCAGGCATGATCGTATGCAGTATGCATCTGTATCTTTCAAATGCAGATATAGACGAATGTTCGGCTGCCGATCACGGAGGTTGTGCCCAGACTTGTACCAACGCTATCGGCAGCTTCTATTGTTCCTGCGAGCTTGGCTATAGTTTGAATACGGACGGATTTTTTTGTGACGGTGAGCAAATATAATTATATACCTCTCTTATATCTTATTGCACAGGAGAGATGCGTGAGTCATATTGATGTACAGCAAGCATATACTGTCTAGTATTTTGCTCCTTAGCATTCTTTTTTATTTTGCCTGATCTTCAAATAAAACTCTGACCAAAACCTATATCTCCATCGATTTCCTGCTTTTCTATGTGTGTTTGTCACTACAAGTCAAGTTAAGGTTATTTTTCCATACCCACGTATTTAACATTGATTGCTTTTGTACAGATATTGACGAATGCTCTACTGAAAATGGAGGATGTGACCAAACTTGTACCAACACTATCGGCAGCTTCTATTGTTCCTGCGAGCTTGGCTATAGTTTGAATACGGACGGATTTTTTTGTGACGGTGAGCAAATATATACCTCACTTATATCTTTTTGCACAGGAGAGATGCGTGAGTCATATTGATGTACAGACAGCATACTAGTATTTTGCTCCTTAGCATTCTTTTTGTTTTGCCTGCCCAAAGCCTATATCTCCATATCGATTTTCTGCTTTTTTATGTGTGTTTGTCACTACAAGTAAAATTGAGGTTATTTTTCCATACCCACGTATTTAACATCAATTGCTTTTGTACAGATATTGACGAATGCTCTACTGAAAATGGTGGATGTCAACAAACCTGCACCAATCTTATGGGAGGTTTCCAGTGCTCCTGCCAGGATGGATATGGCCTGAATAGCGACGGCATTACTTGTGAGGGTAGGTTTATTTCGTTATCAGTTTCTGTTGGCCTCCTGCAGTCTTCATCGGGATTTCTTGCACAGTGTTGAACACCATGTTTTATGCATAAAACGTCAAAAGAGGTAACTCTTCAACCCTAGAACCAATATGTATCGAGCTCTTAAATTCTCTTTTAGATGATATAATCAATGATATAAAGCTTAGCTCTAATTTACTCCACCAATGATAGTCAATATGGGAAGAGTCAGCACAAAATTAACTTCAAACTGCAGTTTCTTTATTTTGTGGAGGGCTTGAGATTCTTCAGGTTGGTACTTTTATTCATTTTTGGTCTTCAAATAAAACCTATATATGTACATCTGTTTCTATTTACAGACACCGATGAATGTGCTTCTGTGAACAGCGGCTGTGACCAGATCTGTACCAACACTATCGGCAGCTTCTACTGTTCCTGTGAGCCTGGCTATAGTTTCAGTGGCAATGGTTTTTTGTGTGACGGTACGTTAGCAAATATTGTCTTACCTGTCTTACACCGTATTGTAGAGGATAGACCTGAGTTAAGCTACGCGAGTTACATGTTGATGTACAGACAGCATATTTTGCTCATTTCTGCCTGCTGAAACACAGAAAATACATTTTTGTCTTTAGTTATTTCTTCCTTTTTTGTTTGTTTGTTTTTGTTACTACGAGTAAAGGTATTTTTTATGCCTATGTATTGATATTACTTGTTTTTGCACAGACGATGACGAATGCTCCAGTGGAAACGGTGGTTGTGAACAAACTTGCACCAATCTTATCGGGAGTTTCGAGTGCTCCTGCCAGGATGGATATGCTCTGAGTAGTGACGGCCTTACGTGTGACGGTATTGACTGCATAATGTTGAACACATTATACATCATATGTCTAAGGATGATGAACCCTGAACCCTAGAACCAATTCCTAAATCGACTTTTTAAAGCCTATTTTTATACTCAAGGACAAGGATAGAGTCAATACGATCAAGTTTAGCTCTTATATTATTCCCTAACTGTAGCCAAGATTAGGGTCAACACGATCTTTTTTATCTAATTTACTAATATTATTATCAATCTGATTTAATCGATTATTCTCCAGGTTGCTACTTTAATTCAAACGGAGAACTTTAAGCAAAACATGTATTTGTTTATCTGGTTCGTAAACTTACATGCAACGTAAAACTTCAAATAAAACACACATTTGTGTATCTGGTTCAGACGTGAATGAGTGTGCTTCTGCGAACGGTGGCTGTGAGCAGACTTGTACGAACAACATCGGGAGTTTCCAGTGTTCCTGTGGGGATGGCTACAGTCTGAATGGCAATGGCTTCACTTGTGATGGTAAGCATATATTTGTTTTGGGGTTGTTTTGTATATACAAATGATGAGTTTAGTGCTGCCGTTTTAGACAGATTCCTTGACCGAATGATATTGATACATTTTTTTTACAAAATGACTGCTTAAAAGCACGTCTTTGTTGATTTACAAAGTTTGTATCTAACAAATGCATTTATTGTAACAATTTAACTCGACCCATGTCGTCTAGATCAATCCCATTAGACGAAGAGTTTTTCAATAGTTTCTAGATTTTTCAAAAGATTTCATACAATCTTACTTTTCTTGAAGAAAAAAAAATCCCTGAAACCGTGTACCATGTTACAGATGCTTATGGGTTCGACGAAGCTGAGGTCACAACAAAGGCTGCTACGTCGACAGGTCAGGCTAATAAATACACCTTTATTTATTGCTCCACAAAGCCTTTATTGCTCCTCCAGCATATGATTGAACATAAAACATTCCTAATTTCTACACTAGGAATTGTAAGTGGCAAATAACGTTTAAAGTAGCATCCACTACTTTTCGTTAGTGACTATCTGTCACAGATTCCGCCAGTCACTGATTAAATGTAGTGCATGTCATTGAAGCGTTATTTGAACATTTTTTTTAGTTGCCTGAGTCGTGAAGAACATTTCCGTGTGTAACTCTTTACCTGGAAAGGAGTATCTAACCATCGACGTAGTTCTAGTCACCATTACAAACGTTTTACCAAGGAATTTGAATTTAATTTCATAAGTTGATATTGATAATATTGAACTTCATGGGCAATATGTTATAAGATATAACAACACTCCATTCTTGTTGTTTTGCAGATCCTAAGCTAACAACTGACGCACCGACAGTACCGACAACATCAAGCGGTACATGTATGTATAAAGCAAAAACTACACTGAGCTAAGAAATCGGTATCTCTCAGCTTGCTATTCACTAAACACTGATATTTGTAAGATTCAGTGGTGACAATAATGCTCTTTTTCGAGCTTTTCCTTTTGTGTATTGAGTGAGCTTAATCCACATGAGATAATTTTGTTCCAAGGTTAATCCATATGTTATCATTTTGTTCCTTGTCTAATCAGTTCAAGGCAGCGACATGGATGATTTGTCCACTCCTGACACCATGATTAGACCTCTCCAAGAGGTATTTTTGTTTGGTTGTTTGTTTCACTGGTTATGTTAGACATGTGTTTATCAATGTTTTTTTATGGTTCATTCGTGGAACGTATCAATACAGTGTACGTCCACAAATCAATGGAAAGATGACTTTTCTTCTCTCTTGTGCAGATGGAACGTCTAAAGGATCTGATAGACCAACCCACCGACGAAGAGATATCCATAGAGAACGTGATTGGAGTTGTTGCAGAGATTAACAATTTAATCCAGCTCGATACGACTAAAGTATCCACGGACGGAGTTCCACCCGAACTGGTAAGTTGTACTACAGATTGGAAATAATTATGTTTATCTTGGCGGGAGAAATACATATTGTTTTTTGCTCAGTTTCTTCCTCTTCACCTTCTCAAAACAAATAAGGTCTACGACCTGGACCAGACAGAGTTGTATAGGCTGCTCACCATACATTATATCTGAATGTGTCTCAGTAACAATAAATAGCGCAGTAGTTTGGTTAACTAGAACATATGAAGGTAAACATATTGTATTTGCTTTGCAAATGTTACCTTTCTAGTTCAAGTTTCAAATTTACCTCAATGTGTTGGGTAAAGGTTAAAAAGAATGAATCAAACACAGGTTACGGTTCATTCTGATATCAGTTTCGCCAATTTCTTTTTTTGTATTATTTTACGGAGAAGTTATCTTCCTCAATGGACCATATTAGACTAATTAATTAACGCTGATAACCCTGCCTACTTTCCCAACAGGAGGAGGGCATAGCTCTTTTGAGCAAGTCTTCAGAACTCATAAGATCTTCTCAAGGCGTAACACTTTCAACAATGGAGACAGCGAATAATGGTACATGGGGCAAATGTATCAGAACGACCTGCATGCACTAGCCTATTCTTGCCATATGACTCCCAACATTCATGCGATATACGATGATTATGTTTTATTACGCAGTGAAGCTTAATAAAAGACGTGTATAACCAGGAGGTAAAAGACACAAAAGAAGAGTTTGATTTATCCACACTTTCGGCTACATGTATACAACACCAGTATAGTATTAGTCAAGACATGCCACTGGTTGTTATAACCGTATGGTCCTAAACTGTTTCAGCTGTGACACAAACCGTATCCAGTGTAGTTCAAAATCTGCCAGCTGGAACCCCCACCATTCTTGACAACTCATCGCCTTTATTTAAGATGGACATCATTGATGTCAACTCGGTGGACGTGTCTCCTAAACAACAGCTGAAAAACATAAAGGACCAGCAAAGGACATCTGAGCAGAAGGTCGGTAGTAAACTTTACAACCTGTTTATTTTACTTAGCCTCCTTGTGGTGGCCTTGGCCATTGTATCATTTCCGTCTGGTTAATCTTAAAAAATGCCTACTTATAAATGGAACATGCTCACAACCCTTTATCAGACAAAGAAAAATGTGTTTTTCGATCTAGGCAGCTAGAATACTATCAGTTTGCCTTCCCATCAAGATTCTATCGCGGAACTGTGAATTGTTCCATCATGCGTATATTTATATTCAATGCACAGTTTCGTAAAAATGCGTTGTCCTTGGTGGACACCATTGAGCGAACAGCAGACAGTCTTCTGGCTATGTTGCCGGACACCGAAGACTACGTGAAGACGTTTGAAAACGACGACGTCATCGTCACTGTTGTAAGGTCTACTAAGAATCAAACAGTGACACTTCAGGGTGGTGAAGTCAGCGTGTCAGTATCTCTCACGCATTGTGCTTCACATGGGGGTATAGATGCCAAGGTTAGTGGTTTGGCTATCCTGCAGCCATTGTCCGTATTTGTATTCCTTGTAGTCTACGTTTCATGTAAATAGAAAACTAAGACAATCGAATACCGCAGGACTTTTCAATAATATAGTCTTTTTCTGTTTTAGATGACTCTGATGGAAAAGAACCTGTTTGCCTGGAATGCATCTACCTTCGGGAAAAACATCACCACACCAGTGACGAGGTTCTCTTTTGGACATCGACGCCCTGACGGCTGCTCTATGCAGATGAACCTCTCGAACCCTATCTCATTTGAGTCTACTGAACAATCAAGACGTCAGAAACGTGGCATTCGTGAACGTGGCTTTATTGGGACACATTCAGCACTGGGGGACATCAGCGTTGAGCAGAACAGCAACGTGACGACGGCTCTCCGTGCGTTTGACATACCAGCTGATTCCGCTGTCGTTGTGATGCAGTTGTCTTGGTGGGATCACGCCGCTGTCTTCCGTGTGTTCTTCCGGTACGATACGCCTCCAACAGAGGAGCTGTATGATGACATGGTGATAGTTCAGGAAGAAGACATTTTTCTGGCTTGGCATCGAGGCACAAAGAGCACGCGAACATTTACTCCAAATATCCAGAGACGGCGGGGGAGACTTTATATTTGGGTACAGAAATCAGGTAAAGATGTCATAGCAAGAATGCGTAATACTATATTCATTTGCAGACGACAAAGATTATCCACTAGACCCGTTATGATACATTTATTTTGTTCTATCTAAAATTACAATGTGATGATTGTTTTAATTTCGATGGTAACATGTTGTCCAACATCTCTTTGAACATAGGAACCCCCACCTTTCTGCAAACTGCACCTTTTCCCAAAGATTACGTACTTCAGGCAGCAACAGTGAGCTGTCTCAGCTGGGATCATACACTGGAGAAATGGCAAGACGCCGACTGTGAGGTGAGGTTTTCTGACTCATATGAAGTCATGATTTGTGCACTGATGTCTCAAATATTATGCAAATGCATTAGCCACCCATTGAGGTTTTGAAACAGAAAAAAATGCACAAATCAGCAAGTAAGCACGTACTCTCTTTGCTTCTTGAAAAACGTTGGAAACTCCAGTGGTCTGGTGCTGGAAATCTCCTTAAATGTCTGTTTTATACTTTGTTGGAATCAGGTCCATGTGGATATACCAGATAGTTCCCTCACGTGTAGCTGCAACGTTCCTACACCGAAGGCTGCTATTGCAATTGGTGGCTCCGTGCACTTCCTTCCAAATTCTATTGATTTAGACAGCATCTTCAAAGATCCGGATATCCTAAATGACAACAAACTTGTTTTCTGCACGATTATCATCGTGTGGGCTCTGTACTTCGTATTGATGATTATATTCAACGTAGACTTTCAGCGTCTTCGAGTGAGTATATCTAATTTTTTCGGAGTTTGTAATCTCTATGTCACATTAGCATTTTATTCAGGTATGGCTTTCTTCCAGTTAATTCCAATTCCTTTTTGTTGTGTACCAGAAACAGACAAAGGTAAATCCAGCAAATCCTGGCAGTACGAAGCTATTACCACTGCTGTCCGTCCTCCCTCCGGACAGGATGCCAGCCCCATATCTGTACCAGATCACCGTCTCCACCGGCTCTATGTTTGGTGCTGGCACGTCGGCCCGAATTGGGTTTCAAATATTCGGATCAAAGAGCAAAACCGCAGTCAAGATGCTGAACCCGGGCGGAGAAGTAAGTTTGACATACTGTTGTAACTGCACGCTGTTCACACTTTGTCATTTCTAGTGTGTGTTCTCTCTTGAATTTCACTTCAAAGTGCAAGGCCGATCGGTGGACAAGTTATCCATATCCTATTAGAAGTAAAAGCCATGACTTGATAGAATTAAATGGTACCTATTTCATAACAATAACCTTAAAATGTTTAAACACCAACTGTTATGCAGTCCTTGCTACGGGGTGGTATTTATGACGTCATCATGCCCCTGAAGACGTCACTAGGACATCTGGAGCTGCTGCAAATCTGGCACGACAACACCGGTGTGGATGAAGCTTCGTGGTTTCTGAGGCACATCATCGTTAAGGATCTGCAAACAGAGGAAGTGTAAGATGCATCGATGAAACATTTTTGGAGTGCTCTATAGCCGTATGGTTTACAGTTCATAGAAATGATTAACGAAATTGACAACTGTGTGTTTTGGTGTACAAACGTTTTTATGTACAAACCAACTAAAATATTATCACATTTAACAGTTTGCATTCTAGACGTGTATAATTCCATGAATACACCCTAATAAATCTCATCTCGTGATCGCGTTTGCCCAATGATAATTCAGTCCTCAATTGAATCTTTGTGAAATAAAATAATTCACCTGCAATTCGGTTTTTTCTTTGTCGTTTGAAGTTACCAGTTTATCTGTTATGACTGGCTGTCTGGAGACCGAGGTGACTTCCAGGTTCAGAAAGTTCTACACGTGGCGACCCGGGAACAGTTGGACTGCTTCAGTAGTCTGTTCCGAGAGAACACGGACGCCATGTTCTACAATCAGCATTTGTGGACATCTCCCTTTGTGTCACCTGAAGGTATTTTTGCATTGGACCTTGAGATATTTTTTAAAAAAGGTTTTTGAAAAAGTTGCTTAGTTTTCACAACCTAATGGAACATGGCAATAAATTTGTCTATTTGTCATACAGATGATAACATATTTAGTCGTTTAGATAGTTTTATTAGTGTCTTTCAAACATTAGTACCTACCGGATAACGACGTCCCATGGATAGGACGTAAAATTGATGTTCTTCGATTGAGAAAAGCCACACCTCAAGTACGTTAAAGATCCCACCAATCGAGAGAGTAGGGGTCTTTCTCGGTGTGAGTGGTACGAATCTTACAGTATGGTGACATGCCCAGGTTGGCATCTTGAAAAGGCTTTAGCCACCTGTAATGTCAATCCTTCCGCAAATGTGATACTTTTCATAAATTAAACAAAAACTATTTGTAGGATCCAGCTTCACCAAGTCAGAACGCCTGTCCTGTTGCTGTGCTGTCTTCAGCAGCATCATGTTGTCCAACGCCATGTGGCACAAAAGTGACGAGGGCTTCGTGACCGAGAACACCGTGTATGATCTGGGGTTTGTACAGATCACCCTACAGGTAAGGGAACGTCAATTTTTATGGACAGTGAAGCGGATTATTACAAAGGTCAGCACAGGCAGACTAAAGCTAATAACAGCTAACCCACAGAAAGTAAAGACGGTCGACGTAATAGCGAATGTAAATGACCCAAAGACCTAAAATCATTCTTCATAATCTCAATTCGTCCAGCAGGCCGCTTTCTAATGAGGTCATGAGACAAGAAGTAAAGTTAAGTTGAAGTTTACAGTTTAGATATGTCCATCTTTCTGAAGTTTATCTTGACAGTTATGCGCATTGACAAGAAACGTGGGAATGATATTGCACACAGATGTAACGTACGTAGTACATACTAGTAGGTTATAATTACATATGATGACATCCGCTGTGCTAGCTTCCACATGTTAAACTTTGTGCTATCTTATATGTACCCAAGGAGCTGTACGTCAGTCTCATGACTGTCGTTATGGTGTTACCGGTTGCCATGGTGCCGGCTAAACTGTTCCGGATGGAGAGAACAACCTCAATAACGGCTCCGGGAATTAGGCGTAGCTCCAACTATGGTATTATTCATCTCATTCAAAATGTATAAATATATTGTTGTATACGTGTATTTGCATATACCTGTATATAAAAAAATATGGGCATCTCGCAATTTCGTGGGACAGAAATGAAAACATCCATTCTATTTTGCTAAGATTTTATATCAGGTGTCCACAAATAACATGTTACCCTAACACCTTATGGTTTTAATGTTTTAGTTTCAGTGAGGTCGTGGCTTTATCAACAACAAATATCAAACTTACACCCTGTTTCTTTCTTATTCTTAGGGTTGTTGAGAGAGCGACTGTCCCGTTGGTCGAAGTGTATGGCCTGGTTACTAGTGGCGTTGGTTTCCGTCGTCTCGTCGTTCTTTGTGATCCTGTACAGTCTGGACTGGGGTAGAGAGAAGAGTGAGGCCTGGCTAAAGGCGTTCTTTGTTTCATTTGGATTGTCCAGCCTGGTCGCCGAGACTAGCCAGGTAAATTTTTATCATTCAGTTTTCGTCAGAACTTTCGATGCACAATTCTAAAATTGCAACCTGTTTTATTGCATCGGAAGAAGTCAGGTCACGTATCTACATCCTTGCAAATGACGTTTTCAATGCCACAGCTAATGATGGCATCAATAATATGCCCGCAGATATTGGTCTTGGCGACTGTTTTTGCCATGATTTGTAACCAGAGGTCCACCGACAAGCAGAAGACGTACAGTATCAACAAAGAGGAACTCCACGTGCGCCTCTGGGGCAAGAAAGGTAAGCGTTAATACCTTAATGTTATTGGTGACCATTCCTTAGCTAGGTGCTGCTTCAAAAGCACTGTGCTTGTTCTCATCAATGTATTATTTACAATGTTTTAACTTTCAGCTCCTAAGAAGGTATACCCACCCAGTGCTGCATCTGCAGAAAGGATGAAAATAAAAAACGAACAACGTCGGAAGTTCTTTCACGTGTTCAAGGATTATATCCTCCTGTTCCTATTTGCCGTGGTTCTGTTCTTCGTCAGCCATCACAACAAAGACCCGTTTGCTTTCCACGCATCGCAGACGCTGTCCGGCACCATTCTAGAAGATCACGACTCGGTAGGCAACTTTCGTAACTTTTAGAATATATCTAGAATATTGTTCTGTTATATTGCATGTAACTTATCCCTGATACTTTGAAGGAATGAGGAAGTACATTTGTAAAGTGTTTTTTTGTGAATTTTTTGTTCAACCTGTTATTATGTTACCTTCCACCAAGAGCTTATCTGAGCTGAACCTTTGCTACAGTGACGAACAGGATCGTTATGAAAGCTACCTGTTATCTTTTCACATTCACAAGTCTTGCGTTTGGTTTTGTCACAGATCACCACTGCTGACGAGTTCTGGACCTGGACTGAGGACATCCTCCTGCCTGTTTTGTACCCGTCGTTCTGGTACAATGGGTGGAAGATGAAGTACCTGGACCGACAGTTTCCACTTTATACTGAAGCGTTCAAAATCGGCCCGCCACTCCTCACTCAAGTCAGGGAGGAACCAGGTGAAAATCATGGCCTTTTCTTTTGCTCCATGATTACATGATTGGATATTTACTGTACTATAAATTATGGAAAATTTAAAATAATCTACCTATGGCTCAGTTATAAATGTATGTCCCAAATATTTGGACCTAATAACCATTTGTTATCTGAGAAACAAAAAAATTGAACTTCTCTTTTCCGTATTGGGGCAACCTTATCGTGAGTTACGTTCATTCACATTGTAGACTGTACTAGCCTAAGAGGCAATACATGTAGACACTTTGTACGTTTGGAAAGAATCTAGTGTCGCGGGCGTTAAATCATTTCCTACTCCATGCAGATGCCATGGCAACAGACCGCTCTCAAAATGGATGGATGGTTGCAAAGGGAAATGGTTCATCAGCATGTTGGCAGTTCAATGTCACGGGTATGATGCCACCCAATTCAGACTGTGCCTCAAAATACTCCATGGAGCTCCCGGACCTCCTAGGTTTGGCAAAAGCAGTATTCTCCGACCTTCAGAGAAACGACTGGATCGACAAATACACAGACTATCTGGTTCTGGAACTGTCTCTGTACTACCCGGCACAAAAACTGTTCAGCAGCCTGAGACTGACGGTAAAACAGGAAGATATCGGTCATCTTTCTACATCTGCAACTGTGGAAACATACAGGCTGTTTCAGTACGAAAATGCCTCTAATGATATCGTCACTTTGATCTCCTATATCATTTTGCTGGTTTTGTTTGTGGCTAATCTCGTCAAAGAAGTGATCACCATGAAGAAGGAGGGAAGGAAGTTCTTCAGAAAAATGTGGAACATCTTAGCCCTAGCAAGCATAATTGGATCTGCAGCTGCCATGTGCATCTTTGGAATAAGGTACCAATCTGCATCCGCAGCACTGAACACATTGGTCGAGGCAACAGGTAAATGGCAGAGTATCACATTTTACATTTTTTCAGAATTGTCTGTTATTAAATTGAAAGGTAAAACAGTATTGAGTAAATTGTATGTGCAGCTTCAACTACATATTGTCTACAACATCATAATCTATGTGTTGGAAAGGATGACTCTATGGCTTTCACAGTAACTACGTTTTATCATCAGCCATCTTTGTCCGAACTCTCATTTTGTAGGTGAACTTGGAATAGATCATTTTGTCGACTTAAGCCCAACTTTCTGGTGGGATGAAATCTTCAAGACCGTGTTGGCCATGGTAGTGTTTATTACTACACTGTCGCTACTCCAAGTCGTTCGCTTCAGCAAGACCGTCGCCAGTTTCATCGCCCTGCCGGGTGTCATGAAGAACGACTTGATCGGCTTCTCAGTCATCAGCACTATAGCCTTCATGGCGTTCAGCACTTCAGGTAAGAGTTTGTTCAAGTAATATGTTCTCAAAGAAGTTTAAAAGACGCCATTCCCTTGCCTGTTTATGACATTAGTCTTTTCGTTATCTAAATGGCTTAGTTTTCCCGAAATGACATAGAATGGCCATATATGTACGTCAATGATGCTCTTTAGGCGTTTTTGAAATAGTTTTTTTTACTGGTCATCTATTAGTTTTGGGTGTGTAATCGTTGTATTTCACGCCAGGTCTTTGTTACTGTTGAACTATTGTAAGTAAGATATTTCATTTTGACCGCAGGAATGCTGGTGTTCGGGACCCATATGAAGGCTTACACCGATGTGTTGCACGCCAACTTTGCCTTATTTGAGATGTTGTTGGGCAGGTATGGATACCCATTGTCTTTATTATATTGCAACTAATCGCTTGAATGCTGTCTCTTCTCTCATTCTAATAGTCGTTTATCCAAGAACGCACATAAAGATGGTATGTAAAAACGACAAGCTAATGCTGTCAGCAACGTTTCAACTTGATGATACTTTTTTTTCAGATTCTTTGCCGAGGAAATCTTAGAATCGAACCGCTATGTGGGCCCCATCTTCTTTACCATTTTCATGATACTCATCTTTATACTACTCGTCAACCTCCTGGTGACCATCATCTGTGATGCTATTGCTTCTGGGGCCTACATTGCCGATGAACATGACCAAGAACTGGCTGACTATATTTGGAAAAGCTTCCAGGGAGTGTTTGGGATTTATGTTCCTCCACCAGAAGATGTGACAACAGGTAAATAAATTCACTTTGATGGTTAAGCTGTATTTAGGAGATCTTTTTAGACTTTTGGGTTACTTTGAGTTTAAATACGAAAGGATTTGTGTTTGTTTTTCCAAAACTAAGCATCTTTGTTATGGAATAGGTGAATGGAATGTGCTTTATCTTATGCAACGTAGAGACACGACTTGCTCGAACATTGCATTCGATACTTTTGATCCATATTCTAAGTAACCCATTGAGATCACGCGAGGTCACGTTAAAACACTATTCCTGATAGGAAATATCTAATCAGCAAATACAATTTCATACACTCTTGTAATTTATAGTATTTCTCACTTATCATTTGCAGATGAACTGAAAGAAATCGAGGTTAAAGCAACGTTGCAAATGATCGAAGACTCTTTAAATGAAACCTTGGACATCACAAGTTCAATTTGGCCATACGACACAAAAGACGATCCTTCGTCTTCATCTGATGTCAGAGAGCAAATTGAAAGTCTCCTGAAGGCTCACAAAGAAGGCATGGTCAGATATGTAGAAGCACAGAACGAGAACAAACGTCGAGTTGAAGCCACACTGAAGAGGAAACTGGCTGAGAGGAGGAAGAAAACACAGACGAAACCCGATGAGGAGAAGAAGACCATGGCTCAGAGTGCTCAAGAGCTGGTAGAACAACATGCTGCCGACGAGAAACGGCTGGAACACCAACAGATGATGAACAGACGTCTGTTCCAGAGCAAACTTCGTCAGAAGATGGCAGCGCGGCGCATGTTTAAAAGAGATGTAAAGTAATAGGCTTTATTGTGACTTGCAGTCTTGCGTCGTTATTGTCGTTAAGCCCCCCCCATCAGATCTTTGATTGATCCCTACTGTAAATAGCATAATTATTTTGTTACCATGATAAAGCGAACATATTTCAATGTGCATTGAAATGTACCCATATGAAATCATTTGAAATGTATATATGGTATAAGATTACATAAGTTGCTTCAGTGTGCCCATCAAGATACTTATTGCTATAAATGTAATCAACTATGACATTACTTATGACAAAATATGAGTGATATGAAAAAAATGAAAAAAAATTGCATCTATTTTCAACCGTATATAAGACCTGCCAGGACCGTTGCATGTATGAAATGAACGTGTATATATTTTCTGTAATAATGCGATATTGATATTAAATTGAGACTACATTTTTCATCATTTTAAAGTTTGACATGTTTTTTCTTATGAAATTATGCGTTACGATATAACTTGTATCTCTGTTCTTCAAAATCTATATAGTGATAAGTAATAGTTATTGAGCTTTTGTAAAAATGAATTAGCTCACGCATAATATAAGATTATGAAGTTGCTTTAGTATGACCATCAAGAACCTCACTGCTGTAAATAGCATTCAAATTATAATCAATCATGACATAACTTATGAAAACATATGAATGATGGAAAATAATCTGAAAAATTAAAAATATGGCATTTATTTGCAACCGTTTATAAAACCTGCCACGACCGTTGCATGTATGGAATGAACATATGTTCTATAACGATATGATATTGATATTATATTGATATATCTTTTTTATCATTTTAAAGGTTTTTCTTTCTTATGAAATTGTGCATAATGATATAACTTGTATCTCTGTTCTTCAAATCGATATAGTGATAAGTTAAAAGTTGCTGAGTATTTTGTGAAAACAAATCAGACATACCAATAAAAACCAGCATGCTAAACTTACTAGTAACTCGTGATTTTTTAAGAAACACATATCGTAATATATATGTATTGATTGTACAGTCGGTATAACCGCCCTCTGGCGGAATACACTAGCCTTGCAGCCCCCTACTAGGCACGCGGTACTAGAATTAGGTTATATTACATCAACATGTCCCACCTATGGGCTGCTAGACGGCTGCTAGACGGGCGTGAACTTGAAAAAAAATTGATAACGATAGCTCAATATCCAGGGTAACTCATGTACTACATTGGACGTGTCGGATTCACTGAATGGGCCACATCGGGCAAACTCTGTGACATAATCATAACGTAACAAAAGAATTTCAAACTTCCTGCCTCCTTTGCATACAGAGAGAAGGTCTGTCTGTTAAGCAACTAAACGAAGTCCGTGAACTTGCAAACTTCATAGTCATAGTTCAAGACTACCTACTTAAAGTATTGCATTGGACGGGCCGGATTTAGTTCAGGAGTGGCACGACGGGACTAAAAATAGAGAACAGTTGCTGCTACATTATTCATGTACAGCTCAGTTTATATCAATTATAATTAGAAACCGGTAGAATATGTCAACATCAGCACAATCCAGCTGTAGCGGAAGGGAAATCTTGCGGTTTTGGTTTGAGCGTGCCTTTACTGGGGAAAACGGAAAACTTCATTATTAATTTAATTAAACTCCGCGTACGGTGCCTGATCTTGATGTGTGGTCTTCCTTGTCTCGTCTAGCTGTATCAATAGTCTTGAATATAGGCAATGAATCATCGAGGATATTAAAGGACCCCTGCGAGTACATGATTCCTTCCTCGGTTAGTCATGAGATATTAAAACCCTGGAAGCCTCTCTTGTTTAACGGCCCGAGTGTAACAGACGGAATGCGGTTTAGCAGCAAATCCTTAGAAAGATTAATGTAGCCTCTACCAGGCTCCCTAGGCTGCTGGCAAAATGGTAGAAATATAATTGGCCAGATACACTGGATAGTGTGCCATAGGGATTAAACGAATTCGGAGGGATACGCTTTGCCCCTGGGCTGCAAACTGTACTAGCTGGCAAGATTTCTTGGCATACCATAAAGTCTGATTGTTCGATTTCTAGTATTTTTCTAGCAATGTCGTTAGCCTGAAAGAGACTAGGGTGGTAATTGCGTCAGCAACTCCTTGATTAACACGCCTCTGAATGACCAGAGTAACCAGTTCGGTGGTCCGAACATCCTGAGTTCAAGTCGACTGATCCTTATCGGAAATCGCTTCCCCCGGTTAGTGCCAGGCCACATACGCAGGATCACGCAGAACTTCAGATATGTGTACGGTAGATATAGACATTATAGTGATAGCATAACATGTTAACTATTTTATTAGCAATAGATATATCTTGCATATATACGATAGTGATTACATTTAACATTTACTTTCAATACTACAGTTACTGATATTAGATTTATCTTCAGACATTGTTGCAATAGTGTAAATACTGCATTTATCTAATGTGGGCAAGAACATGTGTAATGAATATCATTCATTTTTTTAAATATATATCACATACACACACAAGAGGATCCCCAAGTGCTCATGACCTGCACGCCGAATACTTCCAAAACAGTAACATACAACAAGTGAACAACTCCCATTTCACCAAGTGTTTATACATAGCAAATTAATTACATTTCACTTGACAATTGCGAACGTTTAGTGCAGAGCCTTGTGACGAAAAAGTCTGTCGTAGATAGTTGCGAATCGTCGGTTCTGTCACAGCTTTGCTGAAATTCCAGAGACAAGAAAAATCATACTAAGAATACGACTGTGCCTTTACAGCCTCCTTCGCAGACTTGTGGGGCGGCGGCTTTAATTTTTTTTCGGGGAGCGACGCGAGTATGCCGCAGTGGGATGGTTTTGCCGCCGAGGGACTTTGCCGGGGAGAGAGAGGGTTTCACCGACAAACAAGCCTTTACGGGGGGTACTATAGGATTTTCCACCAAGACTCGTCTAAACTTTTGACCCCGCGGATGTGTGAGGTACTGTAGCGGAGGAGCTGGTCACGGTACGGAGGCTACACAGGTGCGGAGAGAGGATAATTAAAGAACAGATTACAGGGATTGGATTTCCCTATCTGCCGATTACCTGGATCTCTGCCCATCCTTGTGTACACAAGTGTGATGATCCGGCGTTAACGTTTCACGGAGTGTAAACAAGTTAGCCTCTATATTTCCAGGGTTTGACGCTGCTATACACAATCCGAAAACAGGTCATAATATGTCGAAATGGGCCCCGGCGAAGTCTGTTATGAAGGCTATCAGTTAACTGAGTTTGACCTAATCCCGCCTGTAGACACAGAGATAGAGGTTTTCCCTTTTTTCTTTCCTTTATCTTCTTGATCAACTAGACTTTTTTTTTCTTTAACGAGTACGTAAATTATTATAGCACACAGGAATCCCTATCCGTGGTTTCTTTCTACACCTGATACACTTCCTGCGCGTCATCATAAAGCCGGGCTAATGACCCGGTCCCGGCCGACACTTGTCGGCGCCCTGTGTGACAGCAGGCGGCGGCAGACCAGTGCTTCCGCCGACAAAATTGCGGGTTCTGCGCAGTTCCAACTTCCCGAAGAAAGGAACGGTTTGAACGGATTAATGAGACATAATGAAAACACGGCAAGTTTTGGCACCTAGCGGCGGTGGATAATCGTCCCGTAATCACCCGGGGAAATTCGTCTTCAATTGGGGTGTAGTTTTTGACACAGTACAGGCGCTGTCCGGTGGAGAACAGGCTATCTTCGCCGCCTCCGTTTCTTTGTAAAACCACTAACCTGGGTGCCCGTCGATTTGTAACGGGGGTTCGGAAGGCACCAGAGCTAAGTCAAACTGGAGGGCTGCTGGAAAATTGTAGAACTTGGCCAAATAGACTGAATAATACCAAGGAGGTTAAATACGAAAAGAAGAGTTTGCCGAGTTGATGCCGACCCTTGGCCAACCACGTGAGTGCACATGGGTTGAAAAGTGTACTGCTATTGTCGCCCAACTCCTCTGGAAGAGGACAGTTGTTACCCGGTATTTTGTATTGATGTATTCCATGGAAGAATAGCTGAGATGTCAAACTACATTGTGGATCATCCTAATAAATTCAAAGTAAAAAAATGAATATTCTTCAGTCTATTTGACCAGTTTCAACTATTTTCTGCTTTATAAGAAATGGGAACAAAAAATTGTGACCTACAAATAACCTTTGCTTCCTCACAGAATGATTACGTCAGACCAAAGGCTTTTATATCCTGCGAGGCACGCAAATAAATTCTACAACCTCGTCCCACAAGAATCATGACAGGAATATTATAGCTATTTGGTTTAAGTATATATTCTAACTGGTCGTACAAGAAGGGAAGTACTAGTATTGGTAAGTTTTTATGGTGAGTCATAGATACTATTGTCTGATTTTGTAAAGCATTTCTAAGCTTGCTTTCGTTGTTGTACCTTTACTCAACCTTGAAAAGTTTTTATGGAGGTCAAGGGGTCAAACAATACACAACAAATATGTAGAAATCGTAATGAAGAAATTCATATAAACTAATGCAAAATCAAAGATCGCTGATTATGGATTTCTTTTTATTTTGAAAGTTAGCTCTTCAAGATGTGGTCTGAAGAAATCTTTAGAAGCTCTGTAACTTGTGCTATGTCTGTTTAAAGAAAACTTGAACCTCGCTACGTCAAATGTATAAGTTATAACTTAATATGCGTTTGCTACAGATGATGTAACCATGCAAATTAAAAGAATAAAGAATATGATGATTGACGAACCAAGGAAGAAAAGTATGAATTCAGAATGAAAAAATATAGGAATCTAGGAAATGCCCGCATTGTGTTTTTGAATGTCCCGCCACGGAAGTTGCTCAGTTTCACAGAAAAAAGAAGAACATTAGCATCAGTGTGGCCAATCTGTGTCTACCGCAGGTACTGGTCCAAAAACAATAAGCTATTGTTCTACGTGTGACCGGTGAGTTGATAAACAAACGGTGAGCTGAACAGACCGATGTCGGACAGTTGTATACATGCTAAATAGTCGGCGTGAACTTTCTTTTGTTCAGCAGTGCGCACAGGCTTTCCTTTTACCTGTCATTCCATCTGTGTGTATTGGAAGCCTAACGTTGACAAGGTGTATAAAAATTGGATAAAACGAGTCGCAGGCAGTGAGGGAACTGAAGGAAAGGAAGTAGAAGCAGTGAATATATTCGAGAGAAGTGTTAACGTTTTGTCGATAGGTATAACGCTTCAAGTTTCTCTTTCTAAAAGTGATATTGCAAAGAGTCAGGCCGCTTGACTTGGTACAACGCCAATGCGATGTCTCAGCAGATATCTCAGAAATGTCTTGAGAGTGAAGGAGTGACAGAAGTGTGAAGATCTTCCCCGTCTATCACACTAATCCGTGCCGCCGATCCCGACCCTTGACTGTCCCGTCCGTGTCAGGTTCAGGTCCGCTTGTTGACGCGCGTGCCCCGGTGGTTTGTGTAGCGGAGTGCGGGCGTGCCGCGGGCCAACGCCGTCACTTCATCCGGACAGGACATGAGACATACCATAGCTGCTTCTGCATGGCCTCGGGCGAACAGCACCGCGGAGCGAACACCCTCAAATCCTGGGAGTAATTGCTGAGAAATATTGATTTCCACGTGATAATGTCCGACGGGTGGCTGCGATTGTTGGTCTTCTCCCATTCGCCGCGTCTGTTCACCTGGTCAGAAACACTTAATCAGCCATCATTACCGCTATTGTTTGTATGCCGCGGAAAAACATACCCGCGATCAATCGGGCATTTTGGACGCACCATGTGCAGCGAGCGGCCAGGCGGTGATCAAGAAGACGAGTCACCGTCCTCCCACAAGTTCGTCTGGAACTGACCGCCGCCCGGTGCATTTCAGCGCCCCCCGCTAGAGTGGACGTGCCTGCTAGCTTCCCGCGCTAGCTCAGGATGGACGTGAACGTTTGGACGCACACACTGGTCTTGCTGCTATGGATTAGCTCGTCAGCCACCGCGCCAGGTGGGAGGGCGCGCCGGAGAAACACGAACGGGAAGACCGAGAGAGACGCAGACGGACCGCCCGAGCCATGGCAGATCAACCAAGGTAACATCGCCAGGTATTTTCTACTCGGTCCTAGAGCTTAGAGAAGACACATGGATTCACGTCCTGTCCTGTCACGGTTTGGGTGTCTCGTAACTAAACAACGACTAGGTTCATAAGGCCTTGGCAAATGTTTTTGTGATCTATGCCTGTGTGTTCCCTACTTCCGTATATACGTACGTACATGTGCAGGCTGACAGTACCTTTCTTCAACAAGTCCAAAAAGTACGTACATGTATTAAAGTTTGCGTCGCAATGAGACCAGATAGGCAGAAACGTTGAACGAAATATTGGTAGCTGCCTGGACAATAAGTGTCGAAGATTATTCTACACATGCCAGGATTTCGATCTGATAAGATATATTGATTTAGAGTAATCGCTTTCTCCGTCTGGAAAGCTGCTTGGGGTCGTAGCCGAGTCGTCTGAGGCGTGTGGTGTTTACGACTGCTCCCTAAACCCGAGATTAGGACAGAGATCTTCTGTAGACCGTCTTGAGTGATAGCTGTAAAAGTCCTTAAGTCAGAAGGCGTCATGTCTGATAAAGCCGATCGTCGGATACCGACCTCACGACAGGACAATCAGCGAGAGCACCTCCCGTGCCCTCGGGCGCACTCGGGGACGGCACCGGTGCGATAGGTGTCCCCTTCCCGCCGACGCGGACCACCTTTCCCCTTGGGCGGCGACGGGCACAATACGCGCCCGCTATGGACACATTTCTGTTCCCTGTCCTGTGACGATATTTGGTTCTATCTGCACGGTTCGGTGCCCGTAACCTTGTCTTTTCCTACTAACGTAACAATGTGCGTACAGACCAGTTTTTGTCCCACCTTACCTTGTTACTTCGCCTTACAACCGACACTTTAACGAGGCAAAGAAAAATATACGAGTATTGTAAAAGCAGAAAAAGGGTCACCTATGAATAGTTCTAGTCTCCCTCCAGCTACAACCGCATTTCAGCACGACAGGCCCACAAATATTCCTCATTGTTCATTTGGTGGCGGGAACGCGTGTGCAGCTGCTTTTTCAGTTCGTTACCTTTCCATGAAATACACTTTTGTGAACACAACAAAAACAGTCGATAGAACACTACACGTTTTACTCTTGACACACGGCAGCAACAGACACGTGCTCTTCTCGATATCTTGTTCAGTAGTTTGAGAGAACATGAAGTGTGCGAGGCTGGAACATGTTCGTAAGTCTGAATGAATGAAAGAGCAAATATTTGCTCAGTGATTTGCAAAACTTGACCCTCTTGCGAACTTGTCTTTTTCCTCATGCTGCTGCATTTGTTCCACGACACGTCCAAATGACTTCAGCTACGCTCCACTGCACAAGGAATCATTTGTCAGAAGCCTAATCCATGGTCATGAGGCTGGTCACCCGCGTACTAACACTAGTCTCTACCAGACTCCTTTGCAGGCTGAATAAATAGTAGAAATCGGCAAAGGGGGGAAATCATTGGCCAGAGGAGTCCATAGAGGGTCCTTGCAGGCAAACTGGACCCTCTATGGCCGGCCAACTCCTCTGGCCAATGATTTCCCCCTTTGCCGATTTCTACTACGTATTTATTCAGCCTGCAAAGGAGTCTGGTAGAGACTACACTAACACTACGTGTAAGATCAAATGTTCGACAAGCCCTTTCGCTGTTCCTTCCCCTGACCTGTTCTAGGGACGTCACCCTGGCTATGAAAGCATGTCATTGTTGAATGAAGACACTGTGTCCTTTTAACGGGCGGCTTAAAAGACGTGCTTCGAATTTTGGTCACGCCTTAAAAGTTGGCCGCAAACATCTTTATACGACATGCCGCTGAAGGCCCTACTTCGGCTTACAGGATCCAATGTTTGGCCAACAAGTGAGAAACTGCAGATGGTTTCAGAAAGACGCGTACAGATGGATGTCGTGAAAGTATTACTGTAAGAATAATCCGTTTAACCCACTTGGAGATTATATAAACAATTGTATTACGCTAGCGCTAAGAAAGCAACTCGAGTTGTCACGTGGTACAGGAAGGATTGAATGGAAGGACGGTCAACGGCTGCCAACATTGGAAGCGACGGTGTTGGTACAACAGAGGTACATTCTTGTAACAAATAGCCTGTCTTGGGTCGTGAATAAAGATGGGAACAATCTGATATACGTTTCCTGGCTCTAAACCGGTTCTCTACTACAGTAGGGTATGGGCGACCGGGTGTCAAGTGAAGAGCGAACGGAAAAAGGATCGTGATGAAAAAATCAGATGCATGAATGTTGGAGAAAAGAATACATGCCACAAAATATAAAGTTATTTATAAACCCCCAAATATTTTAACAATCCTCCTTGAATAATATAACATTTGCTCCGAGTTTATGCATAAACAGCGACCCCAGAACTTCATAATAGATGACTGACAGTTCTGTTGTTGTGAAAATGATTACATGTTATGAAAATTTTCTTTTACAAAAGACACAGTTTATTTGGCGTTTCTATTCGAAGCTGCACACCCTCGAGTCGACGATCTAGCGACCGTATCTGTCGTGGAATAATTCTGAAGGAGAATAACTGTATATGGGACGAAAGGATATCTCTTCAGCTACCAGACCAAGCAGGTCTGAGTTTGGTTTCTTCAACCACGGGAAACCTCCTAACACAGAAGACAGGATTCTGAAGCATGTTGTATCCGATGACGTTGTAAACACAGGCTGATTTGTTTGCCCGGAGGTGATCTCCAAGGTGATCTCTGTACACTCAGATAAGCGTTAGAAGTCCTATCTTCTAACCACACTGTCCGCACTTCAAAACAACGTTCTTCGAAGTTGGGGTGAGAAATAAGAGAGACTGAAGAGAAAAGAAAGGGGACACGGTAAAACGGTCGCGTGTGCTTAGGAATTTTGAAAGATCATAAATTCTTTTTAATGTCCCATCCCCGACCATGCCACATATATGGACCTCTATCTGTACCCCAGCTTATTTCTGACTATCCCACACCCTTGTGTCGCTTCTTTTACAGACATTTTCCCGTGTGAGGAAAACTGTCCTTTTTTTTCTTCCATATCGATCCGGTTCGGAACCATTGTTGTCCGGCAGAAGTTGTGAGTGATGTGGGACCATCTGTTACCTGGCTGTGGAACAGATGTGGGCACCACAGGTAAGGTCTTTACACGCACCGCTGTGTGAGAGGAATGTCTCCCATTGCTGGGACTGATCGATGTTCTTTGCTTCGTCCCGTACTTACAGGCCTCTGTCCCCAGTCTCTCTGTGGTAAGGGCGCCGCAACAACAAAGGACGCCGACTCCGAGAAATCAAGGATGGAGGAAAATATGCAAGGTGAGTCAATAAACAAATAAACAAACAAACAAACAAATATCAAAGAAAAATTTACACCAATATGACAGAATTGACTCCAAAAATCGGCGGATTGAGAAAAGCAAGGACGAGACAGTGAGGTAACTAGTAAACATCGATGGTAGGTAGTGCAGTATACACGATGACAACCGCGTCGCTAGTCTCTATCTACTGCCCATCCCCAAGGGACCGGTCATTAGATGGACAATTAAGCAATTCGTCAAGTCAATCATCTCCTGATAAGAATCGTGGAGGACCGGGTTAAGTTAAGACGTTCTGCAAGAGTGATTTTGTACCTTTTGATCCTGCGTTCCGAAATTCATCAAAGCCTTCTAAATTGAAATATTTTCAAAGGTAGTGCGCTGTGTCTTTGTAGACCTGTCAATAGCTTCTGTCTTCAATCAATTATCTGCTTTTCAATTAGTGTCTTCCTGATCTATTAGCTCCGCCTTGTTACACGAGTGATAGGGCTTCTCAGTGGACAACGTCAGACGTGGCGGAAATGACGTATGACTCAAGGTCACCATTTCCTGGGTGAGGTCACGCCCGCTGCTGGTTTCTATCATGTCGTAAAAATCCATCTTCTGTCAGTTCAGACATTTCTCAAACTGTCGTCTGGGGATGGACGATGTGGGGGAGACGCGCCGCGGGGGGCTGTCGCATGTCTGTCTGAAAAACTTCAAGTTAAATCAGAACGTCTTTGGTTAAATAAACCTTTAAATGTCAAATTCTATCAAGGATGATCCTCCAAATGTCATGGATGAGACTGATACAAAATTAAACCTTTTGGTAAGGTTCTTGTAAAAATTCATTGAATAAAACATCAATATAAAAGACTCCATTTTGTGGGACGCGACTTTCTCGCTTGTCTCCTGTTCAACTTAAAAAATAAAAGAATGCTTTCATGATGACCCCAAGCCGTTTGATAACCGTGTTCTGACAGATAAGATAGATAAGATGTGACCCCATGTCCAGTCCGACTATGTCGGGGTCACGAGAGGTCACGGACAGTACCGTTCCGTGTGACTGCTTGTCTATTTAGACTGTCATCACCACAGCTTCTCAGCTTCACACCACCACAGCTTCTCAGAACATATTTCCCCTGCAGTCAACAGGACAGGGGGAAAGGCATCAGGGTTCGAAATACATTATTCCACCCCCATCAAACTCCTTTCAAGCCGTACCCGGAAATTCAAGCCGTACCCGCTCAAAAATTCTGGCCGTACCCGGAAATTCGTGCCGTACCCGCGAAAATTTCAAGCCGTACCCGGTAATTCGTGCCGTACCCTGTACTTTTTCGCCGTACGACGCCACTCGGCAGGTAGGTGGCCAGGAATATTTAGCAGAGCATAGGCTATATGAGGTTGTGTATCGTTGCCCTACAGGGTATTTAGACACGACTTCCGAGTGACTACGCACCGGGGCTGAGCGATATCCGCCATTGGGTACGGCGAAAAAGTACAGGGTACGGCCAGAATTTTTGAGCGGGTACGGCTTGAATTTCCGGGTACGGCTTGAAAGGAGTTTGATGGGGGTGTATTCTGCCTACCTGCAACATTGAAAATTACCTGAACCACCCAAAAAGTATTAATCCCGTGAAATACTGTACAGATGCATTGACATTATTTCTTTTATGCTTCGTATGTGGTAACAGTCAACGCAGCCATTAGAATTTCACACACACCTGCATGCATGTATATTCAAACCCGCTGTACATATGAACCAGTGCAGGTTTGGTGAAGTTATACAGTATACGGTTATAACCTGAAATCCAGAAAAACCTGGACAGCTCCAATTTTACCTGCACTACCCAACATATGCCAGAAAACAAAGTCAACATGGCACTACCATTATGATGATAATACTAATGATTAACTCTACCCTACAGACAAGACCTCCTCGCCGTTCTACCAAGGTGACATCGTGGTTCCCCAGGCGGACCTCCAGGCCCTCAGACACCGCCGGGCCGCCGTGAAGGACCGCCTCCTGCTGTGGCCAGAGGGCGTTATCCCCTACCACCTCAACAAGACAACTCTGGGTAAGGCTTTTCCTGATCGTTAGTTGAAACTGTATGTGGCATAGGCTCCGGAGAGATACGAACGTGTTGAAGAATGTTCATGACTTTGATCACAGAGAACTGAGAAGCGAAATTCAAAGTTTACTTCTTAAATCTTCTTACTATCTTCTAACTATTTTTGCGTCTGTATAATTGCGTTTGCAGTGTAAAACACTGATCTGTCCTAGCCATGGTCAGCCCAGTATAACGTTATAACGTGTAACAAAGAAACACAGGACACCAGAAAGTCATTGCAAGCAGTAGAAACCCAGTGGTCTGGATATTATCAATCAACAACCACTTGTTTGTATGGGGGGATGGAGAAAAAACGGTCATTGGTTCCAATCAACAAGTGGTTGTGAATCAAGAGCTTTGACATTAATGCAATCATTCACCAACATGATAAGATTAATTACTGACCCAGTGACCTGTGCTTTCCCAGGAGGATTCTTTTAAAACATTATTTTCCTCTTTCCTTCTGAAGACAGGAAAACCCGGAAGGTGGTTCGTGCCGCCATGAGACACTGGATGAGAAAGACGTGCATCAAGTTCAGGAAGAAGAAAAGAAACGACGTCAACTTCCTCCATTTCATCGGAGATGCGGGGTGAGTGCTACTAATATAATTCAGAATTTACGCTCGTAACCCTAGTCCTGCGGGCGCCGAGATATCTCGGTTTTCCCATGTGTTCCATGTATGCGGAAGCCGAGATATCTCGGTTTTCCCATGTGTTCCATGTATGCGGAAGCCGAGATATCTCGGTTTTCCCATGTGTTCCATGTATGCGGAAGCCGAGATATCTCGGTTTTCCCATGTGTTCCCTGTATGCGGAAGCCGAGATATCTCGGTTTTCTGGTATCCCATACATGGACGCGTCAAATAAACTCCCGCGTACCGCGCGAACCCGGAAGTAACTTCACATATAGCTATAAAGCTTATTGGATCACATACTCGTATATGGAAGTTAGGAGTCTCAATCATTTAAGATATCCTTACCATAACCAGGTAATTCTCTCATCTAGATTGTCATTTTCAATAACTTTCAGCACATTAGCGATGCTATTTCGCTTTTCTGGCGACTCAGCGCAACGCGAGTCTCAGAATAAGTTGCTCCAGGCCCGCTGTATTTTTAGGAGGCTCTCAAAAAGCAATGTAAACAAACCGAGGTTTTCGTTCGGGCAACTCGGGCATCTTCCAAGTCGTTTTGCGGCGCAACGACTTCGATCCTTTACTCCACAAATGTCATCATGAACCCAGGTAGGCTTATAGCGCAAGAAAACGATTGTGTAAAGCAACGATGTTTAAAATACTGAAATTATTACATAATATCACTTTACCGGACATGTTCCAGTTGCTGGTCGTACGTGGGGATGCAGGGCGGGGAGCAGAAGCTGTCCCTGGGGTCGGGCTGTGAGCTGTTCGGCACCGTGGTGCACGAGATCGGACACGCCGTGGGCTTCTGGCACGAACAGGTAACTTCTACAGCTTAAAACTTCATCTGTAGGGTCGTGTGGCGTAACGGCAGCGTGCTCGACTCAGAACCTAGGGGTCCCGGGTTCGAGTCCTGACATGCCACCGGAAATCTTGACCGGAAAAGACTTGATCTTGTGCCCTTGGGAAATACCCTTCACACGACCTCAAGTGGAAATGAGTATTGTCCTGTATTTGTCCTCTGCGTTGGTGGCGGCATAAGTGAGTTGACATAACTTCAGTGTTCCATCACCATGTCTAGTCATGAAATGTTGGAATTAAAAAAAAAAGGTAACTTGTGTGTGACTGCATGGGTGAAAGGTGCCTCAAGTGTGTATCGCCCCCCGTCTCGGTTGGGCAGAGGCTGATGGCTTGTGATAAGCTCGCCCATTCCCCCGTATCAATACATCATTACTTTTCAACGTAAAAATAAGTCTCGGTAGTTCAATATCTAGGGGTTGGGACACCGACAATTGCAAGGAGCTTCAAAGGCTAGTTTATACACAATTTAACATATGTACTTACAAATAGGACAAATTAGAGAGAAGTTAGAACTAGTTCACTGTAAAGTCTGATGTAAATTGGCCCGTATTAAAAGACTATTTACCACTCCGCACCTGCACTTAACGATGTTTTGATTTTCATACCTAATTCCTGCATGACTCCACATAGGAAGATCCTTAACTCGAAATTATGCGCGATATTCTAAATTCCACATACAGCCCGGCCGGTATCCCCTCTCAGCCCGCGAGGATTACAGTTTTATTCTTCCCGTTGTCGCTCGCTGGAAGGCAGGCTTAACCCCGCTAACCCGTGGACCTTGTATATACTACAGGACCTATCGGCGGCATTAGTTAGGCACCCTCTCTGTATGAGGACTAAAACTGGGTGGCAGACGGAGAAAACTTCGTCATCTTGTCTGGATTTCATCAGTTTAGGAGGTAAAGAGCGAAACTTAAATTTGTTATGGCCCCGGATAAAGCTACAAGCTCAAAACGGGTTACGGCATACTTTCTTTCTAGTGAAATAATGAGTTATTTTATCTCGTGGTATGTTTGGTATGGTTAAACAAGATCGTTGTGAAATTTTTGAGCGCTCATTCCAATAAAACCAATCAAACGACAGGAACGGGAAGACAAGAACAAAAGATGAGCTGATGATTTTCCCTCCCTCGTAATGCGATGGTGTTTACTAGTATCTCAGCAGAAATTCCAAAACATGGTTGTAATTCAATACGCGGTGTCTATGTTATTTTCTCGGGATAGTTACCTGTAGTGTAACCCTTAGGCTGACGTCTTAGTGAAGAATGTGGAGTAAATAGCCGGGTTAGGGTGTAATTATTGTAATGAAGCCGTGCAGGTAGCTGTGGAAGCCGGATGTGTCTCATCCCCGGGCGGATCTGTGCAGACATAAAAGTCGCCGTCCTGAGGAGAGATCTTCATATAAGACCCCGGCCACGTTCGAGATCGCACGACGTTCCTGAGACAGTCGTGGCTATGTCGTATATAATTCACCTGTCTTGTGGCGGGAAAACGGTTCCTATAAATTTTACACAGACCGTTTTTATCAGACCGTCACTGAAAATCATACGACAAAAATTGTATAACGCACAATGACCGCGCCTTAAAACTACAGAGGCTCTCCTACCTGCCCAGAAACATGATGTCATACAATTATACCCTCTCTAACCATTAATTGTCTCCGGACGGGGGTATTAATTAGCTTAATCACCGCAAATGACAGACCCCGACGTCTGTATAATGCAGGCCATCATCATGTCGACACAAACCGTGTCATCAGGTACCGTCCCTCAAGGCACGACGCACCCCGAACATTAAATTGTTCAAATACTGGAAAAGTGTCAGTCACTTATATAATCATTTCCACCTAAACAGAATTCGTTTGGGTTGACATTGAGTATATACAGTTCATGCTGTATTTCGCATGTTTTTTGCCACGCTTCTTGATAAGATAAACTTTTATATGGTACGCTGTCAATTGTTTTTGAATATGTACTTGAAATCTGCCCATACTCCACAACCTGTAGTTACCTGTCATATTGTGGCAGACAGTAGGTCTTACATTTCGCAGATGTCTAGTCTTGGCGCCAAACGACTAAAAGCAGTAGCCAGAAAATGATCAAAGAGAAAACGCAGCACAGACGATACCTGTAGTACATGCACCACTGAATACCTGTGTGTCCTTGTGACCTCTAACTCACTCCAAAACACACCCACCCACCCCTTCATGATCGCTGTGGTAGTGTTCAAATTATCGTCTGAAAATGACATCAGTGTCGAAAGAATGCTGCGTTACGTCAGGAATGTTGAGGTACAAAAACATGAAACTACTTTAGTACAGTGCACCAATGTCGTTTAATCACATTGACCTTTTTGGTATTTCTAGTGTTTTTTCTTTAACTTGAAGGCTTCCAACATCGCAGTGTTTACTTTAGTTTGTTCCTCGGTTATAAATAACCCTGTGGACTAATTACCGATTCGAACATGTTCTCACATTGTCACGGAGGTCGCCTTACGTCCTTCAACACAATCATTCCGTTGGTGACTTTTGTTCAGTCCTCCTCTAAGGAGCTTAAAGTTTCAATCTACCAATTTTGGGCACCGCCTACCTTTTCTCATGCACGGCTTTCTCTCCCCACACTGCAACCATTAGACGCAATCAAAGGATTTGCAAAGATCGCGCACCTTTTCTTTGTGAGGTTAGAGGGATAGAATTGTTTATCCCTGCTTTAAACTGTCTGCTCGGTATGTTTAGACTTCCACAGGCTGAATGCTGCTCCCACAATGGACGGGATTGATCTCCGAGTGAGAAGGTTTAGTTAGACATAGCAAGTCTCCATTTCTCGTTTTACCCGTAAACGACTTGGTCTTTGGGAGTCTCAGTGTTTTTCAGCGACATTTAAGGAGAGATCATTTCGCAGCTTTGACATAAATGCGGCTTTGGACGCCCCAAGAAAATGTCATCTGTGAGGGTTAGGTGATTTCTGTGCCTTATGAAGATTGTTACGTGTACGTCACTCTGCCTTTGTGATTTGACACCTTAGGGCAAAGGCATTTTGGTAGGTTTTAACCCAAGAGAACCGTTAAGTTTTGTGCAGAAAATGGCAGGCTTAACATATCGTTACGCTGAAGATTGATGTTTACAGTAACGTTTAATTGACTATGACGTTGTGCCAACGCTTTGTTGCTCTAAAAGCACAGATCATGGAGGTAGAAAAATTGTTTCTACATCCATGCACAGATGAATTAACCAAGGTTTGGCTAACTTAGGCTAACCAAAGAAGACCAAACCTCAAGCTAAACTAATATATGCATGATGCATGATTAATCTACTTATTTCTGAGCAAACTTTGATTGGGAAGAGTCAAGAGTCGCCCTCTTCTATATACCGTTTTCCGATAGTGTTTTAGCTATTGGATATTGTCTTATAGCCTCCACCAGGCCTTCTTACGGGGGTACGGATCATTGAATTTGTTTTAAAAAAAGGGGGAGGGGGGAAATAGTTAGCGAGGAATCAGTCCACGGGAGGGTTAAATAAACTCTACGCTGGCAAAACTCCCATAGTCAATTATTTTCCCTATTGCCGGCTCAGCCTACATAGCATGCCAAAAACTGGGGGTCTTCATGGTCTTTGGGATCTTTAATGTGCTATTTTCTGATTGCATATAGACAAAATAGCCGGCCTGGTTTTATTACCCCCGTTTTGTATCAGAAAAAAGCCGAAGACCACCAAACCTCCAGTTCTATAAGCCTGCTACGGAGGCTACTATTGGCTACACTTTACCTTTTTCGAACCCGCGTTGTGGTGGAGACTAATTGTCTTGTTAACTGGTTGCTTACACTTTTTCCAGCAAAATATGTTCTTGTAGATTATAATTCCTTCGCTGTTGCCCTGTTGTACAGGCCCGGTACGATCGGAACAAGTACATCCGCATCCTGCGGGGAAACATCCTTCCCGGAGCCGAGGAGAACTTCGACAAGATGACGTTTAAGACCATCAACACGCTGGGCGTGGCGTACGACTACAACAGCATCATGCACTACGGACCAAACTACTTCTCCGTCAACGGGAAACCTACCATCAAGGTAGGGCCTGTATAGTCTCCAGCAGACTCTTTTTTTGTCCGGCCATAGAGGGTCCGGTTTTCTTGCAGGACTATTATGACGTACATTATGACGTACTCTGGCGCGACCCTGTGAAAATGCAGCAAAAACGCCTGCGACCAATATACACAGCAGTTCAGGCACATGCACATCATTGCGCTGAGGTTGTGCGGATGGGCATTACTTTATTTCTCCACTCCCGCGCTGTCCCCGTGATAATATACCATATAGCCTGACTGAAATGTTCTTCTATATCCTTGGAATATTGGGTTTACGCAAAGTAAACTTAATCTGGCTTGTTTGTGTGACTGTTTCCCCAGGTGAAGCGTATCGGCTGGAGAGCCAAGCCTAAGATCGGGCAGAGGAAGGTGCTGAGTGAGCTGGACGTGGCGCAGACTCGGCACATGTACCAGTGCAACAGGAGAGACATGCAGAGGCGGAGAAAGGGTGAGCGGAACGACTTCTAGAATATGCCAAGAACATACATGTACATGTACTATGAAATAACCCAATAGATTGGTAGTTATAGGGCTTTCGTTCCTACACAATTGAAAGAGTCACCATAAATTTTCGGTCAACCTTCGTCAGATGTGTGATGCACTCGCTGTCTCCACAAATGTATGGTTTACTTTTTGTGTTGGAACAAAGTTTGAACTCTATAACTATAGATTATTCCAACACAAATGAGCTTTCATTCGAACCCAATAGATTAAGCTAATGCAAACCATCAGGCATGGCTAATAAACCACTGAACCAAGTACAGTCGAAATTGCTCTTCACCTTAAAGGTCTAGGAAAAAAAAAAGAAATTTCCTGCATTGTTCACGTAAAGCTTTTGTCTATTTCCACGCAGATGTCTGTTTCTTCAGTAAATACGGTGACGGCAGGGACTACAGAGGGACTGTGGACTACACACTGGAGGGCGTGACGTGTCAGAAATGGACGTCACAGTGGCCACAGGCGCACTGCGTCATGTCCAAGTACTGGCTCGGCGACAAGGTACTTGTACGTCTGTCGTAACGTTGTTTTACTCTGCTCAGAAAAAGCGTTATGCCGATTGAGATAGACGTGTTTTACTCTAATAGCTGAAAGGATGGTCAGGATTGTTGTGATACAGAGCAGGGGCCCGGGAGCCATCTAAGGATTTTACCAAGGAAATAATTCATGTCCTTGATTTTACCAGAAGAAAAATCGCTGGAATAAGAACACGCATAAAAAGCCAGGCGTCTCTACTCAAAATTTGAACGAGATACTCCGTAGATACGAATTCGAATAGAAAATCTATCTTAAACTACTTCTTCCAGCAGTTACTGGTAACATGTTTTAATTCCTGGCGTTTGCTTGACTACTTTCTTCAGATGGACGGCTTGGGCAACCACAACTACTGCCGCAATCCGGGCGGTCGAAGGTCACGACCGTGGTGTTTTACGACACTTCAGGGCACGGAGTGGCAATACTGTGACGTCAGGATATGCAACCCCCTGCCGAGAAGAAACGAGAACGAAAGCACCAGCCTCCCTACCAATAACAACCTGGACAAAAGATGAAGAGACTGTGCAGTGGCGCCACCGTGCGACTATTGATAAAACTGCCATTATTAACAATAACTAAATACCTCATCGTCTGTGTTACAGACTCAAGAAAATGGTTATTATCGTACCTAAGTTTTCTTATTTACTAGAAGACTAAGGTACAATTATTTTCTAGAATATTAGAGGCAGGGATTCGTGTGATTTATAGTCATATGTGCATGTTGTACAGAAAATGAAGATGTACATATGTTTAATTTATTTATTATCAGGGAAAAGTTTTAAAATATAACGGGGAAGTCAGCAAGAACAACAATTTTGGTAGGCACCTCTTGCAAGATGGTCTCAATGTCCAACTCATCCACTATTAGCAAAGTTTCCATTAACTTTCCTTCAAAAGTGCTGTTTTAATCAATTGGGAGATCTAGATAATACAGCCTTGCTAGTGCACGTTATGTAAAAACGCCTCCTGGCGTCCATCTCACGTACTACACACCAATCAGACCATTTTCTTGTAAACATAGATTGTGTCTACTCTAATAAGTATGAAAACTGTAATACTTAGTTTGATTGTACTGTAAGGGGTGTATATTTATAACAGGAAACTATACTATGTTTGACCAGTTGAGCTCAGGTATTTATATACATATACTGTTCTGTCCAAAGTTAACATGTTTCATATTTGTATGTATTTGTACAAGCAACAATAAAGTCCAACATAAACAATACTCATCCATAAAGGTCTAAGTTCTCATGTCAATGGTGGTGTTCTGTAAACAATTGCGTGTAAAAAAAAAAAACAACAACCAAAGTTAACACAGTGAAAACTGCATAGCAACACTATACAAAAAAAAAGAAACTTGGATTTTTCCACAGCCATGCACAATGAATGGAACACTTGAGTGTTTTTATTTTGAACATTTGGGAAGAAGAAAAAAAGGAAAACTACAAACATAACAATGAAGAGACTTGTCCAAACAATATGTCACAACCACTGTCCTCATACCAACATCAAGTGCACAACCATACGTATTACATCATCAACAGAAAGGCTGAAGAGTTAAGTAATTGCACATCCCAGTGACTTTGAGCATGTCAATTTTTACATCCTACAAAGGGGGGGGGGGATATAACCATTCCAGTAAGCTATTCATACAAAGCAAAAGGAATGGAAAATGTATACTAGTATATTGCTACCTTTCAGCTTTCAATGCCAAGGAGGCAATTCATGACTGTGAGATGATATCAAAGCGATCAGTCACTACGGATTGAGTGCAAAGTCAAGGTTTTTGTACCTTTCATCCACAAAGGAACCAACTACACAAGGTTGCAAAGTATTCCTTACATACACAATACAGCATGCCCCCCTCCCCCTTTGGCTACTCACAGAATTTAATGGAAAAAGTTACTAGTAGTAGGTTATTTTCCACAATAAAAGGCAACAGAAATCATACACGTCAGACCACAGGAAACTGGCTGGACAGTTGCACAGTTGTTTGTCACTTTTCAAAGTAACACACTAGTTACTTATGTACACTGTTTTTCAACAACAGCTCTTCTATACAAGTATGTAGTGCTAGGAGAAACAGTACCCTGTCTACGAATGTGCTGCTATGTTCTGTACATTCCTTTCAGGAAGAGAAAGGTATTGTACATCTTTATTTGATATTCAGCTATAAATGTTGGTATGTGAATAGTCAGAATACAGATTCTAGATTTGTGCAAAGAATTTCTGCTGTACAGAAGTTAGTATTTTTCTACTATAGTTATACATGTAGTTTGTTAGTTGTAACTATGTAATATTGCTTGCGACACCAATTCTCCGGAGGCAAAATAATCTGTAGTACCCTGACTGTTACAGAGGTAGACATGCTACACACAACACACTACCGGATACCAGGGAGCACCTCATGTTAATATCACAGCTGGAACTTTCAATGTGTAGAAGCATATTAAACCATGATGCACAAGATTGGTACTGAGTGACATTCAGATCTTTTTATAGCTTATAATAAAGTGGTGGAAATCTTAAGAACTACATGGGTTTCAAATTACCGATTTCAAAAATTCATTCATATCAAGCAGAAACAAAATTTTCAGAAACTGAGAATGGCACTCCACTCAATACAACTACAGTACAACAGTACAGGGGGTTCAGAGTCTGTGAACATGTCAGCAGAACGTACTGCGCCTGTGCAAAACCTGGACTTTTCACGGGTTTCATTGGTGGATGCTTGGTCAACGTTGCATCAGAATCATGCCTGTTGCAGACGATTTCTTTTCCAACAGAACAGGTGAAAACTAGGTGCAGTATTTCTAGCAACATCCTTTATCTGTGGCTCCACCAATCATTGCACAGTACATGTACTGATTGTGGGTTACATCATTTATAATTTCCCATCAGCAAACTGAAAGAAATCTGTCATAATGCCTAAATTACAAACCACCAAATTGTTTTACATTAACAAAGTGTTAAAAGTACAGATATGTTTCTGTGGTCACAGACCAACTTGTACACTTGCCCAATACGCTTAAAGCTAGTTTGTACCTAAGAAGACAACACAAAAGTCTATATTAATGGGTCAGAAAACCTGTTTGGACATTGTGGCTTTAATGTATGTCATGAGTCCCAATACTGACTGGTTCTACTGCACCGCAGCGATGTGGTGCAGTGATGAGGGTGGATATCAACTCAGGTTTGGGACTGCAGTCTTCACACTGCAGCAGTGACACCTAGCTGCGGTGCAAACTAGAATGAACCAGTTAGTATTGCACTGAGGAAGGTGACAGACGGTCCCTTAAACATTGGCAACTACAAACTGCATGTAAGTATGTTTTCGAACCTCTGCACTCTGTCGCATATATATATCCATTATTCAAAAACTGTCTGACAAAAAATGTGTTGTCCAGTTTATTAACAAGAAACAGGGCAAAAAACTTACTTTGACTTAATTTGTCTGAAGATCACATGTCTGACCTTGTTTTGATGACGGCATTACAAGCTTTTTTGCACAGGTGAATCCAAGAAACATTTCACTCAGCACTAGAACGGCTATGGTTAGTCCAAATATGCCACTACGACAATGAAAGTTAATACAAGTGTACATTCAAGAAAAGAACTAAGATATAAACAATAGCAAAGGTGAGGCCATCCTATGTAATGTGTGTAAAATCACCACATACACGTGTACCTTGTTCCCCCACAACCTTAGGAATACTACCATGTGTAGAAATCAAACGTCTTTTTCATTGGTGAAGCCATTCATTGGTACTAACACAATAAAGCACTGCTGGTTTGGTATAAGCATGATCACTGCCATACATTGCTCTGTCATAGGGGCAAAAATAACATCTATCTTGCCTATACATGTATCTACAGCCTACAAAGCTATGATTAGGTTGGCAAAACTGTCAAGTCTTGTTAAGCATACTAGCAACCTGGTTTGTTTGGACACAAGTTCTGCACTACAAGTAAGCTGTCCAGTTTGGTAACACTTCTAAACATACTTGTCCACTTTGGCATGGACTCAACCATACCATACATGGGGGAGAGAGTGTGGTATAGATTTACAATATCCTGACACCCCCTACAGAATAGTGCAATCTTCCTTCTGCTGGCCGCCGCCATTTTGCCTCTCGATCTCCATGATCAGCTGCTGGAACACAGAGTTCACGCTCTCCTTCTCCTTCGCGGAGGACTCGGCGAACGGGCACTTCCACTGCTCGGCCAGACCCTTCCCCTCCTCCTGTGGGATCACCCTCTCCATGTGCAAGTCCGTCTTGTTGCCCACCAGCACGATCGGGACGTTCTGGGCCCCGGTCAGGTCCAGCAGCTTGTCCCGAATCACCTGCACCACCTCGTAACTCTTCCGCGAGGTGACGGAGTACACCAGGACGTACCCGTGCACGTCCATGGTGTAGGCCTGAGGGAAGATCGAGTACTCGTCCTGGCCGGCCGTGTCCACCAACTGTAGGTTAAACTCCTGTCCGCGGACTTTTATCGTCTTGTTGAAGGTGTTCTCAATGGTGGGGTCGTAAGAGTCTACGAACTGACCTTCCACGAACTGGATGGTGAGGGAAGACTTGCCCACGGCACGGAAGCCCATCACGGCCACCTTACGCTGCTTGGGGGGAGCCATGTTTCTCTAGAGACAACAACTGCTAACTGGAATGACTACAGTTCTGAATGTGAGTTCTGGTTCACTTGACGAGGGACAGGGTCTTCTGTAACTCTTTGTACTGAAGACGTCCACGTGATAACATCATCCGGATGACTTCCTATTTCAGAGAAAACACAGAAACATTCAATTTTCACTATCCAAAGACAGCAGGATTGCACGATAAGGAAATTGACAATACTCAGAATTGTGTTTCAATGTCCCAAACAGTGGAGGGAGCAGATATATATAAAAAAGAAAAAAAAAACAAGCATAAAAATTAAAATCTTTACCTCAACTTCAGAAAGCAGTCCTGTATACCTTCAGTCCTACCTCATCAGTTTCTCCCTTGTTCTGCCTGAATTCTTGGCGAGCCCAGTCCACGAGGTACTTCTTGTGCTCGGGGTCCGGGACCTGGCGCAGACTCCGCAGGATGTCACGGTACAGCTGGAGAACCTGCTGGCGCAGCAGAAACTGCAGCAACATCAAGAGAAGGTCTTCAATTTTAAGTATACTGTGGTGCGCTTCAGGTTAATGAAACTTGACAGTAATAATTTTAATCAAGAAGATGCATTGAGAGAATAAGACTGGGAACCCAATATTTCTAGTAATTGACTACAGTTGTAACTACATATATACTACAACATACAAAGCTATGACAAATTTATGACTTGCATAAACACAGATTATGTTTATGAATATGAATATATTCTTCCAAATCAAAGTGTTAGCAATACATGTCCCTGTTCTCAATGGTATATGTAATATCCTGGTTTGACTTGTAACACTGTAGATGTGAACTGCAGAGTTCACTGACATAAGGAGGAATGTCTCCCTTACAGTCCAGTGCTCCAGTAACCTACATACACAGCCACACCCTCTGACATTGCTGTCTACATTTGGAAAGTCTAAGATCTCAGGAGGGTGGAGGGGTGCATTCTTGTATGTTGGTGGGACGGTGGTACATTCTTACATTTGGCAAGTTGACATGTATTGACACTATGACAAATATGGACTTATCCAGTCGAAGTATAAACTTTGATACAACTGGTACCCACCACACTTTAGAGGAGTATAGCAAAATATCTTGTGGTAGTTGCGCAAAGTTCACAATTTTATCAGGAACAACTACATGATTTTAATCAAGGAGATTTAAACCTTGTTATAATCATGCTTCTCCTGAGAGGAAGTAGCCTGGGTGCCATCCAATTTGTAACGGCAACCCCGAAAAAATTGAGGCTGCCATTACAAATCGTTACAAATTGGATGGCACCCAGGTTAGAGAGGAATTCTACATTACTCAAAAATGTGATTTTTGACAGTTGGCATCAAGTCAGTGCCAAGTATAGACTTTCATCTGATATGTTGTAACATGTTAATCAGTATCACACAGCGTCCAAAATCATCATCATCATAGCTTGTCGCTATTTCTCTCAGCAAAAGTCCGAGCAGCTTCACTGGCCTCCTGGAGGTCTGAGTCTGTGCAGGTCGGCGAGAGCGTCCAAAATGAAATGGTTTTGGGGTTGGCAAGTGAGAGGTTGTCTCTAATTCTAGATATCAAAGTTTGTACAAGAAGCATCTTCAACTTCAAGAGGCTGGATAACAAGACAACACAAGCTTTCCTACAAGCCATGACATGAGATACATGTCCATATAGTGATTTGTTGTACATTGTAATCTGACTGAACTGTCCATGTTTCCCAGTTAGTACCCTGACACTATCCCTTTACCAAGTTTTCAGGTCATCTGTCTGTCAGATTGAGTGGGTATACACATTGATGATTTACAAAATTACACAGTCTTTTAACTATATATAACTATAACTGTTACATGAAAGAAAATTCAAACATCTAAACACAACAAATTCTACCAGTATCCAGATTTGAATTGAAGGGAGACACTAGTAATATGACTATGAACAGTATATTGAGAGCAATGACATTATAAAATCTACTTCATGAACCCCAACTTCCGGCACAGTGATTCGGACACAAGTTTTGAATGTATGGTACACTCCTACTCAGTCAGTTCAAAGTCCACTTTGTTATAACATCTACCACACCTAGAACACCAGCAATGAATACTCCCTAAGTTTATGTTATGGCTAAAGTACAAGTACACATGTACTAGGACAACACTATGATCACCATGTGTTTATAACTTAAGTTGACAGAAAAACTGGTCTATGGATTGTCTAATATCGGAGCCTTAAACCTTTAAAGATTATGGTAAGCAACTAATGAGTCAGCAGCAAATACAACACTATCAACAGACAAGCATGTTTACATGGGACTGAGTCAACAGTAATGCAGAACTTGTCATAGTTGTTGCTAGGGTCTAAGCAGAAGTGTGTTTGGTCTGTTTCTGTTCAGCATCTGCTTTGTAGTAAAATGTGCAACATCTGTACTTGTATCTATAACGTTATCTGTATAGCCAGTATAAGACTGCCCTTTGGCAAAACAAACCAGCTGGTGTAACACATGTACACATCTAGCTTGTGTAATGTACCAGTTTTTCAATGGATGAAAAAATGCAATTCACTGTGACCTCTTAGAGAAGAGTACACAGTTACAGGCACGAAACTGAAAGTGAAAATAGAGGATTAATCTGGGCTAATCTTGGGATTATGGCAACACATGTGGGCTAATCCAGATTATGCATGTAGTAATGAAGTTCTGCTGTGGACCACCTATGGTCCCAAAGGTATGTGCATTGTCTTTAAGTTAAGTGCCCATGATTAAATATGCAAGGTTTTGTTTACAGTAAATTACACCAGTATTGTCCAGTCAAGAACTAATTGATAATCTATTGATCACAAACTGATCATCATTAGCACATGAATCATGCTATATTTCTTTGTATCTGCGAAACATGCTGACCAATGCAGACGTGACATCAACAGAGTAGGATTGATATATGATAACCGTTCTGCATTTGATTTGGGTATAACATTTTGAAATTGAAAGAGGAAAAATATATATCAAAATCAATATCTTGGGAACAGAAAAAGATAACCAAGCAAATCTTATGCAGCTGATTTATATTCATGTAGTATGTATTCTGATCAATTTGTGGACAGTTGCAGAAAACAGTTGATCGAAGTGCACTATAATTTGCAACGATGCACAAATATAATGTGTTGTTTTGCACCGTGGCGTGGTCAAGGTTCAGTAAGTCTGACCACGCGGCATTCATAACAGGTGACCAAGATTCCGTCCTGACTCACTTTTAGGTGCCCACTGTTCTTAGTTCTAGAGAAGCCGCCCTTTAAACAGATCTAGAACCCAGAAATGCGCAGAAAATTTAGCCGAATCATCGCCATCCGCCCACGCAGTGCCGAGTACACACGCACAAGTTTTCACCTCAATAAAAAACAGAAGGTTGTAAAAATGGCGTTCGACCGTATGTCTCAAAACACAGCCCTGTTTGACCTCGGCACTGCAACTTCTACGTCTATCTAGGCACGGTAATATTCTACCGATGTACAGGATAAATTGTGAACCAACCGATCTGAGGAAAACAGGAAATGAAAGTCAGAAGCTTACGTGTTTCAGAGAGAGAGCGGAAGGCGGTAACCTGGAGGCCATGCCACCATCTTGAAAATAAAGTCAGGGACAACGCATTGTATACGAAAACATCTCGTGCGTTCGTAAATAGAATACACAAAAATGACAATTGTACAACAGCAATCACTTAAAATTTTGTTTAAAGTTTTAATGGGAAAATTCCAGTCCTAAATTAACTTAACGAAATGTCATGAGGATCACACTCATGTGTGTTAGTGGTTCACCCCGTATTTTGGCATTTTCTCGCGAGACCTTTTTTATGGAAGTTCCCAGTATAGAAAATAGGTTACGCAAAGTTTCATAAGAAAAAAATGAACGTAATCAAGGTTCATTAAAATTGCAATTCTAGATTTATAATTTATTAAAGACATTATATAGTATTTTACAGCTACTTTGTATATTCTACATTGAAATCAGGGTAGATTTTATTTTATCCTTCAACCTCCCCACTACCAAGAATGAACCAATCCATACCAACATGGCCGCCTTCATCGTGAATTTTTGGTCACTCTTCTGATCTACAAATTATGTTTGTTACGCTGCTCTGATTCTATCATCCTACGATACTGTTTGTTATACGTAGAAAGAAAACTACAGGTTCTCTAGGTTGTCAAATTCATATATCTTTCGGCCATGGCAAGCTCCAGCCCGCCGCCCGAACCTCAGACCTCGCACCCTCCGCGGAGGATGCCGACCCCACGAGCGCGGAAGGTGGAAGACTTCTCGTTCGGTCCATGGACCATCACTGCCGTGAAGAGCCACATCATGCCGTCAGACGACATGGACAAGTAAGTATCATCTGTAGTATCCTTGGAAGGTCGAACAGTGTGGGGAAATCCATGGTATTTTATTACTTGTCAAAAATAATTTTCGAAGAAAAACATTGATTTTGCTCTGTTTCTTTCTCTTCTTCTCCAAACAAAACAAAATAAGAGTCAATGATCTGACTCAGACGTCTGTCACCATGGTAATTAGTGTTGGGTTACATGATGTTGCAATTTCATTACATGTACAAGTACACCACCTAGGCTCATGCAAGTTACCCTGTTGATTGTACAATCTACATTTGCATATTTTGTACTCTCACAATGATTTAGCAGTTGCGACTTGGGAACCCTTTTGTATGTCTATATACTGGCTTCCAGAAGCCAACATGCCTTAACATTGATGCTGTTACCCAACATAGACTGGCCTCCGAGCTGGACATCCCACAACTGCCGGAGATGTTGTTCGGCCAGAATGTGCTGAGAATAAAACACTCCGGAGGGTTTGGGATAGAGTTCAACGCTGTGGACCACATGAAGCTGGTGGACAACAAACATGATCTGATGAAGGTCGCTGTTTCTGAGGCCTGGAGGGAGGCAAGGTACAAGTGATGCTAGATCTGTAATGTTACGTTAGAAGTGGTACTGAGATAAAATAAGTTGATTAGAACATCAAAACATGAAAACATGTGGCCAATGACAATGTGAGAAGACTGTTCTTCAGTGTAAGAGCTATATATAGTACATAGTAGTGTTGACCTCACACTCGTTTAAAAACTCTATAGAGTACGCAAGTCTCAATTGTCACTGCCTAAAATGCTGTTGCCACCCTGTAGGGCTGGCAGTGAACACATACAGGAGGTCATCAAGCCCTTTGACTGGACCTTCACCAGTGACTACAAAGGGACACTACTGCAGGAAAGTGCCCCACTGCAGGTCAGTACTGTAACAGGATCTAGCCAGGGTACTAGTATAATCCTGGTTTGTGTCCACTCCCATAGTTGCTACAGACAGTCTGTAGACTGAGGGAGTGGACATAAACTAACCAGGATGCATATGGTACCCAGGCTAAACAAGATCAGTCAGTTAGAAGCATTTCATTGCTGTGATCACTATGGCAGCATAGCCGGCCATAGCTGGTGTGTTGGGCCAAATAAGACTCTAAGAAACACATTCCTTGAAATATTTCAAATCAATGTGCTACATGTAGTACATTTGTACCTGTCTTTCTTTTTTAACTGAGATTGCAAGAAGACAATACAATACAGGCACTAGGCAGCTACTACCATGCAGGCACTGGCTATGGGTAGCTATGCAGTACTAGCTAATTACCAGTACCTGGTGCTATAACTCTATGTCATCTGCTGTGTTGGACCAACAGGTGGAAGAAACCACAGAACTGATTGACATTGAAAAGCTGAAGCAGAGGGAGAGGATTGTGTACTTTGAGGAGGTGGTTCTGTTCGAGGATGAGCTGGCTGACAACGGCTGCTCAACACTCAGTGTCAAAATTGTAAGTAGAAATTGGCAGGGTTGATGTTGTAAAAATGCAATTTAAAGATGAAAATGGAGATGGGAGATAAAAAAAATTCAGGTTACTGTAGCACCACTATGCAAGCTCTAGATATCATTAGATTATATGGCAAATTATTCAAGACTGTGGAGTTAAAATATGAAGGAAATGTTTTATCTCACATGGCAACATTCTGATCATGAGTCTGATGGCAAAAGTTACTTACCGGTATACCCAATACATTATACACAGTTAGCCTGGGTACCATCCGGATTTTCGCTACGCAACGCTTGAAAAAATCACAAGCGTTGCGTAGCGAAAATCTGGATGGTACCCAGGCTAATACACAGTGGCTCCAAAAATTCTGGGGCAAATCCAACTGATTACCACTGTGACAATAAAATACATGCACTAAGATACACTCAGTAATTTACATTTCTATAACACAGTTCTTCTGTGTCTGACAAAAACCCTATAGCTAGATATGTAAGATATAAGATATGGAAATGATCAAAGTGTTTGAAAAGTATATTTTTTGTGTTACCCACAGCGAGTTATGCCAACAAGCTTCTTCCTGTTGATGAGGTTTTTCTTGAGAGTGGATAATGTGATCATCCGAGTGCACGATACCAGACTATACCACGAGGTGAGACAAGACTGTTCATAGATTTTGTATTTTCTGTTGCAATGGAGTAAGAAACTTGTGTAGCTGGAATCTGAACACCAGAACAGCAGAGTAATTGATGCTGAAAATAAAATTCATGTATGCAACATGGTTGCAAGTTTAAAAAAAAAAGAAATAAAACATTAAATTAGTACAGCAACCAGAATTGACAGTCAAGCAAAGTTATCTGTTTAGATCTATCTGCTATACAGTTGTATATATGACTGTACAAAATGTATGGGGTTTCTTTTCCTTGCAGAATGTTCTGGTTGATACGTAAGTGTTCTTAAGTCATGTTTCTTTTAATTTCAGGCTGACAAGGACTACTTCTTGAGGGAGTATTCTGCAAAAGAGAACAACATTGATGACTTGGTGGTAAGAAAATACATCATAGTACATGTACAATGTATTTCTACCAGAATCAATCCTTCAAAGATCAGTTAGAATCATGAATGTCAAAATGCTGAGTACATTAATGAGAAGGAATAAAGAGCCAAGTGTTCACAAATACTTGTACATGCTTTACAAGACATGCATGATTTACTGGTAGATAGATTCTTATAGGTCTTTTGTTTGACCATCCAGAAGCGAGGTGTTCCTCAGCGACTCCTCCAAGATCCCAACGAGATCGTGAGCAGGCTTGACTCTAGGGAGATGGTCATCCACAAACTCAAGTTTCCACCGGTCCAGACTACAAACACAGACACACAGGCAGACTCACAGAAAACAGGCACGACAGACTGTGATTCAGCCGAGAAATGACATGGTCCACATCAATGTGTTAGTGTGGGGTTGTTGGAGAGGAGGAGTCACTGTCAGAGGCCTGAAAGTCACAGCAGGGATTTTTTCTTAGGTTGTAACAGTTATCATTTCAGACTACATGTAAGGCAGGTAACTTAAAATCTAGACAGACTCTGGGAAATATACGGTAGTAGATTTTAAAGATTCAATTTATGACTGACATAAACTTACATGTACTATGATATAGCAGACAGTATGCTCTTTCAATTGATACATAAATTACCTGTACAGCCGGGACTGAAATTTTTTGGCTTCCCAGTATCCCACCTTAGGGTCATCTTTGTACATGATTTCTCTAGGCCTCCCCAATTCATGTTGCTTTGAAAACTTTCTGACCTCTCTCAGTGTGTGTACAATTTGAGAAGATAACACGTACTTCCATAGCTTACAGCACAAAAGTTGTTGGTGTTTTGACCCTCGGATAAGTTAGATACCATTTTTTTTACACAAAAAGTCACATGCCAACAAGTGTCTGTTTTTGATAATGTTTTTCTGTGTAGTTTGTACCATAATGTGAGGCCATGAAATGGCCATATTGCTGTATCAACATTCTGCTTTGAACAAGAAATGTTTAAGGACAATAAACCGTAGTTGAGTGAGATTGAGTAGTGAACAAAACGTACAATTGAATTGGTGATGTTTGATCTATGTTATACATTTGTTGTCATGAAGGCAAAAGTGATGTTGTGGTGAAACACACATGTATATATTTGAATTTCCTCCTTTTTCACTTTGTGAAGCTGGAAAAGACACTATACAAAGAATAAATTGGCGCTTGATTATTAAGGTCAACATGCTCACTGCTGTGTTATATACATTGTACATCAGACTGTTGCTTGAAATAAATGGAGACCTGCTGATTCTCTCCTTATATTTGTCCAAAGAAGATGTATAAGTCTCTCCAAGCAGGGGTTAGTGAGGAAGATTGTTGCCTTTGTACTATACCCCGTTTTTTGTCGCTATCCGTAGCCCGTAAATGTAACCTTCGTGAAGGTACTAGTAATGAGTTTGATAGTTTTGTTCCACTGAACAAAAAGAGGAATGAAGGCTGTTTCCATAGTAATGGGAGCCATTGCGAAGTCGTGTAGCCTGGTATTCAAAACTATTATAGCTACCGAGTCTTTTTCGTCCTCTCTGCAAATATTTGCTGAGAGACAGGACAAAAGAGACCCAGCAGCTGCTTACTAGGCTAACAGTCGTGTTCAGACTCGTTCAGCAGAGGCTGGTATTCCCCCACTTCGAAATCGACTATTCCAATTTCACTTTCCACAACAACGCAATGTAACAGTACAAGAAATCTAATTCTCACTACTGCCATAACATCGAAAAAAATACCTGTGCGAACTTCCCTTTCTAATTTTTAATACATCATCACAAATAAATAAGAATGATTTGCCCATATTCCTGACAAACGATTCCTGGTCACGTTTGGATGCGGTGTCAAAGTCGGTAAGAGCACCAACATGGCGGGCCCATCCAAACGTAGCTGGAGAAGTCTGACCGTTTTAAGCGGTTATATCGTCCCTAAAGGCGAAGTCCCCAATGCCCCAGGAGCTGGCGATATTGGAGACGACTCAGGATCAGATGATGACGAAGACGGAGATGTGCAGTGGTTGGATATGAACGAAATCGACGATGCAAACGCAGGCGTGTCTGTCGCTGTCCCCAAACGGCTCTGCAACCAGCTAGGTACATGTAACTTCTTTGTGATCCTTTGTCCACTTGGCGTGGTTTGTTGGGTGGTAGGGTAGCTTTGGTTTGCAGCTATATATGACTATGTTAAGTGTAGCTGCTTAAGTGTAACACAGTTCGTCACTTGTTTTTGTATTTGTCACTTTCCACCGCATGATAACGATCGACGCGACTGCAACTTGTTACAGGCTGTTCCAACAAGTGTGCTTTTAAAAGACACGTTGGCGATGTGGCCTTGAGCCCTTCCTAGGGGTTATACACATGTAGGAATACAAGGTCGCTTTTAACAATACCTAAACTTTCAAACTGAAGTTTCAATCCAGATGAAAGTACGCAAATCCTATTCACAACCATCCAATGCAGTTTTTTCAACCCCCTGGCCCTCCACATAATTTATTTTTGGGACAGCCCATTATTTGTCTTACACTTTGTATTGTTCCCCCTCCTCTTCATGTGTATCACTTTGCCTCTGAATTCTGTGTAGCCTGGGTACCATCCGGATTTTCAATTTTTTTTTAGCATTGCGTAGCGAAAATCTGGATGGTACCCAGGCTACATTCTGTGCAGAATCAATTCAAATTCCAGTTTTGTCACATGGTTCCCCCTCCAGTTTGTTTGCACATGCTTATGTGTGTGTGTACAATGCATTTACATGTATATCCAACTTTTTTTACCATGTATCTACAGTTCATGTGAGGGACAAGTCTGGCAGAGTCCACCGTGTGAAGGGGAGGTTCCCTTTGCAGGATCCCTGGTGGGACCTCAGCGTGGAATGTCGTGCAAGCGGAGGAAACATGTACTTGACGACCGGCTATCCTGAGTACCGACTCAACATGAACCCTTCCATACATCTAATCCTACTCTTCCTGAAGAAATGTGAAGTCCATGAGGACCACGTCAAAGACTTTCACGACACACTACAGAGAGAGCCATCACTCCAGGGGACTACACTGAACTTCCAGAACCTGCGGGAAGTAGTGGAACAGTATGGCTCTTTAAATGAGACTACGCAGGCAGTGTCTGGTCAAATGCTTAAACACATAGAGTGTGAGTGACTGTATTATTTGTTTGAACTTTCTTTCTTAAAATTTCTTTTTGACATTGAATCCAAAACAATTTGTAGCCAGGATGCCAGGCGAATTGTAAAAGGTGCATTTTGCAAAAGAACATAATTGGTGCCTGAATTTAGCATAAAGTGTAGCCAATCTATGCTCAGCCATAAAATATCCTGTCTATGGTAACCACCTGTCCATACGGTAGTTTTGACTGCTGCTAGGTTTGGACAATGAAATATTACTATTTCTTCCTGATTCCTTAGCTGTGGGTGGAGAGGAGGCTAAGGCACTATTGGCCCCCTCTTGGCTGCGCTATGGCCCCAAACTGCTGCCCAGGAGGTTCTACGGACTGCTCATGTCAAAAGAAGAAAGGCTGAAAGTCCTGGAGACAGTGACTGCACAGGAGCCATGGAAGCTTGGCTTTGGGCCGGTAGGTTCTTTTGATGGGATTTCTCCTACATGTACTAGTAGTTGGGTTCTAATGCAGAGGGATATACTGTCACATGCAGATTCTGGAATTTTTCAGTAACACTTTTGTAACTTAACCTAGTTGTTCTTACTACAATGTAGCAAGACCTGATTAGCAATGACATTTTACGTCTAAGAAAATAGATAATTTTACAAGTATGTTGTATTGTGATCTATGAAGGAAGATTTTGTGTACTTAGTACTAGTAAGCCTTTTTTCCATTGAAAAAAATCCTTTTCTAAATCTAAGTAAGTAACATACATGTGCATGTGTTATGTTCTGTTTTTAGATCATGTACTGGGAGCACAGATTTATCGGCTGTGAGGCGACGCTAGATGCCTTCAAGCACTGCAACCTCCTGGAGAGGTTTCCTCCCACAGAGAAGGATGCCATCTACATCTACGACTTCATCAAGTCAAAGTGCCGCAGGGAGGGACACACGTTCGTATACGAGAAAACCCTCCACCGGCGGACTTTCAGAGACCACAATATCGTAAACAGGGTCAAAGCCTTGAAGTTTCTGGAGGACAACAGGGTCACAGTTCAGCTAGAGGGAAAAGTTTCCCTGAAGAGGTACTATGACTATGAGTGCAATATCAAAGATGGTATTGAGGCACTTCTTCATAGAGACAAGGAAAGCAAGTGGGTGATAAACTCTGACAGGCTTCAAGGAGTCTTTGGAGAAGATGAAGACCAGAAGAAGGCGTCCGATCTGATCTGCAAGAATCCCGTAACTGTCATGTCAGGGAAAGGAGGGTGTGGGAAGACCTACGTGGTCAGTAAAGTGTTCAAAGAGGCACACAAGCAAATTCTTAGGGAGGAAGCAGCAGCTAAGCGTGATGAAGAGCGTCTGAATAGGAGCCTAGACTCTACTATGGACGGTCTGTCAGGGCAGGAAAACATGGAGAGCAGCCAGGAGGACACTGGATGTGAAGGCACACCAGGTAGAAAATCAGGAGGCACAAGCTTAAGGGGTACATCTCTGCATGCTGCATGCCGGAGTCCAGCCAGAAAGGAAGAGGAAGATGAATCCATCGGAGCAATCCTACTGACTGCTCCCACAGGAAAGGCCGCTCACCTCCTCGGGAAACGTACAGGCCTGAAAGCGTACACGCTACATCAAGTCATCTGGTCCTACAGGCACAAGAAACGTGACTGTAAGTGGAGTTTCAGGGACGTGCGAGCGTTGGTAGTTGACGAGAGCAGTCTTGTGTCTGTACAGACCTTTTCTACCCTGTTTTGGATCCTCCTGGAACATGCCAGCCTACAGAAGCTGGTGTTACTGGGTGATGTCGACCAGCTGCCTTCTATAGAACCTGGGAACTTCCTCACAGACATGTACCATTCCCTGGCTCCCATTGGCTGGAGTATCAAGCTGAGGACCAATCACAGGTGGGTATTGCCTTCACTGTGTATGAATAACTTTCAACTTATAATGTACAAATGAACCTCACACAGCCTGTTTAATAAGTTTGCTCAAGTTAGTACCTTTTTGACTTTATGTCCCGTCAATTGGCAGTTGCAAAGCTATTGTTCTGTAATTAAAAAGGAAAAGAAAGTCTTACAGTACATATTTTGTAGACACAGGTATTCCCTTCTTTTGACACATTAAACAGAAGCGTGCAAATGCTAACTTGAGTTTTTCTTTTCTTTCAGATCAGAGTCCAAGTTGATTGTGGACAATGCAACACTGATTTCACAACAGAGACTCCCACAGTTTGATCCAGAAAGGAATTTTCACCAAGTCAGAGTGGACAGGGAAGACAGTAAGTAAACAGTTTCATTACGGACGCATACTATTAACTTGGTTTTCATAATTTTTAACCCAAAATTGCTAAATAGACCAGACTTTGCATACATTGTTGTGAAATGTTGTTATTAATTGTCTTCTGCAGTGTTAAGCAGTGCCGTGACTCGTCTTTTGCAGAATGGCTGTGCAAACGACCACAAGACTTCACAGTTTGTTGCCTTTAGAAGGTTAGCTTTTGGCATGAAAGTTTGTCTATGTTGGTAGAAATGATTATGAAGAAGGATCTTCAATTTTAATCTGTAATTCTAATGTGTAAACACAGAGAATTGAAAGAACCCAAACCGGAATTTTTGACTATACAACATCAATTTTTGTCAAGGAAAAAGACAGTTGAAAATTTTAGTCAATATAATAGATTTACATTCTAACATATTTTTACCTAACAGGAAGGACTGCAACATCATCAATGAAGTCTGCTGCAAGCACTACTCTGCACACACCATAAAGAATCACAAGAACCGTAGCTGGTTTCAGGTAGGATGTGAAATTTGTGGTCTATACTAAGTCTGTTCTCATATAACATCTGCAAGCAAATATAAATATAAACACAATATAAATATAAACACAGTTCCACTGGGTATCCTACCACCATCACATTAAAAAATGACTTAAAATAGATCTAAAATAAAAGAAAGAACATGTATAAAGTTTGCCATCTTGTATTCCCTTACAGGTAGGAGACAAGGTGTGCTGTACAAAAAATGCCAATGTCAGTATTTTTGTCGATTACATGGCAAAAGCAACAGATGACAAAGAGGAAGAAAAAGACAAAGATGAAGAAAATGATGAGGAAAAGGAGAAGAAAGTGAGAAAAGTGAAGAAATCTAGTGACACTGTCAGATTGTGCAATGGGGAGATCTTCTTCATCATAGAGGTAAAAGTTTTTCATTACAGAAAAGTGCAAATTCACGATTCATGAAGTGAACATGCATGTGCGTTTTAATGCAGGTAAAATTAACTCTGGTTTTCTATTGTCATTAATCAAAGTACAAAGTGTACATTGGGTCACATCACTTAATTTCTTGTGTCCCATTAAACAACGTAGGACAGGACTATCACAGAGAAAGGCAAGACAAGACGTTGGCTGACCTTGGATGACCTTGAGAGGCAAATCCAGGTTGACTACGGTGAGGTCAAGAACAAAGGAGGACTGAAGCACGCCTGGGCGAGAACTATTCACACTTACCAGGTCAGAGCTGTGGACAATTAATAATGCTGAATGTCAAATTGTTTCGCAGAGCTTGCAAATATATAATGATCAAACCTGTGCTAGTATTGTGACCAACTTTTCATTTGGAGCACCTTTTGGCTATCTCTTAGATTATTTTTCTATTGAACCAAGCATTTAGATCCTAAAAATTCTGACTATTGTAGCCACCTGTCTGTTGTGACCATTTAAAAATTCCTTGAGTGATTGCCTAGACAGGTTTGACAGACTGTCACTTAGTACAGTTACTATTTCATTGTGGCTGCATCTTTTGATTTTGGGTTTTAAATGGTAGCTTTCAGAATTCTTGATACTTGATGTACTTGACCAAATCATAACAAATTAGAAGTACAAACATAGCCCTGTACTAAAACCCACTGCTACCTGTTCTGTATGTTTGCAGGGTTCTGAGTCAGACACGGTGCTGTACGTTGTGGGGACCCCCACGCGCCATCAGAACTGGCAGCACGTGTACACGGCGGTGACACGGGGCAGGAAGGAGGTGTATGTGGTGACATCTCCCAGCGCTCTCAGCCAGTCTGTCCGGACCCTGCCCATCTTCAGGAACACTCACCTGCGCAATTTCCTCGTAAAGGTACATCTCTATTCCCATACGTCTATGATTTTATTATGTACATGTTTATGTTTATGAATCTGTCAGGACTTCTATCATGTAACCTGTATCTATCTGACCTGCATTTGTGTGACTCTGATGTTATTCTACATTGTGATGTGGAAAATGTGCAACACTGTTGACCACCTCATGTCTCCCTTTCTTCCATCTGAACTCCCTCTTGTTTTAGGTGTTGGATCCCTGGAGGCCTCCTTCAGCTAGAGGAGTTTTTGGTACCCAACCCCAGGCTAGAGGTCCTGTTACAGCACTGGACCTGTGCACAGGTGACAAGAGTCATCAATCAGTACATCCTACATGTATGTCTGGATTTTCTCAAAAATGCTTTGTTGATTGTGGCAATGAAAATTTATTTCAATTACCGTTACATAAATTTAGTAATAAATGTGACACAGCAAAAAGTGGGAACATGTATGTTGGTGTTTTTTGTGCAGGTAGAGACAGTGGTGCAGGGCCCAGCACTGCAGCAGACCATGGAGAAATGGGGAAGTTCACTGCCATTTCAGCACCAGGGACAGTTCTGGGGGAACGGCAAGGAACACCCAGGTAAGAACACTTGATTTATAACTCTTGCTACCAGTACATGTACGTCAGTAATTTCTTACGCCTTTGTTTTTGGTGGACTAGCTTTGTGTTACCACAAACACTTTCTAAACACTTGTTGCTTGAGCAAAGTAGACAAAGATTCTTGCTATGTTTCATTACAAATGTGTATACAATGTATTCATGCACTGAAATCTAGCCCATTGACAATGGCTCATGAAGGAATTTTTGTTGCTTCTCTAATATTCAGAGTCAAGGCTGTGGAAGCTGATAGTCCCTTTACCAGCCCTACGCCAGCAAAGAAGAGAAGAGCATCCTCTGAAAGCTTTGCTAAAGAGACCCCTGGCAACAACAGCCGGAACAGCAGCGAGCAATGGTCAGACTGGGGAGGCAGTTTTGTGGAAGAAGTCCTGGAGGCTGAAGTCAGGCTTTCTCAGCAACACGAAGGGCAAAGATCAAGCTCAGTTGTCACACAACATTGTGACAGTTCATCAGAAAGCAATTTTGTGGAACTAGATAATGAGGAGTTCACAGACAGTGAGATGTGGAGGATTGGGGAAGCAGAAGATGGACAAGTTGTTGATCTCCCAATGACAGAACTGCACGAATCGAAAACAACAAAGAATTCTTCAGAAAATGAGTGCACTACATTTGAGGGCCAAGTAAGTGGTCGGCATGGCAATGACAGTCCAGACATGTTTGCAGAACCTGAAAACCCAGACAGGAGTTTTCACTCAGAAAATAAAGAAGCCAATGGCAGTGGTTTGGGAACTACAAGTCAGGCTGATCACACAAATACAAACACTCAGATGAGTATGGAGGGTGTGAAGAGTTCTGGAGTTAGCCCAGGAAGCCCAGAGATTCCAATCATCAGGATTCCAAAAACTTCAAGGCTTACAAGATTCAAAGGATCTCGCCGCTCACGCTACAAACATGTAGATGGTGATAAAACACAACCTGGTAAGAGCACTGTGCAAAGGGAGTCTGCTCGTGGGTTGTCTACACCTGCAGTACCAGAAAGAACCACTAGTAGTGCTGTTGAACAACTACAACAGCCATCAAGAAGTCCCCCCACTCTACCATCAGCAGGGGGCAACAGTGTGACATCACCAAAGCGAATACTATCTGAGAAAGACAAGGCATTACCACCCAGCACTCCTACAAAGGTACAGAGAACTGACACTTCCAGCAGCAGCCTCCTGCAGTCTCCTCCATCCAACAACTTGAGTCAGTTAAGCCTGGAAAGCCCCAACAGGCCCTGAATTTCTATCACACTTTGCTACTTCATGTAACCATTCCTCCACTGTATAAGGTTGACTCCAGAATAGTTGTTTCAGATGTAAACTAATGCATCACAATTTTCTGAGATTAGGATTTTTAACAGTTCAAAGTTTAACTACAATACACATGACATGTATATGATGTTCGATATTGCACATTAGGACTTAAAAACATGTGCATAGAATGTAGCATGCAATATGAACACAACAAGTTGCAATATTCTGAATCATGCATTAAATGCTCAATGGCTCTTGCTGTAGACTATAGAATCAAAAGCTTGTATACCTTTTAAATGTTGTGCTTTTACAAATATTGAAAATGTACAAATCATGACAAGTGCTTCAATCACCCATAAAACTAAAGGGAGCTCTGCAATTAAATCTAACAAGATTTAAACACTGTCTTGCTTCTTCATTTTGTTTGCTTTCACTGTCTTGGAGGTACCCCCACCACTTACTGTTATTGATGAGCTTTTCAGAAATAAGACATTGACATTGAGAGTTTTAATTTTTCATGCTGAAAATCAATTAATTTCCTCAAAGCCATTAAAATGCTTTGTCATACTGTAGGGGAAATTTAAGCACCATCCATTCAACATTCATAAAGTTAACTTGATAGATCTGTTAACCAAGATTTGGAAAAGCTTGTTGAAAACTGTTATATTCACCCAAAATGTTCGTCCATACAGTGAATTTTTTTATCAGAGATAATCAGGCTGCAGGAGCGGTGTAGAAATTTGATTAGCTCGAAATCCCAGTTTTACTAGTGGGAAGTGCTGCACATGTCGTCACAAACAATCATACTGCCGCCTCTTTAGTATAGTGGGCAGTTCCAGATTCAACATGGCGGCGCCCGGCAATAATTTTCCGGTTCAAACTACTGAAGCCTCTCACAGACAAAGTGGGAGCTCCAAAGCTGTGCCCAAGGATCGCAAAAAGAAGAAGAAGCAGAAGCCCAAGCCTGTAACGGAAGTGAGGTAATTTTCCCAAGTTTTGGAGTGGCAGGGAGCGAGATATAGTACTAGCTGAACGATCGTGGGAGGGGGGCGTTCCTAACGTTGCTTGTAACATTTGTAAACATATTTTTTAAATTTTAATTAGCGCTTATCACCCAATTTGTTACCCCTCTCAGAGTGGATAGATCTGTGATTTCCAAGTTGCACGTCCTGAATAAGGAACTGGACGCCGTCAGGAGAGACCAGTCTCTGTCAGAGAAAACCAAGCAGGCAAGAGTCAACCAACTGGAGACAGAGATCCAAAAGGTACCAGTCGCTTTTATCAAGTCCTTGCTTTTATGAATATTCTTCAGTGTAGAGAAGAGGGGGTCTAGTGAAGAACCTAGTATACCAAAACTTATTAAAGGTTCTGAAAAACTGTTAAGATGGCAGAGGCATCTAACACCTTTTCCATCTAAACACCATCTCGTGAAAAGTCAAATTCTAACCAGCCTGTGTACCAAATGAGTCCTATGTTATCATGCCGTACATGAGGTGAACAGATGTCAGTTTGTAGCAAATTATGCATGAATTGCTTACAGTTAAAGGTATACATTTATGCCCCCAAGTTCCATGATTGACTATTGACTTGTACCTCATGACAGATAGGAGGACTGGATGCTTATCAAGCAGCATCCAAGCGTGGAGCCTGTTGCCATGGCAACACAACTACGTCCAACTGGGTTATCAAACAACTGAAGAAGTTCAAAGTCAAACCAGCTACAGAAGTAAGGAGAGAGTATACTACAATGTAGTAATATCTAAGCAGATCCTATGGTGGCAAGGAAGTATCCAATTTGCCAAGCATTGTAGTGCCTAATGGACACCAGTTGGCAAATTGGATGCTACCTTGCCACCATAGGATCTGCTTGGAGATTAAGAGTAATTATTTAGAGAGATTAAGAGTAATTATTTAGAAGTTTATACAAGCCATGTGTCGTGATTATGATTACATGTATGTTTGTCATTGCCTCGAGCTCTAATAAAAATTAATCTTATGAATATGTTGTGCATGTTTTCATTCAATAGGAAAGGAGACTGAGATTGTTAGATGTGGGAGCACTTGATAACCACTACCAGAGACACGGTTGGCTGGACTGTACAGCCATAGACCTGAATCCACAGACAGACAGGGTCATCAAGGCAGACTTCTTTCAATACAAGGTGAAGAACATCTAAATGTACTTTATATTACATGTATCCTGATATTCTAAAAAGCCAGAAGTATCTGCAGATTTGAGCTACGGAACTTCCATTAGTTAAGCTCTATTATTAAGCTGTGACATAATGATTGAATCTCATGGTTTGTATTCTTTCTTTTAAGACTGGTCATTCCTTTTGGTATTAGCCTGGTATCCAAACTATTTTAGCTGCTGAGTCTCTTTTGTCCTCTCTGCAAATAGGCTGCATTGGTGTATCATTGATTTTTATTCTAATGTTGAAGTTAGATGGATCTAGTTTGGGTTTGACATGTGAATGACTACATGTCTACTGTTTCAGGTAGAGGAAGGGTGTGAATATGATGCTGTCGTGTTGAGCCTCGTCATCAACTTTGTGGGAGACCCTAAGAAAAGAGGTGATTCTTTACTCAGACTGAACATACATATAATGTAAGAGCTTTTGAATCATAAATGATCAGTAAAGCTCTCATAATTAACGGTAACCAAATTTCTTAATCACCACATTGTTGTTCCATTTCAGGAGACATGTTAAGACATTGTTGCCGAGTGACTAAGGAAAATGGCCACCTATTTGTAAGTGCTTTAACCTTGGGTACATTGTGGAACTTGTGATATTTTGCAGTGACAATCTTTCTTGTTTGATCTTCAGTTTAACTCAGTATTGTTGAGAAACCATGCAATCATGTGGCAAATATGTTTGGACTCACATGTATGTTGCCAAACTCTAAGCATATGTGCCCACTATATATACATACATTTACAGACATTTCACACTGTGTTTCAGGTAGTGTTGCCCCTGCCCTGCCTCTCCAACTCCAGATACCTGACACCCAAACTGTTCTGTGACATGCTGGACAGCCTGGGCTTCCAGAAACTGTGTTGTCATGACAGCAAGAGGCTTAGCTTCCTCATGTTTCAAAGAATTGGAAAGAGAAGATCGAAGTAAGAAGCTTTCATGTTTTTAATCCAATATCACGGGTATTACATGTATATTTTGACTTCATACTTCAGCTGAAACAAAGTCAATATATGCCAATTAAGGTTGCTCAAGACCACATGATCAATGTCAAACAAATTGGAATCTTTTTTTTTCTGTTGCAGGTCTTTTCCAAAGCAGGTGGTGAGGAAAGGACCAAGTCACAACAACTTCAGCATTGTTCTCTGACAGTCACATTCTGAGGACATTTTCTGATGTGTGGCTGTGTAAATATGCAGGGAAACAACAGATATAAAAATTACATGATGTTTTTTAAGAACTTGTAAAGGTGTAATGATTGTCAGTTGACAGGAACTACCTTACTTGAGGTGAAGCCTGAGCTCAAGAATAGAACAACTGATCTATATCTGCATAGGCAGTGCTTGTACATGCAGTACATATCATTTGTTTACTCAAGTAATCATATTAAGAGTTATAACATTCTGTATGTTGTGCAAGCAGCACAAGGATAGGAACCCATGGAAGAAAATAACAACTACAGTATTGCATCAATGATTCAAATGTTACCTTAAGATAAGATTCATTCTGTTATGACAATAAAAATGTACACTTTTTATTGAAACTTTTTTCATTAGTGCTATCTTTGAACTTTGATTCCGGTTCAAATTAAAGATTGTTTCATCTGCTTGGGTTATAATTCACTTATAAATGTAACAGAAACTAGAGTTTGGAAGTACTATTAAATTTGACAGTCAAAAATCAGGGACAATACCCCTGGTAAAAAGTCCAGCAATAGGAGTACTGAATATACAAGTGCTTCAGATTATTCACTAAGAGGTGTGAACCTCCAGTGCCTTAAGATGCCCCATCTCATCTTCTCTTGACTTGGTTTTTCTTCAGCTTTGGTCTCCTCCACAGCTACAGTTTGCTGCTCTTCCTGGACTCTAAACTTTTCCATCACCTTTGCCACCTCCCTGTCAGGTTTGACATGACCCAGCTGTTTGGCCATGATGGGAACGATCATATTGTACTTGTCAATTCTCTTGTTCAGTGCTGCTATGTCCTCCCTAAATGTGTCTAGGTACACATTCCACTGCTTCTGGTGCTGTAGCGAGAAGGGTTCAGGGCCCAATGTGGCCCTTTTTGTGTCTAGATTTTTCCGGAGTTCCTTGATGCGGTTTCTAACCTCAATTTCCAGCTCTACCCACTGTGGTTTGAATCCGTTGTCATTGAGAATCTTGTTGATGAGATGTGTGGTGGTGTCTTGGTATGGGTTGTACTCGGACTTCTTTAAGGTTGTCAGTGGTTTCCCCTTGCCAGGCAGGTTGTCGAACTCTCCGTTGGCCATCGACTCTGCGATCATATCCTCCACCAAACGGTCGATCACCTGCACGATCTTCGCCTTCCTCGCTTCCCGTTTCTCCTGCAAGACAAGCGCACTTTCTGACATTGCTGACAGCTTGGTAACTTTGTAGTCAACAACCCTGTTGGCTGCCCGGTCCACCCTATACTGTTGGTACTGCCTTTGCCTTTGTGTAGGAGTCCCGTATCCAACTCCCTCATACCCCAGGTACTGCCTGTGCTGTGGCACTGTGTGTTTTATATCAACATCCTCCTCTTCATTCTCCTCAACTTCTTCTTCTTCCTTCTTTCTCTCCTTTACAAGCTTTTCCTGCACAGTCCTGTAGGCTTCTTCCACTTGGGCAAACTTGCTGGGGTCGGCCGTTTTGGAGCCACTGTCAGGGTGGTACTGTTTAGCCAGCCTGATGAAGGCTTCCTTCAACTCAGCTTCACTGCAGCCATCGGCGACGCCCAGCAGACTGTAACAGTCTTTGAGGTTCTTCCCAGGTTTGTATCCCAAAAGCCGACCACTTGTTACAAAAGGTCGAAGTGGGTGGAACTGGATAGTTCTGCCCCAAAGGGAGTGTGATAGAATTCTTGCACACTGCATGGTGACTTGAAGCAAGCAGGCAGGGCTACGCATTTGGCCGTTATTGCAGCTAAATGCGTCTGTTGTCTGCAGTTGCCTGTTTCAGACATAAGGTCATGCCAATATCTTGTATATGGATCGCGCCTCCCTGAAACACAAAAGGAATACATGTCCTTGATGAAATATCCTCCATATTATACTATAGCAGAGAAATATGAACAGACTGCTGCACTCCAACAACATGTGATGCAAGTACAGAAGACAAGGATCACATTTAAAAAGCTAGTATCATTAGGTTGTTCGGACTTAGAGCGTGTTTCTACGTAACTTTTAAAAGTAACTTATTAACTAACACGTCGACACAAGTTACAGGTAAACGTTGACCTAGAAACGCAAACAGTGAAAAGTCGTCTTCTGTACCCTTTTTAGGCCTTGTCAAGTGAAGAATATGACGGATCATGTACGTGGGTACTTAAGTCGTATATGCGTAGGAAAAACTCATCGCCATAACTTTATGACAGTTAAATATGAAGCAAAAACTCACCTGCGTTCCACCTACCGGCGAAAAGAAGCCATCTTGTTTGTTTCGTAAGGTGACCCTTGACCTAAATCGAAAAAAAACTATACATTTCACTTTTTATTTCTTCTAAAACGTTGGAATCTATTCAATAAACAAAAATATGTACTAAAATGTTAGAAAATATCAGATTTCTTTTTGAAAACATGAAAATCTTACATTTTACCATAAAGGTCATAGGTCACCCACGTTTGCCATGATTGGCGGGAAACTGCATTCATGCAGACCGATTGATTCGTGAATCAGCCACTGATCTGGAAGAATTTGTGATTTGCCGCTGATTCCGGCTCTTAATCAAGGTAATGTATTAACACAGACCATGCTTTGATTTGTATGTAAGATAAAACGGCTTCTACCAGCTCATCTGATGCTTCATATTTCGCAGAATAATTGTAAACCGGACGAGCTCGTAGCTTCAGACACGATCATGTGGTGTTTTCAGACTTGTGTACTTTGTGTATACCCGGTACAAACACGTGTAGAATTATTTTATGGACGAACATTGAGAAGGTCTTCCTACACAAAGCAGTAGCAATCACGTTGTTGTGAATATGTCTATCGGAATGGAGAATATACTGGGATCAAATCTTTCTTATAGTTCTGGGGGGGGGGCACTGGCAATACCGGTAGTGCCATGCGATAACACGTGAACAAAACGTGACAGTAAAACCCAGCTCCGGTGATCGTGACCGTAGTTGGTCCTTTGAACAGACGTCTCTGGTGACAACCAAAAGGATTTAGTTACGGTGTCAAGCTGTGGTACTTGGAATCTCAAGCGGCCTTGTCAGAAAATTTATTTTTATAACACAAATCATATTGTCTGATATAGTAAAAAGAATCTTGAATTTCACTCTTCTGAAAATTTTTCATCTCAGGTATTACAAATGTACATGATTTAATCAGAAGTAAACTTGCTTTTGAAACTATGTAGTTTGTTAGTGGTAGCTTTGTTGTGACACTATTATCAATAATAATAATTATGATTGATAATAACAACTATAATATCAATCATGATAATGATAATTAATATTGTTATAATGATATAAATAGACATTGATATCAATCATTTATATTAACTCTACTCTAATAAGTTATATGATGAGTACATGTATGTCCTTTATAGATTATCATTATATATTGCCATGCAGCAAGGTATAATTCATAGAACTCAGCTAGATCCTCAGCCATGGGAGACAAGGTGCTGGTGCTGGGCAGTGGCGGGAGGGAACACGTCCTGGCGTGGAAGATCACCCAGTCACAGCACGTCGGACAGGTGCTGGTCGCCCCTGGCAACGCCGGCACAACAGGTGGTAAAATTAGCAACACAGGTAAGAACCTTGTTATCGTGTTGCTATTTAAGTATAAGGACCTCTGACCTGAAATGCCAGAATAATCGACGCCTCGATTGTGGGCATCAAGGGAAGAAGAAGAAGAAGAAGTGTACACTGAGACACTGACTAATCAAATAGTCAATAATGAAATAACATGTATTAGACAATTTTTTGGAAAAGTTGGAGTGAGATATATGTAAGAAGGGAGTGTAACAAGATGTAATCACAGACCTTTGAAGCCAGTGTTTTATGCTTTAGGGAAGTTATACTGGCTCTATAAGTTTAATACATAACATGCAAAGAAATCCATATCAGTGATGTTTGGAGGGTAATGTTGTCACTGAAGTATATCCAAGTAACAATAAGTCATAAAACAATACAAGTTAAGATGTTGTGTACATGTATATTGTTTCCAGTACTCTGTAGTTAAAAGTTAATGTCACAAGTCATAGTATCCATACTCCAAAAATTAATCACCATATTTCTAACATTGCAGATGTGCCCAAAGCCTTTGCCGACCTTGCCCAGTGGTGTCTGGATAACAAGATAGACATGGTTGTGGTAGGTCCAGAGGCCCCGCTTGCTGACGGAGTGGCCGACACACTAGCTGCCAAGGGTGTGCCGTGTTTCGGACCCACTGCTAAAGCTGCTCAGATAGAAGCTAGCAAGGTTAGCATAAAAGTTATTATTAAAACTGTCTGGTCTTTGTCTTTGTGTACCTGTTTTCCTTGTCATGAGTTTGAGCATAAAGCCTTTGTGACAGGAGATACCTGTATACATAAACTTTCCAGTTATTGTGGTATAGCTGGTACATTTATGTTCATAACAACTTGAAACACAATAATGTTACTTGGCTACATATACATGTAAGTAATTGTAATTTGATGTTTCACATGTCTATCATATGTCTATATACTCCTGTCTATAATAACTGTACAAAGACAAAAGATACAGAATGGTTGCGGACTTCAAACACTTAATCATCTGCACAACACCAATGATCATTTTGTTATATTGTTATTCCATCTTTAGGCCTTCTCCAAAGACTTCATGGATCGACACAACATCCCCACAGCAAGATGGCAGCAGTTCACAGATGCCAAGTCTGCGTGTGACTTCATCAACAGGTCTTCTGAAATATTTTTGTAACATTTGGAGTAAATTTTTTTTGTAATTAATGTGTCTCTCTTTCCCATACTATGTTCTGCCCCTGCATTTTATAATGTCCTTATAGTTGAGGCTTCTGCCACTGTAATGTACTCACAATGGCAAACTGTGACAGTTTATATTTGACCATGATGGAGTCTGTCAACTTAAAGTTTAACCGAAGACTTAACTGTCCACAGTGCTGACTTCCCTGCCCTGGTGGTGAAAGCGAGCGGCCTGGCAGCAGGGAAGGGTGTGATTGTGGCTGGGAGCAAGGCTGATGCCTGTTCTGCAGTCAAGGATATACTTGAGGTTTGTTCTGTGAGCTGTGTCTGTAGCTCTTTTTATGTTCTGTGTATTTTTATTTATATTTTTATTATTATTTTTTATTTAAGGGGGACTGGGCAAAAAGCAGTTATGAAAAGCCCTCTCCTCAGAAGAACACAATAAAACCATGCAGTATGGCAACATGTATTGTACATGTATTTCAAAAGTCAACGGCTCAAGCTGCAACTTTGTCCCTGTTCCTGTTAGGAAACTAAATTCAAGCCATTGGTGTACATTGTAGATGTAGTCTACATTGTAGCTGACTTATTTCCCCCCTATGTTCCAGGACCACCAGTTCGGTGCAGCAGGAGATGTTGTTGTAGTAGAAGAGCTTCTGGTGGGACAGGAGTGTTCTGTAAGTATTTATTATAATTACTTTCTATGACAAGTAAAACTTGTAACTGTGACAAGTTCTATTCCTTACTACAGTATGAAACTGGTATTTTACTTTTCAGTAGTTTTATGGAGTACTAAATACCAAACTCTTGGGTATACTGTACAGTTTGGAAGCTAAGACCTTGGCTTTACTGACATTTTTAATCATTTTTAATCATTTTTAATGCCTCGGAACATAAAATGAACAACTGAACATGGTGACTCATTCTAGACTTGCTCAGTTCAATCTCATATGACAGATTGATGTGTTATACAAGCCTGGATTACCTTGCTCTTGTTATAGCATGTTATGATTGTAACACTAACAGACAACATTAAGGTTCCCCTTTTCCCATCCCTGTATGTTGCATGTTGGGGTAACAGCACCACATTAAGGTAGGAATCTTGTCCCACATGCATGGGTGGCTTGGACAAAGGACTTTCCTCCCTCAACTGTCTGTGCTGCTTTGACAGGGGTTTATGCTCTATGAGTGACGCTATCATCATTAATATGCTTCCTTTTCAGCTAAGCTGTCCGCAGGCAAATGTAGACCAAACTCTAATTGGCATAATGACAAATCCTAGAGTTTAGGAATTCAAAGTGCATGACATCAGTGGTTGTAGTGTTGTTGCCTTCATACTAGTCTTACATGTACTGTGATATGTTGCTATGTGACGTGTACAAGGCTTTCTTTGTTTCTAACAACAAGTTAGTACATTTCTATAGACAACCAAAGTGCATACTACTTGTGAGACAAATAAACTGACACTGAAACAAGGCCTTTGCTACATTTGAACAAACACCCCCCCTCCATCCAAATAAAAGAGCCCCAAGTTCATAACACTATCCGTAACCATGTTTCCCCCAGTGCCTTGCGTTCAGCGACGGTAAGACGATCGCCTGCATGCCTCCAGCCCAGGACCACAAGAGGCTGCTGGAGAACGATGAGGGCCCCAACACGGGGGGCATGGGGGCCTACTGCCCCACCCCGCAGGTGGGTGGGACTGTGCCTGACATCACTGTGTAGCTTTACCATTTGGCAGATTTTTTTAGGTTTTAAATGATTGTGGAACCTTAGACCTTACATCGTAGTCTCCAGGCAGATGTTGTTGTAGAAGTAAAAATATTTTCTGATATGTTTTTTTTTTGTTTCTGTGAATACTCCACTCATAGTACTATCCATTGGGGTAGAGTGCTGTCAGAAAAAACAACCGATCACAGATCAGTAGAAAACGTTTCTACCCCAACATTCACTTGGAGATTTGTTCCACCATGGAAAAATGAAGAAAATAGCTTTGCTGATTTCAAATAGGAAGTGCTTGTAGGTTTTGACCATGACAATAAAAACCATATGGTGGATTTGAGAAAGAAGCTGCACATGTAGTTAACACTATCATGTTTTCCATAGGTGGATGAAGCTACACTTAAGAAAATCCAGACAGACATTCTACAGAAGACTATAGATGGGATGAACAAGGATGGTACTCCCTACATAGGTATGGTACTCACTACATGACATCGTCTATGTTTATGTTCAAGAATAAGACGTTAATGTTTAGATACATAAGGCATATCCATGTAATTTGTGTCTATACCAAAAACAATTTCCATAACATTTTAAGAGAAGTATCAGAGAAGTTTCACACAAACAGTAATAGAGACTCATACAAATACTTTTTAGATGTAAAATATCTACCTATTTCCCCCACAGGTGTTTTGTATGCAGGTATCATGCTGACAAAAGACGGCCCCAAGGTTCTGGAGTTCAACTGTCGGTTTGGAGACCCGGAGGCCCAGGTACTATTTTATAAATATCTGTTCTCTGTAACTGCTTTTATTCAATAACTGACCACAATTACGTATATTTCTACATATATTGGAACAACATTGTAAATACACTTCCCTGTAACCACGCATATGTGTAGATATGTAAATATCATATGATTGGGAATGCATCTATAGCAGTGACACCTGTGCTGCAGTGCAATGTGAACCAGTCAGAACTGCCCTGAGGAAGGTGACAGACGGTCACCGAAATGTCGGCTGAATAAACGACTTGGTTGTGTCTCTTTACTCAGGTCCTCCTGCCGCTGCTGAAGAGTGACCTGTACGCCACCATCATGGAGTGTGTGAACGGAGACCTGCAGTCCGCCATGCCGCAGTTCCACACCGACAGGGCTGCCGTTGCCATAGTGATGGCCAGCGGAGGTTACCCGGGGTCATACAAGAAGGGGATGGAAATAACAGGTTAGTTCACTCGTGTGTGGTGAGAAATATGTTTATTATTACAACAGTCATTGTTGTATTCTAAGTGTTCAACCCAGATTCAAATCTAGTCCAGAATGGTTACCTCAAGAGGGAGAAGGTTTAGCTGTATATAGTGTGTTGGAACAGTTTTTTCAAGTATCCAAATCAATTGCAATCTTTTAACATAATTAATTGTCACAAACTTTAAGCAAGAAGTACATGTGTTTTTTTATGTAGTGAAGGGCTTCAGATTTTGGCCTTGGATTAATACTTTAATCTTGGCTAACTGGATTAATTTTGGCATAAGATTTGGTTTTAGTTTAATTGTACTTTGATTTATTTGATGTCTTTCCTAACAGGTATTGACAAATGGGAGAACAGCAAAGACAAGATTGTCTTCCATGCTGGCACTACGCTGAAAGACGGGAAAGTCGTCACGTCTGGAGGGCGCGTCCTCGCTGTTACAGCCATCGCATCTTCGCTGTCATTGGCCCTCGCCGAGGCAAAGAAGGGAGCAGAGGTGGTGACCTTCCCCGAGGCCGTGTACAGGAGGGACATCGGGAAGAGGGCTATAGACTACCTAGAGAATAAAAGGTTGGTGGAGGGTTAGTTGTACCATGAAATAAACATTTTCTGCAATTATTGCAGTAACTGCAAGAGGGTGCAACTCTGAATACTACAGTATTGTGGCTGTGCAATCAATAGAAGCTTGATGCTGGATTAAATCTTGTCCAGTGTTTTTGATTTTCAACTTTGGTACAGATACATACCCAAGGAAACATACCCTTTTCATTGAATTCACAGTTGCATGCCTATATTCTATTTCTATTTTCATCACTCTTTTGCTGAATTGTACTGTTTTCTTCTTGTCTCTTGTACTTTCTAAAGCAAAGCAAATCTGTCCATCTCCTATGTATGTACTCTTGTCCAGTTGAATAATATTGTTAAAGTCATTGTAGACTGCTCTAATTTTGTGTGCGATATTTAACTCAGTTGACAAAAGTTGATCGGAAGTAATTTGTCTTCATGGCAGCCTAATTCAATATTTGAAATGAACTTAATCACCATTATAATACTTAGTCTATGATTGGAAAGAAATAATCTTTGTATCTATCACTTCAATTTACTGATTAAAATACCATCATAGTATAATGAGGAATCAAGATGCTGCTAATGCAAATGTAGTGAATGATCTTGTAACACTTCCAAGAATAAAGGGAGTATGACCTTGAACCTGTAGTTGTGTCTGTGTGGTCTGTCTTCTCTGCATGCTGACTTCTCCTTTTCCACTCACATGATATTCCATGTACTCAACATACACGAGTGTGTGCATAACTGAATACATGAAAATAAAAGGTGCATATAGAATTCCAGACCAAAGATCAGCCACTTAAAAAAAGATGATAATCAAGGTACTCCTTTGAAAAGTGGTGCCTAAATCTCTTCTGTTAGTTTTACTTGTCACTTAGGATTGTAATGAAAAATAAAGATACTTCCAATATTAATATGTGTACATATGTGTATTTGTAGACAAACCTATTTAACCTTTTGGGACAAAATATTATTGCAAGAATTTACCCACAAGGAAAAAGAATACATCTATACACGTATATAAAACACAATATCACAACACCACACATACCTTTTCCCTCCCCAAACCTGGCCTGAGGTGCATAGATGCAGGAAACCAGGTTATCCACCAGTTTAACACCAGTGAAACAGTCCTAAACTGTCCTGTTATAAGAAGTTGATACATGTTTACAGTAGGCTGAATGATACCATTTCCCTCCTCAGACCTGGCCTGAGCTATGCCCAGTGTGGTGTGGACATAGATGCAGGGAACCAGCTGGTCCAGGCCATCAAGCCTCTGGCTGCTAGTACGGCCAGGCAGGGGTGCACGGCTGAGCTGGGAGGGTTCGGTGGGATGTTTGATGTGAAGGCTGCGGGGTACACAGACCCCATCCTGGTGTCAGGGACTGACGGTGTGGGCACAAAACTCAAGGTAAGCGACTTTCCTCACTTAACTCAAGTGAAAATTAGTATTGTCTGTCCTGTATTTGTTTCTATGTGTGGGACACAACACCAGCAACAGCTTCCTGTGACCCATGTGTATTGCACTGTTGCAATTTCAATGACTCAAATCAAATCAGAAGGTAAGCAGAACTTCACAAACATTGTCCAACTTCTTACCCTTCTGACTCTGACAGCTTTAAGCCAATGTTCTGTAAACTGTTGGCCTTGTTATAAACATTCTCCATACAGCTCTGTCCTCCACTATGTCCTTGAAAGACCAGTTAGAAGTATTTAAACTTGTATCGAATGCTCTTTTTTATTCTCATATTTCCCAGGCTGACAGGGTTGAGGTGTTCCAGTTCCCAATACTGAAACGTTTCTGTATTTAAACTCATACTGAATGCTGTATTTGTCCACAGATTGGCCAGGCGTATGGTAAGCACGACACAGTAGGTGAGGATCTGGTGGCCATGTGTGTGAATGACATCCTGGCTCACGGTGTACAGTTGTTGCACTTGCCAAAACTGAAACATTCCTGTATTTAAACTCGTATGTTGTATTTCCCACAGATTGCCCAGGCGTATGGTAAGCATGACACAGTAGGTGAGGATCTGGTGGCCATGTGTGTGAACGACATCCTGGCTCACGGTGCCGAGGCTCTGTACTTCCTGGACTACTTCGCCTGCGGGAAGCTGGACGTGGGCGTGGCCAGGGACGTCGTCAAGGGCGTGGCACAGGGGTGTAAACTGGCTGGGTGTGCATTGTTAGGTGGGTAGTACAGCAATGCGAGTACATGTACATCGTACAGTACATGTCATCATTTTTGTTAAAGTTTCAAATAGATATTAAATGTCTATTTCCATATTGTTTAGCTAAGGAAGTATTTTTCAGGTCAGCTTCTGCCGGTGCCAAAAGCATTCTCTGACATACACATGTGTCCAGACTCCAGACTTTACAGAAAAAATGCTTATTGAAAAGAAGTGAAGGAAAACATATACCGGGTAGTGTCTCTGCTAAATGTTTTGTATTTCTGCTTGAGCAGGAGGTGAGACAGCTGAGATGCCTGGGATGTACGCGGCCGGAGACTACGACCTGGCGGGTTTCGCGGTCGGCGCGGTGGAGAGGGGGACCCAGATGCCTCGTGTTGATGCCATCAGGCCTGGTGGGTGGGACATGGTCGACATGTGTCCATCATTCTTCTGCCTCATTACTCACTCACTATCCAGTTTATCGTCTGTTGTTCCCCGACTTCCAAGGGTTAGACGTGCTTGCACAGCAATGCTGGGGCTTGATGGCAGCCCGCTTGCTTCTATCCTGTGCATTGACGTTATGTACAACATGTAGGTTTAGATTTAGATTCATGGTTCAAAAATGGCTAACATTGATTTGTGGTAGGATACTTTAGGAAGTGTTGGCAACTGTCTCTAATGTGTCTAAAGAGATGTCCAATATAATGTTCCACTGTAAAATGCACTCTTGCATATCTAAACTGTGCATACATGGGGGGTACTGCACTAGAGACATCTCAAACACGCTGTCTAAGTGGCAGATACAAATGTATATGTAACATTGTGGATACATGTAATGACAGGTGTTGACACTAAGCTGTGTTGCTGTGTTTTGACAGGTGATGTCATTGTGGGTGTGGCCTCCTCGGGTGTCCATAGTAACGGGTTCAGCCTGGTGAGAAAGGTTATTGAGGCTGCAGGTCTGACCTTCCAGTCTGCAGCACCCTTCAGCAGTCACCAGTCTGTAGGTGGGTACAGTGTCTGTATTTCACAAAATAGTTTCATCAGGTTAATAGAGTATAGGATATAGGGGTTTTCTTTTACACAACCAAGATTAATTCTTGAAACCTTTTCTGGCATTTCTTGGTTGAAATGTTTCATTATTGGTGATAGTGTTGTAGTGAATTTTAGTATCGTGGCAAAAGCATATATTTCTTTATGATATACATTATTTTATATCTGGACACCAATATTTCATCACAATACTAGAAAACTTGCCTGTATGTTCTTACTGCTTGAATGTAATTCTCAAATTTCTTCCACAGGAGAAGCCCTTTTGACACCAACTAAAATCTACGCCCAAACACTTCTCCCAGTCATCCGGTCAGGAAACGTCCACGCCTTTGCCCACATCACAGGCGGGGGGCTGGTGGAGAACATTCCACGTGTGCTGCCGGACAACATTGGCGTTAAACTGGACGCCACCCGCTGGACTATACCACCGGTGTTCGGGTGGGTGTCGGGACAGGGAGGGGTGGTGGAGGCTGAGATGGCCAAGACGTTTAACTGCGGCGTGGGAGCGGTGTTAGTGGTGGAGAGAGGGAAGGAGGAAACTGTTCTGGAGGACGTGAGGAAAGCGGGAGAGACGGCGTGGGTTATAGGGACATGTGTGGAGTCAACAACAGGTGAGGGTGGAGCTTTGACATGTTGATGACCATTTTCTAGCATAACCAGCTATAAAGTACCCAAAGTGTGCAGAGGGTTAAAAAAAAGCACATTCAAGATGTTGCAAGATATTTCTGTCTCTGCAGTGGTTCTTGAAAGACATAAGAGTAATGGAGCATTAGAAGCTGAATGCTCCAGATGGGGTTATTTGGGGGTAACCTACTGAGACAACTCAATGAAAAGTTGGGTGTTGAAAGCCTTTTATAGTTTATCACGTTGAAGACTATACAATGCAATGTTCCTAAGCTTTAGATACTTTTTTAAGTGACACATTGTCTACACACTCAGGGTTGGTACACACATGGAGCTTATGTTCTTAAAGTTTAGATTCTTGTCACTGAAGAATTACCACAAAACCTTTTTCTTTCTCCCCAGCACAAGACAGGGTAACGATTGACAACCTGTCTGCAGCTCTGAGAGCTGTGCAACCAACTCTGAAGAGGACAACCCAGGACGGGACAACCAACAAGAAGATGAAGCTAGTAAACGGGCAGGCACACAGGACTAAAGTGGGTGTGCTGATATCTGGGACAGGTAGGTGCTGAATAAATGGCAAGAATTAGATTGCTATTAACTAATTATCATTAATTAGAAACATCCAATTTCTGCAATAATGAGCATTTAGTAAGTCAAGGCTTGTGGCAAAGTGTGCCATGTTTTCTACGGATTTCAAAAAAATAAATTTAATAAACTAAATTTTCTTAACATACTCACAGAAATATTTACAAGAAGGCATTTACTTGTCAAACTTAAGAAAATACCCATCTCCCTAGTGTATTGTTGTTTATATTTGTTAGATATCTGTCTTGCTGACATTACTTGATGGCGGTATCTATTAAGACTTCCTGGTCATTGCTGTAACGTTATCATTGCTGTATGTTCTTCTTGTTAATGATCTCTGGAAATTTGTTTTCTTCCACCAGGCACTAACCTACAGGCTCTAATTGACCACTCCACTGACCCGAAGAACAACAGTGCAGCTGAGATTGTACTGGTCATCTCTAACATACCAGGGGTCAAAGGTCTGGAGAGGGCAGAGAAGGCTGGTATCCCCACTAAAGTAAGGAAAAGTGTGCTCGACATTTGGGGAATTTTTCAACATTTAGAACTAAAATTTGTCCCACCCATTGAAGATATGAGTCTAGTTGTCAACAGCAAAAGCTTTTCCAAATTAAAGGAAATGTTTTACTAAAATGAATTACTTTCCTCTCTAGCATAACTGTGAAAGAGCCACATTGTATTGTATCATTGTACGGATATTAAAACTACAAAGTCTATTTGGTTCAAAAGAATCAAACTGAAGAGAGACAAAAGTAAGTTCTTGAATGATGAAGATAAGAGATACATGTATGTAAAGAGACATGGAAAAGATGGCAAACAATTTTTTTCATCTTTTTTTTTTAAATTAGCATGCAATGCCTTTGAGTGAATGAATTTTCCAGTCTACAAGAAGCCACTGTCAGTACTAATGCCATAATGTTTACTGCAGGTCATCAGCCATAAGGGCTATAAGAAGCGTGAGGAGTTTGACAGGAAGGTTCACGAGGCTCTGGTTGAGGCAGGAGTGGAGATGATCTGTCTGGCAGGGTTCATGCGTATCCTGTCAGGCTGGTTCGTGCAGCAGTGGACGGGAAACCTGCTGAACATCCACCCGTCACTGCTGCCATCCTTCAAGGGCATGAACGCACACAAGCTGGCTCTGGAGGCTGGAGTCAGGGTGTCTGGGTGTACGGTTCATTTTGTGGTGGTAAGTCAGATACGTCAGGATAGGGTTGATGTCACTGATACTGTTAGATGATTTGGATGATATACCATTTTATGTTTGTGATGTTCATTCTAGGAATGATATCCTTTTTTGAGCACAATGTAGCTTTGTTAGGTGGCCAATTCATGTTGTCAACTGTGGATTTGCTACGTTCGCAGGACATGTACATTTTCCTATATGTGGAGAAACTTTATGCAGTCTGCATATTATGCGTGGGCACTGCAGATTGTGCACATAAAATAACTTAGCATACTTCTCTAGAGGAGAGCTATGCTTTCATGTGCAATAACTCAAACCAATCAGTTTCTTTTCCGTCCTGTACTTTGAGTGCAGAACTATTCTGAAACTCCATGTTGCACTTTATAATTACCAGTCATGTGACGAAAATTTCTGATTCTTTGTTTCAGGAAGAGGTGGATGCTGGAGCAATCGTAGCCCAGGAGGCAGTCCCAGTGAAGACAGGGGACACAGTAGAGTCTCTGCAGGAGAGGGTGAAGACAGCGGAGCACAAGTGTTACCCACGAGCCATGGAGCTGGTCGCACGCAGACTGGTGGGCATCGACAGTCAAGGGAAACTGGTCCGCTCTGATACAGACTAGTACTGAGTTAAAACTGGTTCGCTTTGATACAGAATAACACAAAGAGCTACAATCATCAACAGCTACAGTTACTCTCAACTCTTTGACTCAGCAGCTACAAAATTGTATTAGTAGAATGGCATTTCAGTCAGCAATGGGAGTTTCTTTTTTCATCCTCAACTGATGAGGTGAAGGATAATGCTTTTTCAAGAAGCAGATGTTATCATATATACATGGAGCTGAGAGCAGTATTGTTTTTTTTTTTTGGGGTTGGGGGGGTAGTTTTGGTTACCATTTGTGTCTGTATGCAATCGGAGTACATCACAGCAGAGAAAGATATATTGTATAATAATAGTCTTTCTCTGCATATTTATGTACTAGTATCACACTTTAACAAGCAAATGCAAAATGCAATGCAAAAGTAGTACATTAGTTATAGAAGAATATAGGTAGAAGAATGATCTTGGTATTGGTAGCAGTGTTGAAGAATTCATATTTTGAAATTTTGAAATTGAAATCATGTTTACAAAAGTATGTTTTAGAATTGGTTTTCCTCATTCCTTTGTGTTGCTTTGGCAGACGTTTGCTGTTTTGGAGTGCTGTATTTTTCTAATAATATTGCTGTCGTAGTCTACATGTACTTTACAGTTGTACATGTAACAAAAAAGGATCTTCCTAGACAAAAATGTAGAGGTTAATATTGAGAATTCCTGCATTACTTTTGCTTTACTTACAGTAGACACTTATTAGTAGTCAGTTTAACTGGCAACAGTTCTTCCCCCAGGTCATCACATATGATGATAAGGAAATAAAAAGAACATATCGTATCTAAGGTATGGTCTATGTAATATATGGTCCTCTCAGAATCTCCTTGACTATCTTGCCAAGTTGGGAAGTTGCTGAATTATTGATGGCATTCCATATTAGATCTATAAAATCCTCACACAGTCACACTCTTTCTGTTGGCATAGTCTTGTGACTGATGTATAGGGTTAATTTGTAGAATCTCTCTTGATGTTGGTGTATTTTGTAGGGTACAATTAGTTTTACAACTTGCTTTATTGTAAATATCTTTGATTAGTTGCCTGGTAAAATATTGAACTAGAAACCAAATTTTTGTAATGTTAGAGGGAAGTGTCAAGGAGCTTTAAATTTAATTTTTTTTTTAATTTTTAACCTCCTTGATCTAACTGGCTACCTTCAAGCCCTAATCATGGCGCACATTTGAGAGATTGTATTCACTCAGAAACATGTTCACGCTCTAAGCGGTTTTTCGTGTACCCACGAACACCCCCGCCCAGAATCCTCGAATGGAATGATCCTCTAGGCAACTACAGCACGCCCTCGAAAATAAACCCAGTTTGATAAACGCCATGACTCATTAGAGCCGCCCCAAATACCGGCGGCTCCGCTGGGTCTACCTGCGCAGGTAATAATGTGTGAGCTATGGTATAGCGGGGACCATTTGCGACGCTTTAGCATTCTGCGCACGGAGATTACAGCATGTATCTAGGTCATTGCACAGTGCGTGAGTTAGGATGGCCCTCAGAGAGATGAAGTGCTACCAATGGTTTGTGTCACCTAATGGTGTGTGAGCCACACAGGGCATGAAGTTCCTTAGGGGAGGGGCCACAGGACATACTGAGCGCCCATGTTGGAATTTTACTGACAGAAAAAAAGGAAAATCGAAAGAGCTCATCATTTATATCGACAGTTTTAAGAGGGGCAACTTGAGGGTATTCTTGCATAATTCACAATAGAAACATGTTCTCTATTTTAAGCCAGACGTTTGAAGGAAAGAACACAAACATACGCTGGCTCATGTCTAGTCGCGAGTGACAATAGTTTGATGTTATAAACCACAGATCCGTTTTGACAAAACACTTTACCTCCCCCTGCGTTGACAAATCCCACAGACTTACCAGAGGAGAGGGGATGTATTATATATACCCCCCACACGAGCCGCCAGGATCTGTAGTCAAGGATACATAATCCATTAGTTCCCCTCAGCGGAGGTTCAGACATCATGATTCATCAATATTCTCACACCTTGTTAACACTAGCTTCATTCTCACACAATTTCTTACGATAAGTACTTCACATGATGTTAGAAGTAGTTGACCGTAAATTTGATACCAAACTCCTTGTAATAAAATCAACCCACATTCTCCATCCTAAATGTCAATGTTGATAGGATATAAATCATGTTAGACTGCAGCGCTCTATACCTGGTAGTAATAGGAGCTCCCTTAATGAATAAAATCCCTCTTACTTTGTCAGTATATTTTATAACCTTGTAATTACAATAACTGATAGCTTTATTACTGCTGTTGATCATTCTCGTGAAGTTGTAGGCATGTTATTTATTCTTCTCACAAGCTGAGCTCTCTTAATTACGCCGAGAGAATACTCGACCAATTAAACTGACACGTCGTATTACCGAACACAGCTCTTTCGTACGTTTTCCAATTTTAAACAAATAGATATTCATTTCACTACTCTTATATATTCCTCATGCTCCCTGGTATATTCATGATTATAAACAATGATGTTCTAAGCACCTAGAATCACAAAATATTACCGGCAATTGAACTATATTCAAATCATTAATTATACGACTAGAAGCGATAGTATGGACTTTATGAAACAAATTTAAACTGCAAGTGCCAACACAAGAAATTAGACTTGGATGTTTTTTTTTAATCTTGATGATATGTATAGTTTTCGTATACCCGGAGAATCGTAAAGATTTTTGATCTCAGAACGTACTCAGTCATTCATCAGCAGACCTGGTCCTTGTGGGATAAATCTCTAACCAACCATTCGGCGCTATCAATTTTTAATGAACCGTTGGATTAAGTATAGAGGTTGATGAATAGAAGGTAAACCCTATCCAGTACCAGGAAGTCGTTGATATAAAGACTGTTTTGATGTGATATGTAACATGCGAATGGGAATATTCCTCGAGCGACGAGTTTCGAAATCAATTTTTTTAAGTCTGATGAAAAATTGTGCGGCAGTCGCCCAGCAGCTAAAACAGAAAATTTGGGTAGAAAACATAAATGCCTTCCATACATGAAATGCACACAAGTAGATGCATTTTACATTTTCTACGTATCCGGTACATGACTACACGTATTAGAAACTATGAGAAACCTTCCATTGATATTGTCGATGTTCTTAGGCTTTTGTCTTATATCTTAATCATCAGTATCTTGTTTCAGCTGCCTTTGATGAAATATTTGTAAGGCTTGGAAGAGGCAAGCAAGTGACCCAATCAAAATATTGCAATCAAATGAATAAATAATTCACCTTTATTGAACGCATTGGCAGCGTGCATGGCACTACACAGGTAATTATATTCTTGTATAATGACCTGTGCGAAAAGGTCACCTCTAACGGAAAATAGGGCTTGGGAAATCCTTGTGGAGGGCTTCGTTTTTTATTGCTCAAACATAGGATAGATAACTATCATTAGATCAATGTTAGATGTTCAAGGGTTAGGTGTAACAAGTCGTTCGGTGTAATGTAGACAGCTGCCGCCGCGCCGCGTGCCTGCAAAGCAGGTATGTTATGCCAAAGGGCGATTATACCGGCTATACCGATACAGATATGGCCTTGTGCTAATGTAGGCTGTGGTACATATCTGTTGCCAGGTAGCAGGTACAAGGTCGTCGTCAATCATGCTTTTATTGTCAATGGACCGAACTGCCATCTTTAACGCATGCATTGCACATCCGCCCAAATATGTATGTTTGTAAGGATTATGTTAGGGTAAGCATTAGAGCTATACGTTTGTGCATTAATAATTTTGTTTTACTGTAGATTTTTCATATCATATGATATACTTTACTAATTATACAAAATACGAAGAAATAGAATACCGGGACTTATCACAGCAAATAGACAAAATAACCATGCAATATCTTGCCAATCATTCTCAAAGCTACTATTCCATTTTAAAGGATGAATACGGATGAATTGTTTGATTTATTAAGAAAGCCATATACATTGCAGCCATGGCCTGAATTGCGTAATCGTAAAATAACGGCTGATCGAAATCAAACACGCTAAAGGTTGCGATTTCAAAAGCAATTCCACATCATAATCATTTAAAAGCCGCAATCATACATTCTCTTTTAAAAAATATCCATGATTTAAACTGAACCAAGCCGTCACGAAGTAAGAAAGCGTATCCCTTGCCGTACGCGCAAGGATTTTGAGCCGCTCCCCTCCCGGCTGAATCTCTGCAGGGTAATCGATCAGCTCCAATGGGTCCGGCGGAGGCTGCTGCCGGATCAGGTGATGCAGGTTGTACCGCCCGCCAGAACCGAAGACGCCCGCGCGCGATATGGTAGCAGGGAGGCGGGCCGAGACCGCCATGGTCGCCACTCACAACCTTCTCCCCCGCCCGGCGTACCGAGCTGGCTGCAGCACCCCGTGCCACTCCCTGATAGAGTAGACGGTAAGTTCATTTTCATTCTCCGTCTGGCCCATCTATATTCTGCCTGAGCGGTGGAGGGTGGAAGATTTTTTTGAGACCGGCGCCTGTCTATATGATGTCGTCCGATGTCGCAAGGAGTGAGTGTATCATAATAATGGCTGACGGGGCGTCTAAATCGGGTGTTATCATCCAGAATTTGGTTCACCTCCAATTTTAGGTCAATACAAAGTGGCTATGTAAGCAGATAATCATCTCGATCCCTGCTTGTAGACGGTGAAATGATAGTGCATGTGTGTGAGTGGTTGCCGACCGCTTTGGAGTCTATCTGAGCCCGCAGACTGTCTGGTATTTCTGATTGAGTGGGCTGGCACTGAGCTGGGCAGACGTGAAAACGTACGTGGCCGTGCCTTGCGCTTGTATAGATTAAAAGCGTCCGGGGCTTTGGTAAAAAAAATGGACGTATCGACAAGCTGCCAACTGAAACGAAATCACAGCAACTACTCGCCTTTTCTCCTAAACAATCCTTCATCTTAGCAAATTAAAGGAGCCAATGCCGCCAAATGCGTAACAGCTCGTGCTTTCTGGCGCATGGCGTACATTAAATGTTACCTGGCACGGTTGACATTTTGAAAATTGCTGACGATTGTGTGAGGCGTTAAAATGATATCGACCTTTCTGAGTGTACCGCCGGCACACCTGCAGCATTGTTAGCTTTCCGGTTGGTACGGAAGGTTGTTCTTAACGCAAACCAACTGGATGGGCAACAGGACATTTTGTAACTGTACTGACGCACTGAGGAAATTACGTTATCTCTTAGAGTTATCAGGA